GCTGTGCTTTGAACTTTGTCGGCACAAGGTTTGCATCAGTTTTGATCTTGAGTACCCAACACATGTCAATGGTGTTTGCACCCTTCAGGAGGTCAATGATCTCCCACATGCCCATCACTTCTAATCCATCCAGCTCCTTTCACATGGCCTCCTCCCAGTGCTTTCTGTCTTCTCCACTCATTGCTTCATGTATGGTTGGGTCCAGGTTCTTTCTCCATTCCAGTCACATTGCTATGAGTCCAAAGGATTTACTGTCAATCTGAGTTTCAGTGATTGATCCTTGTTCCATCACCTCTGCCATTCCTCCACTTAACCTTTCTTCCGAATCTGTCTCCATATCCATGTATTCTTGTAGTGGCCCTTTATCTGTTTCATTGAATATATTTTCTTTGTTATATCCTAGATCTTCAAAATTCTCTTCTGTCATCATTGCTGGAGGTGCCTGTCAGGGGTCTCGCGCCTGAAACCCAGGTCGGTCTGTCGAGATACTCGGTGACTATCAAACTGTGCGACAGCTATTGTCTCGAGATACTCGGTGACTATCAAGTTGTGCAGTGACAGCAGGTGGCGTTTGTTGTATATGCTATCGTAGGTTTCGGCTGACCTCTGTGGACACTCCGTTCAGGGGTAGCTCGGCACGATCAATATCAATGTTATGATGACACCAAGGTCTGGTGTGGGTGTTGATGATGATGAGGTTGATGGTGTTGGTGATGAGATTGGTGATGTCGATGATAATGAGGTTGATGGTGTTGATGATAAGATTGGTGATGTCAATGATAATGAGGTTGATGGTGTTGGTGATAAGGTTGGTGGCGTCAACACGAGTGTCCAGTGTGTTGACTTGATGCTTTGAAGTGATCCCCGGACCGCAGTGGACTACTGCCTTCGGTTCTATCTATATCCGGACCGCTAACCTGCTATGGGCGCCTTCGGACGTCAGGTAGTGGTGATACAACACACACACTACGATGAGGAGCAACCTTGATAGATTGCTGCTATGCTGACTGTAACTAATGAGTACTTGTGTTTCTAAAGTATTGACTAGTTGTATGGTGAGTAGAGTGGATGGGGATCCACTCGACCTATGATGATGAGAAAGCATGGTTATATACCTCTTCACAGCATTGCCAGCGATGCTGCTCCTGCTCTCTCTCCAGAGAGTACCTTCTTCATCGAGTACTGCTCAGGGGCCTCTCCTGCTTGGCACCCCTGTGCCTCTTGTCGACACTGCTCCTCCTCCTCATGACCTGGTGTCGACTCCTTCGACACTGCTCCTCCTCCTTTGATCAGTGACAGTTCCTTTGGCTCTTGTCTCTCGAGCCCCTGAGTGGTAACCATCTGCATGCTCCTTGAGCTTGGTCCTCTTCGTGGCTGTGCCTGCTCCTTGAGCTTGGTCCTCCTCGTGGCTGTGCCTGCTCCTTGAGCTTGGTCCTCCTCGTGGCTGTGCTTGGCCCTCCTTTGCATGTGAGTCCATAGGAGTCCATGGTCTCCATGGAGACTGCACTACGACCATGCTCTCTACTGGTGTCGACTAGGTCTTCGATACCTGTGCTCCTTCCATATGAACCCATGACCCTCCTGCTTCTTGAGCATCCAGGCCCATGACACTACCCCCCTCTTAAGAGCCGAGCTCCGTCGAGGCGTGCTCTGGTCTGGTTCATGCTGACTCCTCCTCCTTGACAACATCACCAACACCATCAACCTCATCATCATCAACACCCACACCAGACCTTGGTGTCATCATAACGTTGATATTGATCGTGCCGAGCTACCCCTGAACGGAGTGTCCACAGAGGTCAGCCGAAACCTACGATAGTATATACAACAAACGCCACCTGCTGTCACTGCACAACTTGATAGTCACCGAGTATCTCGAGACAATAGCTGTCGCACAGTTTGATAGTCACCGAGTATCTCGACAGACCGACCTGGGTTTCAGGCGCGAGACCCCTGACAGTGCCTTTGTGTCGACCAGTTGCCACTCCGTTCTGTCTGACCAGCACTTTGATTCCATGAATTTTGCTGAATTGCTCCAGAACATGTTCAGATTATAGTCTGGACTGTAGAATAGCCAGCCCTTTCTCTCTAGACTGTATCCCAAGAAAATGGATGCAACGGCTCACTGGTCCAGTTTCTTGTTGTCCTGTTTGACTTTGGGTATGTTTACCCATGCCAGACAACCAAACACTCGTAGGAGTCTTAAAGCTCGCTCTGGCAACTTGCCAAACATGGCTTGGTAAGGGAACTCATTATCAATGCTTGGAGTGAGGTTTATTTTGAATGCCACAGCTCTGATCACATATGGCCAGAACTTCTTCAGTAGTCTCCTCTGCATTAGCAACATCCTTGTCTTCTCTCCAAGGGTCCTGTTCATTCTCTCTACCTGTCCATTTTGTTTACTGTTGTACCCTATGGTGGTTTGCCACTCTATGCCCTTTTCTAGCAACCATTCTAATGCATCATTGCTTCTCCATTCAGTTCCTTGATTGGATTGGATCGCTTTTAGCTTCCGATCTGTCTGTGTTTCCAGGAACAAAACAATCCTTTTGAGTTGCGTAAATGCATGACTCTTTTGTGTCAATGGCTGTGCATACACATACTTGCTATGATCATTGACCAGCACTAACATGCATGTGTACTCCATCACATGGGACGAATCTATTATTAGATCGACATGGATAAGATCCAGGGGCCCTATGGCTCTTTCGCTGCTACCTTGCCCCATCCAAGCACTTGTGCTCTTGGATCGTGTGCACTGCTCACATGTCAGAGTGGTGTTTGGATCCAATTCCATGGTATGCTTATCTTTTAACTTGCTTGTGATCACCTTAGCTTTATCTCTTCCTGGGTGTCTGAGATGCTCATGCCATAGTTGTTGCTTCAAAACTTTTGGCTCATTCTTAATATGCTTGAACTCCTCATCAATGCCTTCAAACAATGGTGTTGATGTGGCCATCGTGCTTTCTTGCCATGTGTCACCTCAGAACTCCAAAAGTCCTCACTCACAATTCTTTGCAATCTTAAGTGTCATGCCATTTGTTAGAAAAATTTGACCACTGGTTGTGTCCAATATCACTTGTGCTCCTTCATCCATTAATGAATTTGTTGACAGAAGGTTAACATTAAGGTGCTTCACATATAATACATTTTGTAGGGAGATTTCCCCATAATCTGTTGATATGCTTGCATCTCCTATAGCTGCCGCTTCCAAGACCTCGCTTCCAGCAGTAATTATCCACTTTCAGCAAGTTCTCGGATGGATGAGCATGCTATAGTCATTCACCATATGATAACTTGCCCCTGAGTCCAAGATCCAATGAGCTGTTTCTTTTGTGTTCAGGGGGTCTTGCCATTTCAATGGGAGGGTGAGGGAGCACCATGCTTCCTATTTAGGTTTAGCAAGGGGGGAGTCTTTGGGAATGGTGACCAAGGCATTGCATTGACTAATACCATGTCCAGGTTGCTTGCAGATCCAGCATTGGATTTGGCATGGTCTGCCTGTGTTCCTTGAGCTTGCATGGCTGTTGTTGGCTTTGGCTTCGGTCTCTCTGGCCCATTCGTTTTGATCATCATTGCCAGCAGTTCTAGCACTGGCTTGTTGGGGGTTGATCTTTTGCATGGGGACACTCTTGACAGCAGTCTGCTGGATGCTTAGTGCAGTGGTGAGGGTGTTGAAATCGATTTGATGGATGGTGGCAACCATCTCCTTATACACTGGATGCTGGATTGTGCATTTCTGCAGAGCCGAGAACAATGTATCATTGGCAAATGGTTTGCTGAGGAGGCTACTTTCAGTCTGTATGGACCAGATCTCTTGAATTAGCTTTCTGGCATCTGAGTGAAACATCTTTGTATCATTGAGCTGCGAGATGAGTGCAAGTCTGTGAGACATCTTGGTGGCTTCATTTGTGAGACTGTTTTCGATCTTTCTCCATACTTGATTGAAAGTAAGGTACTCCTTGATTACATCTAGAATGAGGTAATTTACATTGTATTCTCTGGTAGTGTCGATTGTTCCATGCAGGGCATTGATTAAAGCATCATTGAGGGAGCAGCTCCATTTTGGGTGCTTCTTGTCATATGTTCCCTCAAGATGTTTCATCGCATGGGGCATGGATCAGAGGAAAGATTTCATGTGAGTGCTCCAGCTATAATAGCTGCATGATGTGAGCTTTGGCATGGGTTTGAGGAGCTTTGCTAGGGTGCAAAAGTTATATTGCTTGTCACCATCATCAAAGTCGGAGTCAGAATTGGTGTCTTTGTCAGCTTCATTGTCAATGGCCTCTGGCTCATTCTTGTTCATGGCATTGTTGTTGACCCGAACCTGGGTGTTCTTGCCTTTTCTGCTTCCTTTGATCCTCATTTTGGTGTCTTCTACCATTGTTGTTGATGAGTTTCAGTTGGCTTGGTGATAGCTTCTTCAGACTCTTAATCAATTGAAGATAACAATTAATACATGGCATTATCAGGGTCATGATCAGACTCCCTTTACAACAGCCATATGTTCTATGTAATGCTTAGTTTTTCATAGTGTGAACCTAAATGACAAACACATATATATACTCCATTTGCTGCTCTAGTCCTATCTGAGACAGGATGTGTCACTTCATTCATACTCCTGTGTTGCTATGATACTGAGTGCCACTGAGCTGTTGCCATGACAACAATCATGTACCTCATTGTGCTTCTCGCTTAAGTAAGCCTCCTGTGCCTCGGTGTCTTGGCCGTGGCACGTGCATCTTGCTTGAGATGCCGACGCATCTTCAACTATGCCGATGTATCTTCAACTCGGATTGGTCAAGCCGATTCTGCTCAGCGACATCACCGAGCAGCGCTCCTCCCTCTCTTCTCCGCCCACACACACCATCACCATAATTATCCAAAGCGCCGCGCACGATTAGCAGAGACTAGAGATTGTGTGCTATTCGCGACATCTCTGTCTCCTCTAGCATTCAATTCTCTTCCATCATCTCCTCGAGCCATCTTCCACTCGAGAGATGGCTGCGTCGGGACGTGGAGCGACCATCAATGACTTGCCAACCGAAATACTCCGCGAGATTGTCGGCCTAGTATGGCTGGACTCCATCCCAAAGTCCTCTTTCCGCAACATAGATCCGCACGGTCTACCCTCCTCTTACCCCGACGGTCGCAAGATCTCATCCACCCAAAATGATACCCGTAAGACGCTCTATAATCTCTGCCTCGTCAACAAGGCTTTCTATCATGAAGCGAGAGTGCTCTTGTTCCGACGCATCCAGATCACACTACCGCACAGCTTCAATCTTTTGTTGAGGACGCTAGGTGCCTCGCATCTTGCCAGCGCCTATGAAAAGTACGCGACAACAGGTAGTGTCAATGTCGACCCTTCAGATCCAGCTTCCTTCGTCAACATGGTCGCCGCCGCAGGCTTCGCACATGCTCTCGGCCACAAACTTGTCATCGGAGGCACAGCGACACCCACACCTCCCGCCAGTCGAGATCAGAGTCCAGCATCCTCCAACCAAGGCACAGGAGAGCGCACAACTTCATTGACCCGAGCGCGATCACGTCGTGACTTTATTCGCATCAACGCCGATCAAGATGGCGAGGTCGAGCTCGTCTGGACCGAGGATCCCACATCGACACCCGAAAGTCCCGTCTATCACGTTACGCTTCGAGGAGAAGGCGACGACGACGAGGCGGCTGAGCTCCATCGTTGGGTGCGTCTCGTTGACTTTTCCAACTTTCGTACACAGGGACTACGCCGAACCATCGGGGAAGGTATGGATCGTCGCTTTGTCACACCAGCACGTCTCCTGGCTCTCGTCACTGCAGCCGAAGGTCTCGTCGCATTCGGCGCAAGTGAGAGCATGGATTCGGCTCTTTCCAACGATGTGCTCGAAGCGCTCCTCTTCCGTGATGGCGAGTACAGCAAGCCCAGTCGGCTTCGTGGCGTCTCGGTCGAACGTAGCAGTGGTCGCTCCAACAAGATGCTCCAAAGTCTCGACTTTTGTGGATGCGTTTCACCCCGCTTCGAAGAGGCTATGAAGGAGTTCGTTCAAACCCACCTCAAAAAGTTCAGCGGCAGAATGACTGACACTGTGGAGGAAGAGAGTGAATCAGACGATAACGAAGACGAGAGCATGGATATCGACGAAGAAGAGGAACGTGGACGTGGACGAAGCGCTTCAGCTAGGCGGCAGAACAAGAGTCTCAGTCGATCCCTCTCGACTCGTCGCAGAGATGGTGATGGACCGAGCAGGCACCCTGCGAGGCCAACTGCTTTCCCTTCACTCAACAGATTGGGACTCTCAGGTCTCACGCTGGGTAACGAGCTTCTTAATCCTTTCGTGCTTGCTTTCCCTCGACTGACCCACCTCGATCTATCCCGGACCAAAGCAGATGCTGCCCTCCTCAACGCACTCAGCAGCTCATACCAGTTGCAACTCGAGAGTCTCTCGCTGGCGTTCTGCAAGCGTATCACCTCAGAGTCAGTCACTGAGCTTCTAGTCGACGCGCCCTGCACACAGGGTCTAGTTGAACTGTCGTTGGCGGGCACGCCCATCTTTCCTACACCTATCGACTCGGAAGACCTCAAGGCCATCCTCACTCAGGCACCTTGCTTCCGTTCTGGCAGATTGCGATACCTCGATTTGGGTGGATGTGCTCTCACTGATGAATTACTGGGCATGATCGGCCCGCAACCCTCGTTGCTCGACCTGGGTCTATCGCACTGTCCTCATATTCGACTCGAAGCCGTAAGCATACTTCTCCGCGAACGAGCGCCCAACGTTCAGGTCTTGGAGCTCTCCGACTCGTGCACCTCTCGATCATCCACCGAGGGTCTCACCACCAACTTTCCGGGCTACGACGCAACCGATGCAAGTGCGATCAATGCCGTTCACCTGCAGAGCATTCTCGTTGGGCCCTGTGCCAAGACGCCGCCGATTCCCATCTCGGTGCAGCTCGCAATGATGGGATTCAAGACCGGCTCAGATCCGCCACCGGTAATGCCAGCCAAGCCTCGAGCAGCAACAAATCTCAGAGTGGTCGGGTTGAACCAGGCCAGTCTGAAGAGCGTAAGAGGGGGTTTTGGTAGCTGGAAAGTGATCAAAGGAGCCGGTCGACGAGGATGGGTGGTCGATATCGCGGCAGGTCCCAATCCTGAGGCTAGTGATGAGGTTTTGTTGGAAAATTCGATGGGTGCGGTTCCCTCTGCTGTCGGACTGTCGATCGAAACGGCTGGTGCGGGAGATGACGGTGCTGGCAGTGTCGCAGAAAGCAGTCCTATGCGAAGAGGGAGATCAGTTAGGTATGACGAAGTGTCTCTCTCGCCTGTCGATCGTTCGTCCCGCTCTCTTCTCCGTGTACCACCCACATCCAACTCACCATCCTCTTCTCTCACGCGGCCGACCATCCCGTCCATCCGTCGCGCCCATTCAGTTGGCGGTGGCTCAACATCTCGTTCACGCTCACGCCACCTTTTCTCCTCAACAACTCTTCCCTCCAACGCCAAAGTCACTCCACGTGACGAAGTCATCCGTGACCTACCTGCCGAGCATCCTCGCCGCATCGCACTCCAACGCCTCGTTGACTGCAACGGTCATGTCACAGGTGACATTGGCTGGCACAGTCGCAAAATGGAAGTTCTGTTGGGCTTTGGATTCTTAGGACGAGAAAGTGGTTTATATGCCTTACCCTCCTTCCAGGTCTAGTATCATTTGTATATTTATTGCATCGCATTGCACATGGACTCCATCTATACCCTACATTCTATGGCTTGTGTCAAGACAGAGAGAGATGAGAAGGCAGTCTCAGGGCCAGTCGGACGAGGTCTAGTGCACCTTCGGTGAGCTGGTTATGTCCGCCGGTGTCTGTTTCTATCAGGGTCACCTCCGCAGCTTTGTTCGAGGGAAGCTTTTTGATGGATGCGTAATCGTTCACTCTTCTCTCCAGAATTTCTTTGTGTTTACGATGAGATCGGATGTTCTCAAACAGTTTATGAGAGTGGTAGAGTGGGATGACAGGGTCATCTTTTGCATGGAGTAGCACCACTGGAGTCTTCTCTAACTGCGGGAGTGTGTCTTTGGTGTTCAGATGAGTCTTGAGGAAGGTATCCAAAATGACACTGTTGAATGGAATCAAGCCGATAGGTTTAAGTACTGGGAGCAAGCCCCCGACCTTGAAGTCCTTCACGAGAGACTTTAAATCGGTATAAGGAGCCATGAGCACGATTCCATCTGCAGGTGATGATCGAGATTCAAGAGCAGCAGCTAACAAAGCAGTGATTCCTGTGCCCAAGCTCTGACCGAAAACTATCACTGGTTGCTTCGCTGTGCCCTGTTGTTCGCGAACAAAGTCGTAAGCTGTCTGCGCGTCTTCCACCAGCCCGGGCTCAGAAGGTGTACCGCTGCTGTCACCGAACCCACGGTAGTCGATAGCGATCACATTTGCATCAACCCTCGAAGTCATGCCTTGGTAAGCGGAAATACGCCAAGGTGCCGCCCGGTTCATCGAGTTCCCGTGAAGATACAGTATTGTTGGATACTCGCGCAATGCCCTTGAATAAACATCATCTCCCCACTTTTCTTCATCTTGCTTCGCAGGGAGTTCGGATTGGTAGTAGATCTCGGGAAGAACATGCCATGCTCCTATCTTTTCTCCGTCAGAGGTGGCCAGCTGGAGGTTGCGGGTCTTGTGCGGTGCCAGACCGTAACATTGAGGCTGATTGTACGTCGGGAAGAGGGGAAAGGCAATGGAGTGAAGGAAGATGAAGTGTCGCTGAAAGAAGGGGATGAGGAGGGCGAGGAAGAACGTCAGATAGCACAGGGTGGCGGTGCTGAGAGGGACGAGGATAGAGCGTCGGATCAGGTCTGATGAAGGGGAAGATGAGAGTGCTACTTTGGACAGCATCGTGTACAGATTATGACGAGAGCATATTTGGTCGTGATCAAGAAAGATGGTAGTGGTGATGAGGAAGAGGGAAGAGTAGGGGAAGCGAGGTGGTAAAACGAACAGGTAGGGGGTGAGTGCGGTGGGGCTGGCATGTGAATGTCAACGTTCTCTAGCGCTGGAATGCTGAATTTGAGTTGAAGTATGTGGTACCTCGGCGATTGATGCATGCAAATGCAGCATTCGCTGAGCCCACATGACCAATCACCAATGTCACTCACTCAGATTCAGTGCATTGCTTGGGCCAATTGCCAAGCCCCAAGATGCTGGTCACAATGCAGCTGGTGTCTTCTCCCTTGACTTTTCATTCACTCCTTCATGTTCCCACCCTATTAGTCCTTAGCTTTGCACACACACATGAGGAGGATTGAGACATATATAAACACTTGCCTCATCATGTATTTAGGAATGAAGAACTATCACAATTGATACTTGTGATCACTGACTTTGATGCACTCCCAATTGACCTTGATGACACCCTTTAACTGATTAAGAGTCTGACTGTTCTTGCCACATGATCCTCAACACCATGCCTCTGCAACCCAATGATCTGCATTCCACCAATGACCCCTCACTTGAGGAACCCTCTGACAATCAGACTTAAATGATTCTGGTACCTGCAGAACATCAAAGAACCACTGAATCCAACTCCAAATCCTCTGATAACTCTGACAGCAACAACAGCAAACCAAATGAACCTCTGTTCAATCTTAACAACATCAACAAAATGAATATCAACACCCTCCAGAACATTGTCACACAATCCACCCTATGCAAACAAGCCAAGACCTCCTCATATAGGCTACCTTCCAAGTGCCATGGTTTCCTTCAAGAAGTAACCCAACTCAATGATGCACTAAAGGATATGCCCAAACTAACCACAAAGAATTGGTATGCCTGGAACCCTTGCTTCTGGGACATATTGGCCTCATGGTCCCCAGCTCTTAAGCATCTCGATGGCACCACCAAGCTGGGTGATAAGAAGTATGACTGAAAACTAGATGCAAAACTTTGTACAATCATCCAGAGCAATGCCAAGCTCATCAGTCAGGTTGTATGAACTATTTGTTCATACAACCTGCTAATACCAAATCATGGAGGACTCACGAATTATATGCCTGACTCAAGAAGGACCTCACCAAGATGGAGCACATTGCTGAATTGACTCTCCTCTATGAGGCCAGACAGATCTGGATGTTTAATGCAGGCATCCAAAAATTCTCTGCCAACCTGAACAAGCATTGGGCCAAGGCTGAAGCAATGGGTTTCAACCTCATGAGAGTCCTCAAAATCAAAACCCTCATCAATCAGGCAAGACTCATGACTGCTTACAATACCTGCATCATGAACCTGCAAGATAATGGCTGAGGAATGGATTACAATGTGATTTGTGCAGCCCTGTTCAAATGACAAGATGACATGGTGATGAAACCAAGCCATAGGACCAATGGCAAGATCACACAAGCTTTCATTGCAAATGGACAAATCATGAATCAAGATGCATATAGCATGGGAAAACCAGGTCCCAATGGTCATCAAAGATGCTATTACTGTCAGGGGGAGAACCACATCAGTCAGTTCTGCCCTAAGAACCCAAACAGCAAATCTCAAAACAACAACAATACCAACCCTGCCCCTGGATTGAGGAACAACCAAACACCTGCCTAGGAAATCTGGTGCACCATCGCATCAGCATATCACACCCCCTTGAGGCAACTACCCAATACATGGGTTATAGACTCAGGGGCAACTGAGCACATTACAAATGACAATACAATCCTTATTTTCCCATCTCCATGCACCAGAATTGTGAAAACTGCTGGTGGAATGCTAATTGGAATCAAGGCTAGGGGTCAAGCCATTGTCAATGTTGATGGATTCAAAGTATATCTCAACAATGTACTTTATGTTCCAGAAGCAAGCATAAATCTAATGTCAGTGCGAGCCCTAACATCCAATGGTGTATGTGTGATGTTCAATTCAGATAATGCACACCTCATGTGGCCTAATGGTCATGAGGTGAAAGGATATACCAATACCTGTATGAGGCATTGGGAAACCCACCCAACAAAGTCAGAAGCCCTTATATCAATGATAGACAACAAAATGAAAGAACTACCAGAACAACTCAAAATTGAAGAGCCACCAAAACCACGAAGTTTCACCAGGGACTTCATTCACAAACAATGTGGTCACCCTGGCCACAACAAAAGCAGAATGATAGAAAACATGTACAACATCAAGATTAGACCATATGAATGTCAAGATTGTATGGTGAGCAAGTCAATGAAAGCACAAATGGGACAAGGCAGTGGCAAATGTGCCAAGCATCCATTAGAACTTATACATGTTGACTTGGCGACACACTTCTTGACAAAAACAAAATTCACCTCCATATTGGTGGCAGTAGATGACACATCCAGTTTCACTTATGACAAGCCTCTATGTTCAAAGGCTGATGTGCTGCAAGTATTGAAAGAATGGGTCAACTATGCCAAAACTCAAACTGGACACAAACTCAAGGCTCTCCAATCCAATAATGGAACAGAATGGATCAATGCAAATGTGATCACATGGCAGAATGACACAGGATTTCAATGGCAGAAGACATCGACATACAACAGCAAGCAAAATGGAAAGGCAGAATGAACTATAAGAACAATCAAAAACATGATGATGGCAATGATGTGATCTCATAGCCTACCTCAGACTTTCTGGCCATTTGCAGTTGAAGTGGCAGTTTTCATGAAGAACTTGATACCTAATGTCCAAGGTTGCATTCCATAGCCTAAGATGAAAAGGAAAAAGCTTGACAACCTGGCTATACCTGCCATATTTGTCAGATATGATGAGGAGCACAAGGGGTGGAAGTTCATATCCCCAAAACACAATCTGACAGTTTTTTGGTCCAATGCAGCTAAATTCCTGGAGAATAAGTCATGGGATGAACATACAGAAGTGATACCAGGTTACAACATGGACCCTGAGTACCACACAGAGGATATTGAAGATATATGATACACTGAGCAAGACATCCATGATGAGGAACAACGAGGACTAATTGAAGATATAAATCAACTGGATGATGAAAGTAGCTGTCACAGGGTCAGCAGGCCAGCGCAAGAGAGTGTGCCAAATTGATCAATGGCAGTCATGGGAAAGTCATGCAATGGAGCAATGTATGAAGGGGGCACAATGGATCAATATATGAAGGGCATGCCAGATTGATCAGTGCCAAACCATCAGGGATCAATGAGATTAATCAGGCTGGCAGCACATATGAATTATGAGATCGATCGAACCCTGGGTTCCAGATTAATCTCATTGGGGATCAGTCAGAATCAGTCAGATCAGTATGCTTCAACAAGTCAGCCAATATGAGCAAGTACTAGGAGCTGTGTTGAAGTGACCACATGACCAAGGGGTTTGGTCACATGGTTCAACAAGTGGCTAAAGGGATTCACAAGACAAAGTCAAGAAGGAGCTGTGCCAAAGTGACCACATGACCAAGGGGTTTGGTCATGAGGTTCAAAAAGTGGCTAAAGAGATTCACAAGATAAAGTCAAGAAGGAGCTGTGTCAAAAGGGGGCATCACACATCATCAGGCAGATGGAGAGCATGAAGGCAAGAGGGCAGTGTTGCATAACCCTTACACTGTGCAAATGGTAGGGGTGCAGTATCAATGGGATTGATGCCAGCAGGACAAGACAGTGCCTAACAGGGGACAAAGGCCCCTCAAGAGGAGCAGGATAGGTGTTGAGGGAAACACCAACCAGATGCATAAATACTCTCATTCTACCATAGTGTCATGGGCCTGAATGCGCAGGAAGCAGGAAGGCCGTAGGTTCATAAGGAGGGAGCACAGGTATCAGGGGATCAGGCCGATCTACAGATGGGTCGGCTATAGCATGGTTGTAGTACAGTCTCCATGGGGACCATGGGCAAGGAGGTCCAGATCCACATGCAAAGGAGGATCAGGCCCATATGCAAGGAGGACCAAGTGCATATGCAAGGAGGGCCAAGCACCACCAAGAGGAGGACCAAGCTCAAGGAGCATGCAGACAGGTACTACTCAGGGGCTCGAGAAATAAGGGTCAAAGGAACCGTTGCCAGTCAAAGGAGGAGGAGCAGTGTATAGGAGACTGGCAAGCAGGTCCTGAGGAGGAGGAGCAGTATCGAAGGGGTCGACACAGCTCAAGAGGCACAGGAGTGTTAAGGGGGCCCCCTGTACAGTACTCAACAAAGAGGGTACTCTCTGGAGAGAGAGCAGGAGCAGTATCGCTGGCAACACTGTGAAGAGGTATATAACCATACCTTCTTGTCATCAGAGGTTGAGTGGATCCTCATCCACTCTACTCACCATACAACTAGTACTACTTCAGCATATAAGTATTCATTAGTTATTGTCAGCATAGTAGCAATCTATCAAGGTTGCTCCTCATTGTAGTGCATGTGTTGTATCCCCACTCACTGACATCTGAATGTGGTTCATAGCAAACCAGTGGTCTGGATTAAGATAGAACCAAAGGCAGTAGTCCACTGCAGTCCAGGGATCACCTCAAGCGATAGTCGACACACTGGACACTCGTGTCAACGCCAACAACCTTATCACCAACACCATCAACCTCATCATCAACAAGACCACTCACACCAGACCTTGGTGTCATCACAACCTTCATATTGATATTGATCATGCCACGCTACCCCTGAATGGAGTGTCCACAGAGGTTAGCCGAAACCTACAATAGCATACAACATTCATATCGAATGCCACTAGCTGTTCCACAACTCGATAGTTGCTGACCAACACAACTCACCGAGATTGGTATAGAGACAATAGCTGTTGCACAACTTGATAGTCACCGAATGACGAGCAGACCAGGTTTCAGGCGTGCAACCCCTGACACATAGCATATGAGTGGATCCCCATCCACTCTTTAATATTCTTACTTACTCTATCTACTTACTCAGTTACGTACCATTGCAATAGCAGTGCTCTTGCAACAACTCTCAATGTGTGTGTTGTATCACTGTTAGTTGACAACTGTAGGCAATGTTCTTCAACACTTGCAGTCCAGTGCCCTTACTGTAGGCAGTGTTCTTCAACACTTGTGGTCCAGTCCCTTGCTGTAGGCAGTGTTGCTTGACACCTGTGGTCCAGTCAGTTATTGTAGGTGGTGAATCACACCTGTGGTCCAGTAACTCCCATCCTCTGTAGGCAATTAGCATATCATGGTCCAGACAACATCCAAGAGCATTATCAACAGTACTATGAACACTCATACTGTAGGAGAGGGTGTTTCACTCACTCACCAATGACCAGTGTCCATGCCATGCAACCTCTGAATGGAGTGTTCAAGGCAGTCAGTCAAGACTTACCAGGCAGCAACGTTTGGTTACATTTAGGCGAAACATACTGAGTAGACCTTACTCAATCAAACTCAATATAACACCCCAAAGCAAAGTCTCTCTCTCTGGCGTGCGACCGCTTACAGTAGCCAAATAACCCAGGAAGATCAACACACACTCGTAATGACCACGGTATCAACAGAAACAGCAAATAGTGACAGCGCTCATATGACTGAACAAGTGCATCTGTGGCTCCACCCAATGATGGTTATGGCAGCTCTCAGGATCTACTGTACATTTACCTCCACCAGGGGAACTGTATTGGTTCCAACAAAAACTTCACCATCAAGGCAAAATGCCGGGATTGTCACACATTGTATGCCACAAGATGAGTGCAAACCTGGCCAGTGCTGTAAATCTGAAACCAACAGTAAAGGAGGCACTTGCAGGACCAGACCAATCTCATTGGCATGAAGCAATCCATGCCAAGCTGGAGGGTCTCAAAAGCATGAACATCTGGAAAGTCATTGACATGCCACCGAAAGCCCACCTCATTGACTTGAAGCTAGTACTCAATGTCAAAACAGATGCAAATGGGGTACCATACAAATTCAAAGTGCAACTCTGTGCTTGAGGGTTCTCACAGAGGGAGGGTGTGGACTATATGGAGATCTTTGCACTGGTGGTACCTAGAGATGCAATCTGGATGATACTAGTAATAGCAGCTAAACTTGATTGGGAACTGGATTCGATAGATGTTAAACAAGCATACATCAACACAAGGCTAGAGCACAACATCTATCTCAAACCACCTGAAGGTACAAACACCCTGTCAGGGGTCTCGCGCCTGAAACCCAGGTCGGTCTGTTGAGATACTCGGTGACTATCAAACTGTGTGACAGCTATTTTCTCGGTACCAGTCTCGACAAGCTAGTTGCTCGGCGACTATCAAGTTGCGCAGTGACAGCAGGTGGCATTCATTGTATATACTGTCATAGGTTTCGGCTGACCTCTGTGGACACTCCATTCAGGGGTAGCTTGGCATGATCAATAACAATACATAGGTTATGATGACACCAAGGTCTGGTGTGAGTGTTGATGATGATGAGGTTGATGGTGTTGGTGATAAGGTCAGTGAGTGTTGATGTTAATGAGGTTGATGGTGTTGGTGATAAGGTTGGTGGCATCAACATGAGTGTCCAGTGTGTTGACTTGATGCTTGAAGTGATCCCTGGACTGCAGTGGACTACTGCCTTTGGTTCTATCTTAATCTGGACCACTGACCTGCTATGGGTTGCCTTTGGATGTCAGGTAGTGGTGATACAACACATGCACTATGATGAGGAGCAACCTTGATAGATTGCTGCTATGCTGACTGAAACTAATATATACTTATGCTGAAGTGATAACTAGTTATGATGTGTGTAGAGTGGATGAGGATCCACTCAACCTTTGATGACAAGCAAGTATGGTTATATACCTCTTCACAGCGTTGCCAGCGACGCTGCTCCTGCTCTCTCTCCAGAGAGTACCTTCTTCATCGAGTACTGAACAGGGGACTTCTCTAGCACTGCTCCTCCTCCTTGCTATCCTGCTTGCTTGGCACCCCTGTGCCTCTTGAGCTGTGTCAACTCCTTTGACACTGTTCCTCCTCCTCAGGACCTGCTTGCCAGTTCCCTATACACTGCTCCTTCTCCTTTGACCGGTGATGGTTCCTTTGACTCTTGTCTCTCGAGCCCCTGAGTGGTAACCATCTGCATGCTCCTTGAGCTTGGTCCTCTTCGTGGCTGTGCCTCCTCGCATATGGGCTCAGTGCTCCTTTGCATGTGAGTCTGTAGGAGTCCAAGGTCTCCATGGAGACTGCACTATGACCATGCTCTCTACTGGTATCGACTAGATCTCCAATACCTGTGCTCCTTCCATATGAACCAGTGACCCTCCTGCTTCTTGAGCATTCAGGCCCATGACACCCCCCCCTGGGAAAGGCGTATAAGCTGCTCAAGAGCCTCTATGGCCTCAAGCAATCTGGACGAGAATGGTACAAGGAAATGGACTCTCACCTGTGACACATGGGATTCTTTTCAGTCCAGGGAGCACTGTGTGTATATTCAAGAGGAGCAGGGCAGGAAGAGGTTATTATTGTCATGTACATGGATGACATGCTTGTTATGGCCCCATGTAGGTTGCAGGTAGATGAAGTGAAACAAGCAATTCTCAACAAATGGAAAATTGAGGACAATGGTCCAGTGATGGAGTTCTTGAAGATTAAGATTACAAGGGACTGAATGAAATGGACTATGGATCTGGACCAATGGGCATATATCAAGGAAATTGTTAAGGAATGGATAGAGCCTGATGACAAAATCTGGATACCAATGATGACCACTCCCATGAAGGCAACTGATGAACTCATGCATGACAACAAGCTAAGGGAAACCTACCCTGCACTTGTGGGAAAGTTGCTCTGGGTATCAAACACTGTCTGCCCAGACATCTGCCATGCAGTCAATACACTTGTGCAACCCATGTCTTGACTGACCAAAGAAATGATGCTGGCAGCACTACACATTGTCAAATACCTGAACCAGATTCAAGACAACATACTATGCATTGGCAGAACAGATACCACTGGCAATGCTATCAAAACCTACATGGATGCAAACTGGGCTTCAGATCCCAATGCCAATCAGAAAAGCACTTCAGGTTTGATTGTAAAAGTTTTCAGAAACATTGTTACCTGGAACTCTCACATCCAGAAGTGTGTGGCTAGCTCAGCAGTCAAGGCTGAATATATTGCTGGATCAGCAGCCATTAGGGAAGCTCTATTCCACAGGCATCTTCTCTGTGGACTTGGATTCAGAGACCACACCCCCATCATCTTTACAGACAACACAGGCTGTATTCAAGTGGCAAAGGACCAAGCTATGCATTCCAAATTTAAGCACATCAACACAAAATATCATCTCATCCAAGATCACATACCAGAAGGGGATATCATGATTAGGTATGTTAAAACTGAAGATAACATTGCCGATTTTCTCACAAAGCCTGTTTTGGGGAAACTCCTGTCACATACCTGTACTCACCTTGGAATTGTTAATGCAGGATCATATGGTTGCTCCATTGGCAAGGAGGGGAGTTGAAGTATGTGGTACCTTGGTGATTGATGCATGCAAATGCAGCATTTGCCAAGCCCATAAAACCAATCACCAATGTCACTCACTTGGATTCAGTGCATTGCTCAGGCTGACTGCTGAGCCCCAAGATGCCAGTCACAATGCAGCCAGTGTCTTCTCCCTTGACTTCTCATTCACTCCTTCATGTTCCCACCCTATTAGTCCTTAGCTTTGCACACACACATGAGGAGGATTGAGACATATATAAACACTTGCCTTGTCATGTATTTAGGAATGAAGAACTATCACAATTGATACTTGTGATCACTGACTTCGACGCACTCCCGATTGACCTCCTCGACGCCCTTTAACTATTTGGGTTGAGGTCTGAGGCGCTACCTTCCGAGTTCCGCGACTTGGCCGATACCATCACAGCAACTCATTGCGACTTATCGTCTATGACCGACTCTGCACGGAACGCGCTGCTTGTCGATTACGATCTCACTGCTTTTCGATGTTGAGCTTCGATTGGTGAAAAAAAGTGCTGCCTTTACAATTTAGCTTCCTGCGCCTTGGCTGCTCTCTCAGCCTTGATCTTTCGCTGAGCCAACACCGCCCTCCCCGCGCTACTAGCATTGCTTCTCCCAATCTCGCCATTGATCCATTCGCCCAAGTCCACTAACTTATCCAGATCCGTTCCCGTTTCATAGCCTTCATTGTGCAGCGCAAAGACGACGCTTTCTGTGTCGATGTTGCCTGTCGCGCCTGGTGAGTACGGGCACCCGCCAAGTCCACCTACAGCCGAGTCTACTGTCCTTACACCCAACCTGACCATGTGCAAGACATTAGCCAATCCCGTGTTCATTGTATCGTGACAGTGTGCTGCAAATTGCTCGGGCAAAGCATTGCTGTGTCGAATGGAGGCATTAAGTGCAGCTTCCATGATGGATGGTGTTCCGGCGCCGATTGTATCACCGAGCGAGATTTCGTAGCAGCCCATGTTGAGCAACGCTTTTGAGACACGGCCGACGGCTTCGGGGTCTATGCGGCCTTCATACGGACACCCTGCTACTGTGCTGATATACCCTCTCACTTTCAACCCTGCTTGCTTCGCTCTACTTGTAACCTCCTCGAGCCTCTGCAGAGATTCGTCAATGGAGCAGTTTGTGTTGGCTTTGCAAAAAGATTCAGAAGCGGCGGTGAAGATGGCGATCTCATCCGTCGGTTTCTTCTTCCCTTCATATCCACTAAGTAGCTTGAATAACCCCTCCAAGCCACGCATGTTTGGCACCAGAACAGGGTAGGATTTGGACGAGTCGACTGACATCCCCGAAACCACTTCGGGTGTATCGCCCATCTGAGGAACCCACTTGGGCGAAACGAAAGATCCTGCTTCGATGACCGGAACCCCCGTCTCGGCCAGCCTGCGAATAAGCTCGATCTTAGTTGCGGTGGGGACGATGGCTTTCTCGTTTTGCAGGCCGTCTCTGGGAGAGACTTCGACGATTTTGACAAAGTTTGAGGCTGTGGCTAGAGTTCGGGTTGCGAGGATCGGTCGCTGGAAAGAGGCGTGCAGGGAAGATCTTGAGAGAAGTGATCGGAGCATCTTCGGCGATATCGAGTGTTGAAGATGCAAGAGAGCAGGATCGTTGGGTCTGACAAGAATCGGTGAAGACCTTGAGATCGTGAAGGTGTCTCTACGAGAAATGGAAATTGCGGGGCACCGGCAATGGATTTTCGGGGGAAGTGCGCGTTTCAGCACAGTGACAGCCGACACACCCGACTGAGCCGAAACCACTGAATTGCCTTCGGTATTCGAGCGTCAAGTTCATTTCGCTCAGCTTTCTATCACTTCCAAACCAACGCAATGTAGCTGTGCAGGCGAATGCAGGGTATCGATTGACAACATGTGAAGACCAAGATTACGGTGACAAGAGGGTAACAAAAGGTGATGGCCGAAGAGTTGTCGATGCGCAGTAAGATACAAGTACAGATGCTCAAGCCTAGAACTTAAAGATACAGAATGGGGAAAAAAAGTACGAGGAGTGTGTGTATGTGTCAACGGCCAAACAAACCGGTTAATCATGATTGTAAAAGGACGATGCTCAAGGGATGGCAACGACGATGGTCACAACAACAACAGTGAGGAGCGTGTTGAGTGCCATGATGCGAAGCGCCTTCATCTGCTGTGCTCTACGTACGCGTGCGTCGAGCACACGCTCGGTGCCGACTGCGAAACCGGTACCACGCTGAACTGCAGTCCAGAGCCTCTCTTTCAACGATGCCGGGGTTGGTTCGTCGTAAGCTCGCTTGGGACCAAAGGCGGTAGCGGCAGTAGGACTGACGGCGGTGGTGCTTGTTGCGGCCGACATACGAGACTTGCGGATCGATGGGAGCGCGAACAGAAGCGGTCGGTTGGAGAAAGGCAGGCGAACACTCCTAACAGATGGTGCCGCCCAGGGCGCAATCTCGCGAGGGTCGCGATGAGAGATGGGCATCACGGGTACCGACGAAAGAGCGGCTGGATTCGGAAGTGAAGGCAAGGCATGATCTTGTTTCTTGGTGTCACTCTCAGCGTTTGCTGCGCCTCGAGTGAGCGAGCTGAGTTGGACGTCCTCTTCCATCTGCATTTGCATGCGGCCACTCGACTTGTGGGGAAGCAATGCGTGGGCCAAAGTCTTTTGTCGCGTCGCAGCAGGCGGCGAGGTGTGAGGAGAGCCCGACATACGACCCACCGAACCATCGAGAGGAGCTGTTGGCAGCGTCGCCGAAGTCACTCTGGCTGCCAGTTCCGGGTCGAACAGCAGGGCATCACGAGTCAGAACAGGAGCATCAGAATGATCCTCGGCTCGCTCATTGCCCGATGATGAAACGATGCCGATGCTAAAGTTGAGAAGAGGAACGCGCTTCTGCCTCATCATAGCGGGACCGTTGGGGCTGTTGCCGTTGACAGCAAGGGATTCAGCTTGACCAACATCGTTCAGCGAGTTGCGTGCACGAACAATACTAGGTCGCACCGAAGGCGAAGCATTCAAGTCGAGTGCCGAGTGAGCAGCAGTGAGACGGCCGGATGGATCGGATGCGCCAATCATGACCGAAGGTCGTCGCGGCGTGTGCAAGATGACAGCGGCTGACATGGTAAGAGCGGCATCCTTTTCCATGTAAGTAGGAGACGACAAGGCCGAGGGCGAGGTGATTGAAATGTCGGCGTGCTTCTTGGCTGCAAATGAATTCTCAAACGACACTTTGGTCGAGTAAGGAGCATCAGTGACCTCGGACTTGGAACGCTGTCGGCCCTCTTCCAGGCCGCGCACGTCTGTGCTAGATCGTCGCCGCCTTTGCTTGTCCTTCTTCTGTCCCCTGTTGCCGGTGAGGATGTCAGCGATCTCGGGAGCCATCCAGGGGTTTGTGTTCAACTCGATGTCCATGTCGCGGTCATCGGCGGAGGCTTGCAACTTGGCCAAGTCGAAGCCGACGACATCTTCGCCCGAGTTGCGTGAACGGATCCCTTGACGCTCTCGCTCCTCAGCCTCATCTGGCTCACGGTTGCCGCGCAGGGTGAGCCAGACACAGAGACCGGTGAAGTAGGCAAGTATGTAACCGAGACCAGCGCACCAGACGGGCGCTGTGACGAGACGCCACCATCGGAGGATGTTGCCGGTACCGTTGCCAGCACGTGGGGCAAGAGGCGATGGTGTGACGATGAGCAGGATGGAAAAGACGAGGGCGAGGACTGTGCAGACAACGCCAACCAAGAGACGACCGCGCTTAGTGTTGGGACTGAGATTGCGAGCCACCGAGATGAAGAAGAAGGGAACGACGTGTTGTGACATGTAAGCGTAAACTGCATCAGCGATAGGGCCGAGCACTTGGGGATGTGTGGAAAAGTCGCACTCTGCCAACGAAAGCTGGAGATCGCTTTCGGAGATGAGACCGACGTCAACCATCCATCGAAGGCGGGGCATCTTCTCAACGGCTGAGGAGCCAACGATGCCAGCCGGAGTATCGGCTCCATCGTCAGCAGTGTCGGATGAAGAGATCGAGTCGCGCTTTCGTCGATTCCTACGCGAGCTCGGCAGAACGCAATGGCGACGAGAGCAGAGGTATCGGTGAACGAGGCGGTCGAACTCGACACGGAGTGGCTGCGTCTCTGGCATGAGACCGAGGTCTACTGGTTTGAGGTTCTTGAGCACTTGACGCTTGACGTCCTCAGGGATGTCGGCATCGTCTTGAACTTGTAGCAAGAAGTCAATGGCAGTGAGGTCGGAAGAGACGCATGCCTTGCACTGTTGTCGAACATAAGCGCCGACTGCCGCCTTGCAAGTGGCCGGGTCTGGACTCTTGAGTCGGTCGGACCGCGATTGATCCCTGAACTTGGCGAGGTAGCGCTCATAGGCAACTAGGAAGTCGAGCGCATCGACCTCGTCGTAGTGAAGACGCGGAGCTACCGACTTCTTCTTTGCAAGGTGTGGGGATGGTGGCGAAGCGGTGATGCTGTCGATATTGAGATCAAAGTCGTCGATGGCGGAGCTTTGCATGTCGGAAGCGGGGAAGTAGGATGGCAAACGTTTGTGTGGCTGGCGCTGGAAGTGCAAGAAGGTGCGGAGATCGAGTAGACTGATGGGACGGCAGCTACGGCCGTGGATGACGTCGATGAGGCTAACACCGAAAATGCCCTTCTGCTCGAGTTTGGCGAGATCAGCCATCTTGGAAGGGCCGGCACCTTTGTTGGAGGAAGATTGGAGGAGGAAAGCAGGAGTATGCTGAGCTGGACCTTTGGTGTGGGTGGCGCGACGGCTGTATGCGCAACACTGTGCTCCGTAGCCACAACTTGGTCCACCGCAGCTCTGTGTTGGTGAGGAGGCCGTGGGCTGTTCGGTGTCGGTGAGACAGTCTACACACTCGCCGCGAAGAAAGTTGTTCTTGTTGGGGCCTGCAATGATGTGCCATTCATCTGGTTGAACCCAACCAAAGGTGTTCTCGTCGCGGTTATCAGCGTAGACGTCGTGTTCTGTTGCCAAGCGCCATCTAGAAGCGGATGAGGTGCCTAGAGTGGCACTACCACGACGTTGCGCTGCTGTTGGACTGGAGGCCATTATGATGAAGCGCAAAACCAAGCAGTCGACAGCTGGTGGTGCTTATATGCGGGTGCGGGTCAAGTGGCTGACAAGAATTAATTGGTTGGAGGGATCTGTTCAGCTCCGTGTCATGTTGATGATGGAGGGTGATGATGGATGATTGAAGAGTAGAGGAAAGGTGAAGGCGGTGAGGTATCTATGGTGAAAGGAGTTGAAGCGATTCAAGGGCCTGCACTGGAGGAGGTGGTGGTGTCGCAGCTGCTGGATGTATCGAGACTTGAAAACAGTTCAGAGGTCAAAGGTTGTGATGATGAAGGCGTGCGAGACGAGTGAAGGACGCGGTGGCGGTGATGATGAGTTGGAAGAGAGGGGATGGGATAATGGTACGTTGTGTGGATCGAGGTGCTCAGCAAGGTAAAAGTTGGAAGCTACAGGTGAGTGATGGTAAGCGAGGAAGGCTTGCTGAATGGAATGAATGCAGGTTCAGGTTCAGTCTATTGTGGTTGCTGTTGAGGGAGAGACTGTTGTTGCGGATTTTGACGCTGGCGTAAGGTCGAGCGGCTGCTGGGCTTGAATGGCTGGCAAAGGGGAGACAAGACAGCAGAGGAAGGGTGTGCGATGCAGGTGAAATGTAGAGGCGGTAGGCCGTCTCGGCAAAAAGAGACGGACGAGCTCTGTTTTTGGCAAAGGTTTTGCTTGGGGTTCTCATGTGCGGGGAACCACACGTTCATTGTTCTCCGCATCGCTGCAGGTGCAGGGTGTGAGAAAGTGTCTGACAATACCAGGGAAAAGAGGCAAAGCATTGCAGAACAAGGACGGGAGACAGAAACGAAGCAACGAAACTCGAAAGAAACAGCAGCGCGGCAAAGATGAGGCAGAGCAGAGAAAGGAGAGCCCTGTTTTTTGTCTGGACCAAAGCGGCCTTCTCTGTACACCCTTGTTCAAGTACATTTCCATCGACACAAGCACAAGCACCTCTCGAACACTTCCGTTCGTTCTCTACCAAAGACAAGCAAAGTCGTGGCAAGACCATGAACCATACTCGATGGTTACCAAGAAGCACGATCGCGTATGCAAATGAACAAGGTTCAGACAAAGGAGTGAAGCCACGGTGTTGAGCTGTCAGGTAACGAAGCAAGGCGGTCTTGTGCTTCAACGCCAAATCATCGAATTTGTGCCATCTGCTGCCTGCTTTTCTCAGCCAAAAAAAAAAATCAAAAATCAAAAATCAAAAAAAAAAAAAATCAAATCAATTAAACTACTTGCATTAATTTGACGTCGTTGTAATCGCGTGCACAGTGACGGTGTGTGTGTTTTTGCTTTCTGCAAGATCGCCAAGTTTCGCGGTGTTCGACTCGCTTCCTAGGCCAAATCTCACAGCGCGTATTTCCTACTTGATCTGCCACGAATACAAAAGGGAATTCACCTCGCGCAAAAAGCGTTCCTTACTTGAGCCACAAACAGATTTGACGCGGGAGATGGCCCAAGAAAATCCAATCAGGCACAGTTTGATACCCCCTGACATCGTCACAGCCTTGCGCGTGGGAAATTTGCCAAATCCCAGTGACACACCAAGCAAGCAAGGTATCGAGGCCCGATCGATCGTTCGAAGTCGAGCTGATCGTCGATATTTCCAACCTCATCTTGTTGTGCCAATGTCGAATCTGAATCATCGACGCCAAACAGCCATTGCTTGGACTCTTTGGCTGAGCCAATCGCAACAAGTCGTGGGCAGTCTGAGCCGGCAAGGTAGGACGAGCCAAACACCATCACGAGGCACCACCTCGTCTCCTTAACCGAGGCTCGAGATGGTCATTCGATCCATGTCTCGTCGTCGAATATGTACCTTCCTTGATCATGGAATTGCAACCTGCCAGACACAAAGCTTAATCTCATGTCTCGCTTCTCATTGCATGTCTGTCGGAAGACGGTCAATGGTACAAATCCGAGTTGTGCCTGCAGGTTGGAAGCCCCCCCCCCACAGCTTACAACAAACGAATCCAAACGCAACAGGGTCCAAGATCATCTCAACCGCCGACACCAAGCCACATCTCGCTCCAATTACTTGACACAACAATGATGCAGCTCAGATCGTCATTGTTCGATCGTCATTGTTCGCACTTCACTCCCCTTCCTCCTATACTTAATCGCCTCCTCGTCCCTCTCTTGCACCTTTACTACCATCATACTGTGACATCAGGACATACAACCTTCCCTACAGCATCAAAGCAACACCCTTCCACACACAAACAATTGGCCAAAGATGACCAACACTTCTCCCCGAAAGAGCAGCGCCTTTGCACCCTTCGCAGCAGTGGAGATCCCCTTCTCTTCCATTCCCGCCGCTGGGACACCCGAATATGCCGAGTTTGTCGCCCACTACCTTTCCTCTGCATTTGCTTTCGTTCGCGGCACTCCAGAATGGAACAAGACCAAGGCCTTCAACACCGACATCGGCGGCAATGTCCAATGCAAGATCCTTCCAAGTCAAGTTCAACAACTCGCAAAGAAAGGCTGGCATCTGCGCGAGTCCCAACACGGCCCCGAATATGGCTTGACATTCGAGGACTTTAGAAGGTACCTACGATTTCAGCACCCTACCTTCGAGAGACAGTACATCCAAGACATTACCTTGGTCGAGTGCGTCCACAAGGTCAAGAAGGATGAAACCGAGATTTGGCACAATGCTTGTAAGTTCACTCACCCTTGATAGGGCCTCTATTGCAAGTGAACGGATCGCTGACTGACATATATTCCTCCTTCGCTTTGACAATTCGAGCAATACAGACAAGCTCCCTATCGTCACCGCAGACAGAGACTTTGTCCAGATGCTTCTCACCATCGACCTTCCACCTCATCCTGAGCCATTCTCCGAAGCACACCAAGCCGCCACTCTCGCTTGGGTCCGTGACCCTAGCCGCACCATCGACCCTCCTTCCGCCTCCACCGAACCTGCGTATCGCTCCTTCTTAGTCCTCCAAATCCCTATCTCCCACCCCGACTATCCACAAAAGCTACCCAAAGTTCGCGCGGTCTACTCGTCCTTCGAAGCTGTATTTGAAGCTCCGGCTGCAGATGAGCAAGGAGCAAAGGCGGTGAACTGGAAGATGGCCGTTCAATCAGACACGAGAGGAAGGATTCCAACAATGATGCAAGAGATGGCTATGCCCGGTGAGATCGCACACGACGTTCACGCCTTTATCGGTTGGGCGAACAAGTACAAGGCTGAGAACCCCCCTGCGGCTAACAACTGATCAACACGACAATTCATTCTAGACTCTGTTCTCTTTCATGCTTTCGCTAATGCACATTCGACTCACTCTAAATGTGTCATGCCATTACGTTTGTGCTTTGGGAGGACTAAGACTTCTCATCTAACCCCATCTCCCCCAATCGCTCCTCTATTGCTGCTGGTGGAGGAGGTGGCGGCGTTCCTGGTGATCCCGGCACTCCACCTCTGCTCGGACTACTAGCTCTACTATTGCTACTGCTCGCCGACCTTTTCTGGAACAGCCTCAATGCTGGATGTGCTGATTGACTCCTGTGTTTTCTTCCCTCATCCCGCCCATCCCTGCTCTGAGGTACACTGGTGTATTCATTTCTCGCCTTGTTCCTCCGTTGTCTGAGCTCATTCAATCGGTCCCATTCCCGCTGATAGTCGTTCTGGTTGACGTGGAGATCAGCCAGGACTTCTCGTGCTTGCAGCTCAAACTCGACCTCATCTTCCGCCTCTATTAGCCCGAACCTTGCTGTTTCGTCCGTGGGCGTCGAGCCAGAGTAGCTTCGTGTTGAGGTTCTTCGGTCTTGTCTACCTCTTACATCCGTCATCCCCACTGCTGCTGCTGCGGCATTTGTGCTGGCGCCTGCAAAGCTCGAGCCCGAAGCAGACGGATCATCCGTACTTCCTCTCCTACTCACGATCCTGGACAACGTCGGACTAGAACTTGAGCTCGAGCTTCTGCCTCCCGCACCGATACCACCATTCCTGAGGAGTCTCTGCTGTAATCTATGACTTAGCATCTCTCGCCAGATCTCACTACTAGCCTGGATTTCACTTTCGCTTGCCGCCTGTTGTTCCATCTCCATCAGATGCTCCAAATCTTCTCCGCAAACACATTGAGTGAAGGATTCGTGTTCATTGCGACCGGCCCAGAAGTCTCGTGAGATCTTCGGTACAGGGTTGGCGTCTTCTTCTGTGTAGGATGGAAGTCGCATGGTTTGCCATCGGCAGGCGCAGGAGGGAAGGATGAGACCCCAGGATGCTCGATATGTGCGGACGTCACTGCCGGACGGAAGCGACGGGTCGGAGTACTGGATAGTGAGTTCGAGGGCATGAACCATCCCAATGGCACAGTCGCTCCCAGGTAAGGTCGATGCTCGCGCTTCGGAGTCGTTGGGAATCCGAGCTACCCAGTTGCATTGGCCCAGTTGAGGCAAGGAAGAGTATGCGATGGGATCTGTGGAGCACAAAGGCCCAGAGGCATCAGCTTCATCGTTTCTTGATTGCCTTTGTTGATGCTGTTGCTGCTCCTTGGCGAGTGCGAGAAGTCCATCAAGTCCACCATCATCATGTGCTTGCTGCAAGCACTTCTTGAGCTCTTCGGCCCCTGCTTCAAAGAACACGAATCGCTCTGAAGGCGGATACTCCAAATAGTTCCGTCGCACTCTCGACTTGAGTGTCGTCTGCTGCAACAACGCCAACTTGAGCGAATATAAACGTAGTGTCGGACTTGGACTAGCCAATGAGAACGTGATGCGCAGATATCCTCCTACGGTCAAATGCTGTGTTCGCACACCCAAGAAGATAGGGCCTAAACCTTCTTCCGCCGCTCGATGCACATGATAATATGGCAGGAATCCCGTCGCAGCCACTGTCTGGATGAAGAATAGATTCTTTTCTGCCAAGAGTGTCTTCTTGCCCAACAATCCGGGGAACGTCGCTTTCACCTGTACCTTTTGATGATGCCTTCCATACTTGCATCGTTGGTACGGCGCCGTACTGTGGTCAACACTGAAGGAGACCTCAAATTGATAAGTGGTCCCTGCTTCGAGCTTGAGATCGATAGCGGATGCGATATTCTTCTTGTTGTAGTAAGGTTGATTCTGTTCGAAGCCGCCTTTTGGAAAACCGATTGATTCGTAGCCGACCAAGCTGGCTGTCAGACTAAGGAGTTTCAAGGGAGGATTGTAGCCAGCGGGTATGGTGAGTTGGATGATGATCTGGACGATAGCTGGCTCATGGTCTTCAGGTGTTTCGTTCTCGGAGCAGACCTGAGGGCTGAGAAAGACGTCATTGACGGTCGTGCTGAGGATCTTGAGGTCCATGTTGGCGGAGACCGTTGACTGTATCCGTGCTCAAGCTCGTGGTGAGGATGTCGCTTAGAGATCTCGAGAGCTGTCCAACGACGGTAATCAGCTCCCGATGTCCGCTGGCCTAGCTTTCCTTATAGGCGAAACGGGCGCATGCACGGGGGCCCAGTTTCAGCCAGAGGGGCCGTCGACGGGCCGAACAATGTGGGCCTTGACCGGTCGAGCGGTTGGTGAGATATGAGATAGACAAGGCTAAGCGGTATACTGCTGGTTCGAAGGTAATGTTGGAGATGTAGGAAGATGGAGGCTGAGTAACATTGAGTGTCGACTTGGTTGGCCAGAATCGCTCGTTCATCTCGCGCAATTTTCTAGTGACAATTGACATCATCACTTTTCCCGAAGCGCCGGCAGACCCCAGATCCACGGACACTTTTACGCGAAGAAAGCTGGGCATTAAAAAAAAATCAAAAATCAAAAATCAAAAATCAAAAATCAAAAATCAACAACAGGTGAGTTCGAATTGGCGGCGCGACCAAAGGTTGCCCGATGATCGGGATGACGCTGACGGTGAGGTACGATGCTCTACAGCACACTCAACAGTTCCAGATCGGCACTTGGTCATCCCTTCCGACATCAGCCTGCGCTACTTTTCAAAGCGCTCGCCTTGGTTCCATGCAGCGAGCATCTGCCACTTCATACCGCCGACAAGCACGGTGCTCGACAGGCTGATCTATGAAGCCCATAATGTAATGTCTGAATCGTACGCTTGGGGTTCCCTCGCGCCATTGTTTCGAGATGAGTTGATTTGATTCGGGTCCTTGATCAACTCATCCCAAGAGTGGTCATTGGAAGTAATCCTGTTGACGGATCAGTCAAGTTGACTCGACCGGCTTCGAGCAGGGCTGCAGCAAGGTCGCAGCTTGACCCGCTCATTCATCTGTCCTGTACTTCTATCGTCATCTTCCGACCTGCATGAACAGCCTGCTTCTGTATGTGGATCCCAACACTGAAGCTGGTATTGCCAGTGATAGTGGTTCATGGCAGCCGACGGAAAGGACGAGGCCCTGCATTGTCGTACAGAGGAGTCAACGATGAGAAAGAAGCTTGCACACTCCAAGATTTGTGTTCAAGGTCAGCTGTCAAATGCCAAGACCGCGCTACCATGATCCGACTTTGACCGATCGCTTCTATGCAAGGAGACTTCATGACTTTCGAGTAGGGCGTCCTCTCGTCGTTTGGGCGAATGAAGAGCGGGGTAACACGCGGCGGCTCACGTTATAGCCTTGTCCGCTTCGAAACATTCTTTGCTTCTAAGCCATCTCCAGGCTGAAGAGTGGATCCAGGATGCAAATCTCCCCCACGCACGAAAGTGGTGATCATTGCAAAAGGAGACCCCTGAAAAGTATTGCCGTCTGCTGTGGCATGCTTATTTCAGGCAATATAAGTTCCCATACTCAATCTAGCCTCAGCCCCCATTGTCAAGCGAGCCCACGCTTAGCCAAAGTCGAGCTTCACACTCTATCGCCACTCCCTTGGCGCGAACGACTCTGACCAATGCTTGATGTTACGACCCCGAGCTTGTTCAATCTTCATCTTGCACCTCTTCCCAGGCCAGAGAAGAGCCCGAGCTGGAGCGGCATCGTCGGTTCCCAGTGCGTTGCATACAATGCCAGAGAGCATGTCACGCTGCAGGTGTCATTGTGAGCAGAACGAGCCAGAAGGATGCTGATAGACTAGACTACACCACCATGGCGTCGAAAGAGGGGCAAGAATGAAGGTCCAAGCGGAGATGCAGCACCGAGCCTGCGTTACTGGCTCGATGTTTTTGCAACAGCTCGGCGCGATCCGGCTATACAACCTGCCCAAACAGAGAAGTCTTGGTTTGGAGCTCGATTTACAGGAAGCTTTTACATGCTCCCAGCAACCGAAGAGCCGATGCAGCCTCATACTTCGGATATGCTTTCACTCGTCCTCGCTTGTCAGTCGGCGCAATCGCCATGATCCTTCATTTGGCATCGACCCGTGGTTGTAAGTGCACAGAGCAGGAATGCGCGTTAACGTAGACCGAAGGCCTCTCTGCAGCAAAGAAGCAAGAGGTATAGCATTCATGCGAACTGCTGCGCCCCGCTTGAGCGCTAGCAGAGAAACAGCAGAGGAACAGCCGATCCAAGCGATCCTATCGTCGCTAAGCCAAGCTAATGCTCTCCGTGCAAGTCCGCGTGCGATCGTCCTGTTGGCTGAGGAAGCCTCTTCTGTACCAGAAACGATAGGGGCAGCTTAAAGAGATGCTCCACGCACGAGCTTCAACTACGCTGCCGTGTATAGCGGGAGACGATTCAGTTCGTCACGAGGATAGAAAGGTATAAGATGAGGGACTTTTGAGCAAGTCCCGTCCGCACATCATTCACGATCTTCATCCATCAGGTCACACTTCTGCCACCCCCTAGTACCCAGTTTACTCGCAGTCTCGACCTCTTTTCTCAATTGCCAATCTCAAGATGGTCGGAACCTCCTTCAACGCTCTTGTCGCCGTTCTTGCGGTCGCCTCTTCGATCGTCGCCTCGCCTCTCCCCGTCAAGCGTGCTCCCACCTGGGCTGACCGAAGCACTGCCACCATTTACCCCGGTGTCAACACAAACACTGCCGGTAGCTGCACTTCTAACTTCATCTTCTACCAGGGTGACGAAATCTACATTGGTCAAGCCGCTCACTGTGCTAGCACTGGCGAGTCGACCGACACTGATGGTTGCTCTTCCGGTTCTCTTCCTGAGAATTCGCCAGTAACCATCACTGGTGCTTCTCAGCCTGGTACCCTCGTCTACTCGTCCTGGTTGCGAATGCAGCAGCGTGGTGAGACGGATGCCAATACTTGCGCCTACAACGATTTTGCCCTCGTCCGTATTGACCCTGCGGACCACGACAAGGTCAACCCCACCGTCCCCACTTTCGGTGGTCCCACCGGTCTCCGCACCTCCGATCTCTCTCCTCTCGAGCAGGTCTACAGTTACGGCAACTCGGTCCTCCGTCAAGGCATTACCCTCTTGAGCCCCAAGTTCGGTGTCAACCTTCAGGAGCAGGGTCATGGCTGGTCGCACAACATCGGTACCGTCAGCCCCGGTATCCCTGGTGACAGTGGAAGCGGTTTCTTCGACAAGTCAGGTTTGGCTTTCGGTACTCTTAGCACCCTCCAGTTCGCCCCTCTTCCCGCTTCCAACGGTGTCGGTGACCTCAACAAGGAGCTCTCGTACGCCAGGACCTTCGGAGACTTTGCCGGCGTTCAGCTTGCTACCGGTACCGCTCCTTTCGCCGTTGCCTTGCCAGACCTTTCCACGGGTCTCGTTTCCACCCTTCAGAACCTTCCAGGTGCCTTGGCCAGCGACCAGGGTCTCTTAGGCCTCTAAGCTTTGAACCCCTCCCTCTAGACTCTAGACCTTTCGAACTCTTTCTCCATACTTTCATGTTCCGATTTATACTCTATGCAATAATGAAAATTGGATCGCACGGATCCCGATGACTGGCGATCGGTGAGAGTCGGAGCACGATGTCACTGCTGTTTTAAGACAGACACATGTATACTCAATTGACTAAAGGAATGTGGCGAGAGCCTAGTGCTCTCGGCTTGATATACAGCTCGTGCATAAACTGTCCCATGATTTTACATGTCACCACACATCACTCCAATGCTCAATAGCCATATGTCTGATTGCCACACTGTCTGACATTGTCTGAAAGCTCTGCTTCTTCTCTCCAAGACTGTGTAATTGATATTGACATTACATACAAAAATTGTGCATCAAAAAAGAGCCAAGAAATTTTTTATTGTGGGACAGTTTATGGAGCATGCCACCAAATAGCATCACCACTCCATTCCTGACCTTGTGGGCTTTTGACTACAATGAAACTTGCAATGTAACTTGGTGGGCACCTTCATAAACATCAAAAGTAGTGATGTGAAAAGTTTCAGCTCAATCAGATGATTGTGAGTGATCTGGCAGTGCTTCCAGTTTGATGCCATCATATCTATACCATCATGCCAAAAACCACCCCAGAGAAATGCCAATTGGCACTCTTTCACCTTCAAAATGGGGAAACTACACATTCAGTTGCCAAGCAACTTGGTTTGAGCAAGTCTACTGTGAATCACATCAGCAAAAGCACCTCCACTGATGTTCCAAAGTCAAAGGGGGGCCAGCCGAGAAAACTCCAGCCTCATCATGTTTGCTTCCTGGACCACTATTTTGAGCTCAATTCAACCTCCACAGTCAGGAAAGCATGTCAAGCACTGCAGGATACAATCCAAGTCACAGTTTGCCCAACCACAGTAAGGAAAGCACTGCAATATTGTTGCTACAAAGCATGGAGGTTGGTGAAAAAACCCAAGTGTCACAGGGCCAGCACAGAGATCATAAGCAGACATGCTGCGCAGCCGCCAAAATGTGCTTGGCACACAAGAAGCGGGACTGGTCGAGAGCCAGGGGCTCCAACCAATCTCATCGAGAATGGTCAGATAGCAAGCTGGGGCAAAACCTCATCTTGAGACAGTGGGAACTGGGAAGTTTCACCAAGACTGGCCCAAGATGAAGCAGATCAACTGGTCCCATGATGAGATGAGGATGTCTCACCAAGATTGAAGGGCCAGCCACTGAGAGCAGGGAACGAGAGAACTTGCCACCTGATGAGGTGGGAGGAGACCCCTGAGCACAATGAAGGCAGCATAGGAGGATCGCTGCCTCAGCAAGAGGAGTAAGGGTAGGAAGGGCAGGAAAGTAGTTGGAGCCAGATAGACAAGGGTGGACAGGGAGGCCACACCCCTGTAAGGAGGGAGGCCATGGTGAAGTAGACACGATGGCACAAAGATATATATACACCCTGTCATGGGGCTGGATGCGCAAAAAGCAGGAAGATCCATCAACTCATATGAAGGGAGTGCAGGAATCAAGGAATTGGGCAGATCGTAGGATTTGCAGCAGAATTCATTGAGATCTGTAGTAGAGACAGCTCTATTACAGATCTCACCTAGATCAGTGCAAGCGAAGTTGATATCACGAATCCCACCAGAATCTGCAGTAAGCATGATCATATGGCAGATTCCATGGAGATCAGTGGCAAGGATGATCATTTGGTGTTTTCACATGCGAGGAGGACCAAGCTCTGCCAAGGACAAGGACGGAGCCCAGAGGCATGCAGCTGGTTACCACTCAGGGGTTCACAAGATGAGAGTCAGGAGAACAGTCGCTGGTTAGGAGGAAGGGGAGCTGTGTCACTAACACCAGCATATGGGTCATGAGGAGGAAGAGCTGTGTCGAGGAGGTCGACACACAGCTCAAGAGGGACAGGAGCAGTGCTACAGGGTCCTCTGTATAGTACTCGACAAAGAGGGTACTCTCTGGAGAGAGAGAGCTGGAGCAGTGTCACAGGTGACACTGCAAAGGATGTATAAAAGCATACCTTCTCATCATAAGTGGATGAGTGGATCCTCATCCACTCTACACCATATAACTAGTATTACTTCAAAAGCATAAGTACTCATTAGTTTCAGTCAGCATAGTCTCAATCAAATAGATTGCTTCTCATTGTAGCATGTGTGTTGTATCACCACTCACTGATGTCCAAAGGCAGTTCATAGCAAACCAGTGGTCCAGATAAAGATAGAACCAAAGGCAGTCATCCACTGCAGTCTGGGGATCAGCACAAGCACTTAGTCAACACACTGGACACTCATGTCAACATCACCAGCAATCATATTCACACCAGACCTTGGTGTCAGTACAAGTCCACATCATTATTGATCATGCCGAGCTACCTCTGGACAGAGTGTCCACAGTGGTCAGTCAAAACCTGCAATAGCAAAACCCTTACTGCAGTTCCAAGTGAGAAAAGTGATAGAGACAGCTCTACTACATATTTCGCTGAGAATTGCAATACCACGAGCATTGTCGCATAACTCGACAGGATTTGTAATAGACACGACTCTATTACCGATCTCAGGTTTTGGGTGTGCGACCGCTGACACACCCCTCTGTCATAGTGAATGAGTGGATCCAGTATCCACTCTATTCTTAACTAAACTATACTCTACTGTAACATATACTTAGTTGTTCTGTCACATAGTGCAATTGCAGGCCATTGCTACTAATCCAAGCAGGTGTGTCATATCACCCCTCACTGACATTGTCTGTAGGCAGTAGTTACTGTGGTCCAGATACTCATCTCTCTGAAGGCAGTAATCATACTGTGGTCCAGGCTTCTCTCACCAATTTGCCATTTGATCATCAACACCTCAAACACTTGTGTCAAGTTGACAGATTATCATCCTGTATATTAAGTGTTCTGCAACAAGCAGGAACCAACTGTGCCATGTTACCACTGAACTGAGTGTTCACAGCAGTTAGCCGAAACTCATCAAACCAACAATCCTTCAAGCAGTCTCAGTGAAAGTGGCCAACAGGTGCATACTCAAGAGTGTTCACTGAAACTGGTTGAAATCACCCAAACTGGTAGCTTTCGGGTTCCAGGCACATGACCGCTGACACCAAGCTACTCAAGAGACACCACAAAGCCCATCGCAAATTTGCCAATGAGCACAAGGATATGACTGTTGAGGATTGGAAGAAGGTGGTATGGTTGGACAAGACAAAGATCAACTTCTTCAGACTGGATGGTAAGCAGTTCTGATGGATTAAGAATGCTGGCTTCAACAGCAAGCTTGTCAGGCCAACAGTCAAGTTTGGCAGTGGCTCCATCATGATCTGGGGCTGTATGATGTAGGAAGGGGTGGGAGGTATGTGCTTGGTGCTGGGTTCAATGAATTCAGACCAATACATTGATATCTTGAATGACAAGCTTGTGAAAACAATCTCAGATTTGCAGCTTCAACATGCATACACTGACATCATGTTTCAGCAAGACAATGACCCAAAACACATGTCAAAGAAGACAACAACATGGTTGACAAGCAATAGCATTAAGGTTATGCAATGGCTGGTGCAGTTGCTGGACTTAAACCTGATTGAACACCTCTGGCACCATCTCAAAATGTGACTTTCATGGTATAGTATGATTGCAAAGTCCAGGGATGAACTGCTCAAGAGATGCAAGGCTGAATGGGCAGCAATCACTCCAGAGACATGTAGGAACCTAATAGAGAGTATGCCAGACCACATCAAGGTGGTTCTGAAGGCAAAAGGAGGGAATACAAAGTACTAAGGTGTTGTAGAGGAGTGCTCCATAAACTGTCCCACAATAAAAAATTTCTCAGCTCTTTTTTGAAGCACAGTTTTTGCATGTAATGTCAATATCAATTACACAGTCTTGGAGAGAAGAAGCAGGGCTTTCAGAAGATATCAGACTGTGTAGCAATCAGACATATGGCTATTGAGCATTGGAGTGATGTGTGGTGACATGTAAAATTGTGGGACAGTTTACACGTGAGCTGTATATACATTAGTGTGGCACATGTCGAGTGTGGGAGCATCCTACTTCATGACCTAGCTTGACAACGAGCGGGACTGTGTTGTACCCGATCTCTGGTGAGATTGGCTCGGCTCGATCTCTGATCAGTATGGGAATCAGAAATACAATGGCAGTTTGGTGAAATCATGCTTTGTCTGTCAGGCTGACGAGATTCTCTTGCAGCAATGCTAGCGCCTTGTATCTGTGTGAAAGCGAGTTCTTCTGCTTGGGGTCCATCTCTGCGTATGTCAAACCGGTGCCCTTTATCTCAAGAATCGGGTCCCATCCAAAGTATGTTGGTCCACGTGGAGGAACGATGACACCCTCGGTCTTGCCTTCAAAAAGCTTGACTTCCTCGCCTGGTCCAGCACAGTAGGCGAAGGTGCAAATCGCGGACGCGGTGCGATCTTCGAAGCCGTCAAGCATCTTGTTCAGCCCGTCGTGACCTATTGTTTTCATGAAGTCCTTGATGTAGGGTCCTGGCAGTCCACCGAGCGCATGGAAGCCGAGTGCAGTGTCTTCGGTGATGCAGGGTCCATTGAGGGCTTGCGCTGCAGCTGCGCATTTGGCTTGAGCTACTTTTCGCGTTGATCCTTGAATCTCGGGTAGGTCGAGGTCCTTGTTTGTGAGCTCGTAAGAGAAGTTGGGAGATGCTGCGAAGATCTGCTGAACCTCACGCAGCTTATTGGCGTTGCCTGTGACAAAAGTAAGGGTGGGCTTAGACATGATGGCCGGCCGTATGACAGCGTCTGTATGTGATATGCGGGTAACGATGAGGAGAAGACGATCAGTAGGAGAAAGTTGGAAGAAAGGATGGCAGAAAGGAAGAAAGTGAAATTAAGATTCCTACGCGTTACTCGACTCAGCGTCAACTGACTGCGAAACTTTATTTCCACGGAGAGACGTGACATTTCCGAATTCCGCGATTTTTCATAATCCTGTACTGCCGCTCTCATGACAGCATGACCATCTGGTATTGTCTCTTCTCAATCTATGAATGACAACTGGTTCTTAAAACAAGCAATCAAGGTTCGCAAGAATAATGCAACAAAACTTTCTTGTACAGATTGCATGTGTAAAGTACAGCCTGGACGCAGTTTTGATGCTTGCCTCTTGAAAAGGCGAGCGAGTCGTGGTATATGAGGAGAAGTAATCAGAGCATGTAAGTGAACTCGGGGTGGGCATCACCAAGGTACTCGCGGATCTTGGAGTCGCCCCAGCCGAGCTGCTTGAGTTCGGTGACACGATAGTCACGCTTTCCTGCCTTGCGTTGTCTGTTCTCCCAGAGCATGTATAGCTCTGCTATTGTGACTAGAGCGAGGGCGGCTATGTTGAGACACAAATTGACAAGGAAACCGCGCCTATAACGAGGGGCCTCGTTGTTGTAGAAAAGCCAGACTGATAGGATACCCCCGCCGTTTGTGAAGACGATGTAAAGCGCGATGGCTGTCGCGCGTTTGTAGAGGCCTGCAGTGTTATTAAGCATCCAGCTAATTCCAAGCGGAGGAATTGAATAGGTACCGCACGAAAGGAGGATGATACCACCATATCGCTGCGAGGCCACTTTCGAGCCGTAGGCAAGGCCAACACCAGCAATGGAAAGGAGAATGAGACAAACGACCGAAATCCAACGCCACCTGTACTTGTCAGAGAGGACGGCTGCAGTAATTGAGACGAAGAAGGCGGCAGCAGTGGGAGGAACTGAGAGTAATTGAGCCTCAGCAGTGGTGCTTGCGATACCAAGAGTTCGAATGATAGTTGGGCTGAAAAAAGCCGAGGAATAGAGCAGGGTAGCGTAGGCGTAGCCAGAAGCAGCGAAAAGTACGACCAATGGATCGGTGAAAGTACGGATGACCTCGCGAAGCACGAACTTGCCGTTGTACTCGAGCTTGTCATCAGTAGCGGCAGCAACACGCTTCTCAGTGGTGGTAAAGGCGTCAACGTTTTCGGGATCCTGAGTGGGCTTAGAGACGGGAGGGGCCATACGAGCGTAAGCAAGCTTCTTCTCCTGGGGGGTTACCCACCAAAGCTTGGAGATATCGTTGGGCAGAATCCAGAAGCAGAGCAAACCGAAGAAAATGGTGAAGATGCCCTCAATGATGAAGATCCACGCCCATCCTCCAGGCTTGTGCTTGATCAGACCGATGGCAGTGGCAAGGAGACCCCCGAAGGTACCAGAAAGCGAAGCGCCGGAGAAGTAAAGTGCCTGTCGAACACCCATCTCCTCACGCTTGTAGAAGAAGCTAAGGTAGAGGGCGAGGCTCGGTAAGATACCAGATTCTGCTAACCCTATAAAGGCACGGTTTACGTACAAACCAGTCTTGTTTGTGACCAGACCTTGAAGAGTAGAGACCAAACCCCAAGACATGACGAGGAAAGGGATCCAGCGTGCAGGCCCGAAGCGTTTTACGACCAGATTCGATGGGATCTCGAAGATAATATAAGGAATGTAGAGAACAGTGAGAGCAATGCGGTAGTCGTAGCCATCCTTTCTCATCTTCAGGTCTTCCTCGAGACCGTTAAGACGGGCCTGGCCAATGTTTGTGCGGTCCAAGAAACTCAAGAGGTAGAGAATTAGACAAAGGGGAACAATCTGCCAGTCGAGCTTCTTCTTGAGTGACATCTCGAGAGCGGCTCGCTCCTCTTCCGACAGAGACTCAATGTCATCGTCGGCGGGAACAGCGGCCTGGAGGTGGCTCTGCTTGTTGTCGTTGATGCTGTCGGAAGGGGAAGAGCCTTCGTGCTGATGAGAGAGCTCTGCCGGAGCGGCAGCCTGAGCGGACATGTTGGGCCAAGTCGATATCGTCGCCGCGTAGGTGGGAGAGAGACAAAAAGGTCAAATCGGTAGGGAAAGGGTGATGGTCAGGAAGGGAGGCGGACAAAGGAGAATGTTCGGAAGGCAGCAACTCTTTATACCGATCTTCTTGCCAAGAAGAGAAAGATTGAGGGGAGTGTGCGAGGCAGCTGTCAGAGGTGCAGGTATGGCGACTCAGGTCCCGCCGTGTGACAAGCTCATAAACCCGGGTTTTTTGAAAAACGCGCTTTTCAAAAAGACGCAAAAACTTTGATACGCGCCACGAAACGCCCCTTTGAATGAAATCGAGCTCCGCACAGACGGCACAGACCAGTTGACTGGAGTATAGCTTTTGGCTCAAGAATCATTGCTCAAGGCAAAGCGAAGACGTGGGTTGGTGCAAGTCGAGTCAGGGCAGACAGATGCAATGCGTCAAGGTGCATGTTGAGATTCTGCAGATGAGATCAGATTGGTGGAGAATCTGAGCGAATCAGCGCGGGGAACGTAAAGGGGAAAATAAAAAAGGGGACATGTGCAAGAAGCGCCAAGCGAAGCTGAGTTGAGAGCCCTCCTCGGTTTCGTTGTGTCCCGATACATGCCCAGCTGTGGCCCTCATCACCTTTCTCTGGTGCAGGCGCCAAGCGAAGCAAAGTTCCAAGAGACGAAAATTTCTCCAAGGGAAAGGTTTACCCGACTCAAGACCAATTCGAGATGGACAAATGGAACGTCGAAATGGCGCGGAGAATCGAGCAACGAACGACATGGCTTCCTCCGCAATCCGAAGAACCGAAGCCGGACACTCTTCCTTGCACGACCTCTCTCACTCACTCTGCAATGCGTTCTGTCCCTAACTTGAGGCCAGAAAGCAAGCCACCCCCGCGTCGATCTATGCTTCTTTCCGCCGTAACCGTCCGCAACTCCTGTTAGGAGTGACATGTGGACGGTCCAAGTGTCAGCGGAGTACAAAATCGTAAGACGGTAGCTTCCAAAGGAAAGTGGCGGCTTGCAACCACGTTTCAGGGTCCGCAACTGCCATACTGCGACAAGACTCCTTTGTCATAGCCGGTCCAGCCGGTTGTCAATTGAGCCCCGTGCCTGAATGGCCCCTCTTGTAGCCTTCGTCCACCTCACGGACCTTTTTTGGTTTACCTTGCCCCGCATGCTCATGTTAACACATACACCGCGGATCTGGTGATGGACATTTGAGGTGACGACGCGATTGGACCAAGCTTTCTGTAGAAATGAGATGAGAGCAGAACAAAGTTGCTAAGCTGGACTTTCAATGCGTTTGATCATGACATTGTAATGGAAGCGGAGTGAGCAGGGTCTGTGAGTTTGCTTTGCGTTTTGTCTTGGCGTTCTTGAATTCGTTGTTCCGCTTGCTGTGCTTGCTTGCTCGGTTATGACACTTCAGATCCGCGTTATCCCTTCGGTTGCTCCCATGGCTAACTTCCCCATGCAACTCGATCCAATCTTACCCCGCAAAAGCAAGCAAGCGTGTTGTTCCTCGCATGGTCAGGCACGGAGGTGGGTTTCCATCGGTGCAAGCGGCCAAGGTGACACCGCCTAAACTGCAGAGCGCCACCGTCTAGAACGCATCTTTGCCGCCAGAAGACCACGTCAAACGGATTTTGCGGGGTAGCTGATTCTTCTTGGTCGTTACAGCTCTGCATGCTCATCGCAGCCATGCGATTGGTTGTGCCTTTTCTCTCGGTCTGATCCAAGTTTCGTTGTTTGATTGCAACTCGTTGTGCATGAGATCAAGGTGCAGACGAAAAGATGCGAAAGGTCGGACGAATCAGCATCGACATCCGTGACTCGCAAATATCTCTTGTCCAACCACATCTTCTCGCCCAATCAGCAAAGACAAAATCAGAATTGTCACATATTGCGCCAACGTTTGACGTTGGAAGTGTCGCCCTAACATCGCATGCTATTTCTCCACGCTCTAACACTGTACGTTTTGTTGCCGGCGGCTGCTCGGTTTTGACGGCTGCTTTGGGATTCGGAAAGCGAAAAAGTCGACTTCTTTTCTCTTTTTCTTTGTGGAATGCAGAGATCTTCTTTGCACAGACCCTGGAAGAAAAACTCTTACCCCGTACGACCAACATCTTCAAGGGCGATCTCCATCTTCACCTTCACCCTTACAGTCATCGAGAATGTCGTCGTCAGCAACTTCATTTGAAGGCGCTTCGGCACGTGAATATCATGCCAACCCAACTTGGAAGTCAAAGAAGGAAGCTCAACAGGTCGATTACCCTTCGCAGGAAGCTTTCCAGTCGGTCATGAACCGAATCGAGCGCCTTCCAGGTCTCGTATCCTCCAACGAGATCGACCGACTTCGATCTCAACTTGCTTCTGTCGCAGAGGGCCATGCTTTCCTCCTCCAAACTGGTGACTGTGCAGAGCTCTTCGACTACTGCAACCCAGAGCAGATCCAAGCCAAGCTCAAGCTCTCATTGCTCATGAGTCTCATCCTCATCTGGGGCGCACGCAAGCCAGTGGTGCGTATTGGACGAATTGCCGGACAGTACGCAAAGCCACGCTCAAAGCCTACCGAAATCATTACCAAGATCGATCCTACCACCGGAGAAGCAACCAAGCACGAGATCATGTCCTTCCGAGGAGACAACATCAACGCATTCAGTGCAGAGCCTGCCAGCGCACGTATCCCTGATCCTGAACGCTTGCTTCAGGCCTACTTTCATTCGGCTGCCACCCTCAACCATATTCGATCGGAGCTTGCGAGCGGTCTTGCCGATCTGCATGCCCCTCGACAGTGGTCCTTCCAACACGTCCAGTCCAGCGCGCTTCAGACTGAATTCGAGTCGGTCGTCGATTCGCTCACCGACGCTCTCGACTTTATGAAGGCCATCGGTGCCGACCCTAGCGCCTTCTCCTCTAGCAGCGTACTCAACTCGGTCGACTACTTCATCAGCCACGAAGGACTCTCGTTGGCATACGAAGAGGCGCTCACTCGACTCGTGCGCAAGCCAACACCATCCAACCCTAAACCTGCACGCAACGTTCACCCCTCTGATCTTGCCAGCGGTGAGCCGGACGACGCGGCACTGGAGAGATACGATCTCTCTGCCCACACCATTTGGCTAGGCGACAGGACAAGACAGCTTGACGGTGCGCATGTTGACTTCTTCTCTTCCATTCGCAACCCTGTTGGTGTCAAGGTCGGTCCCTCGATGAAGCCTCAGGAGCTGATCGAGATCCTCAACATTCTCAACCCAGATGTGCCCATTCCCAGCACAGCAGCATCAGGTCGCACGAGTGGCTGGTCCACCACAAGTGGCGCACCTCAAGTCGTCCACGGCAAGGAGAAAGGTCGAGTCATGGTCATCATCCGTCTTGGTGCTGGCAAAGTCGCCACGCACCTTCCACCCTTGCTCGAGGCAATTGCAGCAAGCAACCACAAAGACTCGATCATCTTGCTTTGCGACCCTATGCACGGCAATACTCAAACCAGCCCTTATCCACCTGCTTCCTCTGACCCCAGTGCTCAACCCCTCAAGACGCGCTCTTTCGGTGATATCATCTCCGAGATCCTCTCTTTCCTTCAGATCATCTCTTCTGACTTCCCAACACTTCATCTCGGAGGTGTTCACCTCGAGTTGACGGGAGACAAGGATGTCACCGAGTGTTTCGGTGGATCAATGAGGCTGGAGCCCAAGGATCTCGAGAGGGGCTACAAGAGTCACTGTGATCCAAGACTCAACTTTGAACAGTCACTGGATATTGCCTTTTTGCTGTCGCATTACTTCAGAAACCAGAGATTAGGCAATCAGGTCAAGGGAAGCGCTAAGACTGAGGAGGAGATCAAGAGGCAACAGGCTATCATTGAGTCTGGTTCCGGCGACGAACTGCTTGCCGAGTTGATTTGCGGTATCACCAACCGTCCTCAGTAATCTCTTCTCGTTATCGTGTACTTCTATAATCACCCTTTCGTCTCGATGCTTTGTGTACTATCGAACGCAGTTTTATCAAACGAGCTTCAGCTTTCGATTGCAAATTAGAAAGATTAATAACGAATGTGTGGATGCAACGATCTCAACAATAAAGAATGGGTGTAAAATATCACTTACGGGGCAGTGAAAGCAAAGACATGACGAAGGGTAAGCTAGCGCACCTACGTTGCATCTTTCAATTCCCCAGCATCGTCTTGCCGCCTTGGAGGATGTTTCCGCATCTCTTTGAAAGTCTTGATTATTTTCCCTCGTGAGGAAGTCGGCGACAGATTCATCAACCTTCGATAAACGTCTCGAACGCGCTGCGAAGGACTTCGCAAAAGTTGCGCCATCGATGCACGATTGAACACGACGCCGCGCGAATCGTTAGGATTAACAGACGGGTCATAGTGGATGTTGGGCGCTTCTTTGATTCTGAGTGCAGGCTTGAACCCTTTCAATTTAGGAGAGGCAAGGTCGAGCTTAGGCGGTGGGAAGTTGAAGGTGTTCTGATCAGCCTCGTCGAGTCTGTCAGGTCGTTTACGCTTCCGAGGAGGTGCTTCGGGCGACGTAGGTTCGAGAGCACGATTATTACCAGCTTGAACGACTTCGTCATTCGACCGCTGTGCGGCGATTGAACCTCGAATCGAAGTGGGGGGCTGCGAATGAACGTCTGAAAGCCTAGGAGACTCCGTGAAGCTGGACATGTCAAAGATTGGCCTTTGACGTGCCTGTGTCACGGTAAACAGGGTTTCGCCCCTTGGTCCTGTTTCCCAGTCTTTCTTGGCGTTCAAGGCATCCTGCGACTGGGTGGTTGGAGTCTGAAGGTCGTTCTGGTCGTCGCTGCTGCTGGGACGAATCTTTGCAGATTGTCCCCTTACAAACTGCGCCTTTCCTGTTTGCCCTAGTGCTGGATCTTCATTGTAGATGGCGTAACCGGCGTCATTCAGCTCGGCTATCTCCTGCACCTTTCTGATACCTTCGTTTGTCGGCCTGCCCCCTTCCCAGCCTGCGCTCACGCTCGCACTCTTTGCAGGATCGATTTGCTGCCCAATAGGGTCGGTAAAGACGTGCAAATCATTTGGTAGACGTTGGACATTCGGACGGAATCTTGCCCTGTGCAAGATGTCGGTGTAGTCGGCAGGAAGACGAAAGCTTCCAGGTGTGTTACTCTCCATATTGCCAGCCGTTTTCGGGATGTTTGACGTCCAAGACTCTACTGGCAAAGGGTCCGGCGCCACATCGTGTGGAGAGCGAAACGAGCCTGCGGGAGTATACGGTGTGCCTGGAAAATGTGAACTAGAGAAGCTAGAGATCGTTGCTTGTGGTGTTTGTGGATTGGAGACGTCGGCATCCATCGCCGTGAGATCGTCAAACTGCCTGGGTGTCGGATCTGGGCTGATCTCCTGCGAACCCTCTTTCTTCAGACGCAAGGGAGACAGCCCGGTGCCTTCTGCCACCACTCCCTGTTTCGCCTTGGTGGAGGCTGTTAAGGCAGGTTCCGGATAGCCAATGTATCGAGATGCCGCCCTCCTGATCTGTTCCTCCTTGAACTTCATGATTTGCTGGTACTTGTCGTTCGATTCAATGAGGAAAGATTTTACATCAGCATTTGGAGGTTCTTTCTGAGACTTCTGTTCCACAGTTTCCATTAAAGGTTCGGCTCTTGACGCTGCTTCGATGACGGAAACTCCGTCTCGCGACGGACTGGCTTGTCCACTTGGCATTCCTTGGTCCGACTCAATTTCAGGGACCGGGGTTCTCGGTGGAGGCGGGCGGCGATTGGGCTGGCTTGCCTTGAAATCGTTGAAGCTTTTCTTGCGAGTATAACTTGAGCGCCTGCGCTCACGAATTGCTCTACGTGAATTCTCCTCCTTGGAAGGTGATGCATCGGTCTTGACCTTGACAGGTGTCTTTGTGCCGTCTTTGCCCAACTCTTGGGAGAGTCCGGGTACATGAGCGCGCGCTAATGCTTTAAGGCCTGAATCGGGCTCAGAACTTTTGACAGCGGAGACGAATTGCTTGAGATTTGGGACAGGAGTCTCTTGCAAGATGGCTGGTACTCGCAATACACGCGGCAAGACGTATTGCTTGCGGAGATCAGGTTCGTAGATCCACTTCTTCTTGATGTACTTCCACTCGGGATACGGTTGGCGCATCTTGTCGACTTGCCTAAGGACACCAACGTATCCTTTGCGAATCCCTTCGCGAACACGGCTGCCATCTTGAAAGATCTTCCAGTTCTTGAACCTGTCAGGGACCTCTGCTTTGGCCCAGCTCGTTGCTGCTTGTAGTTCTTGTCGTCTAATGAGCTGCGGTTGTTGAATGGCACGGCATGTTGCGCCTGGAGCGCAAGAGATGACTTGCCAACTAGAAACAACAGAGACGACGAATGACAGGAGTAGAAACGTGCTTGGACGTGCAAAACGCATAATGAAACGAGAGTTCAAGCCGTGAACATGAGTGGGATGAAGTATACTGGTAGCATCCTCCGTGCTCTTTATAGTATGTTGACTGAGAGACGAATGGTGTGACGTAGCGAGACGGAACGCCGAGACGAAGACGGAGAAGCTTTAGGGATGAGCTTGTCGGCGACGGTCGAAGTGAAGCGATGTTGTTCGTTGAGAAGACGAGTCGATCGACAGACAGGGAAGGCTCTCTGGATTGCCAGAGTGTCTGTAGCTCATCAAATGAAGGTGCGGCTGCTGAAGGCACGCCTCCCGACGGAGAGTGATGCTGCGAAATGAGATGGGTCATCATTGCTGCATTGTCTCCTTGACCCACGTTGCGCGGTCAACGGTCCGATTTGCCGGGCGTGTAAAGCCGAAAGGTTGTCTGGTCAACCAGCTCGAACTTAACGAAAGATGACAGTTGGCGACGCTCAAGCACAGTACTGCTGCTATTGGGCAGAAACACTATACTAAAATGACCTAAGTGAAGCAGCGTAGAAGAATGAGGTTCTCTACTTGATATATATATACAGGAGAGAATTGTCGACGAAGGTGGGAGTATCAGCCTCCCACAACTTGAGTGAGAGGGTACATATTTCAAGATGAAGTGTGGCCTCGAGCTGGATCAAGCATTGGCCGATCTCTTACCATATCGGCTCATGTCCTCGTCAACATCTTGCTGGATCGTATCCTTCTGCAGAACTATGAAGCCGTACCAATCGAGGTAGTTGATCATCCCCGTGCATACTGCCCTCCTTTGACCTCTTTTTCTAGAGCTGTAACGTCTCGTCAAGAGTCAGCAGGCTCGTACATCGATTTGAGACAAACAGGCCTGCTTGTCGCAATTGCACAGGTCCCACATGGTGATTTCATATGTGGCACTTGCTTGCAGCGGGTGGTTGTTGTCGCTCAACGAGTGGGATAGGTTTTCGAGTCGTGCGGTTCCGTTTCAGTCATCGGCCGATCGTAATGCTTCTCGACGATGAACGAATAGAGGGGCGAAATGAAGTACAGTATGTTGTGCATTGCAACATTACAACGACGCAACTCATACCGTCACAAGCGGCCTGATAGTTTTTGGATCGGTGAACCGTATGTAAGTCCATAACTTGGAAAGTGAGGCAATAGCATACGATGTCTGGTGACGCTATTACGCCCGTCTCACGTCGTTCGACACATCTGATGGAAATCGGAACGCCATTCTGACGACTCTTCTAAAAATTGATTTCCACGTGCAACAAATAACGACAAATCAGGTTATGGTATGCCTGGCTTTGGGGAAGATGATGGTAGTGAAGAGAGAAGCGAAGAGCGGAGCGGAGAGCAGAACAGTTGAAGTATGTGATGCATCGGCGACTGAAGCATGCAACCACTTGGAGAGTGCAACTTCTATGCTGAGCTCACATCCAATCACCAGCTTTGCTCACTTGGATTTAGCACATTATCCAGACCAACACTCAGACATCAAGACACCAGTCAATGGATAACTGGTGTACTCCTGCCATAGTCTCACTCATGTTTTCAACCTCACTCTGATGAGTATCATACATGCATATGGAGACATCAAGAGACACTGGTAGATATATAAACAGCCATGTCACCCTGTAGATAGAATACACCCTCATCACAATTGATACCTGTGATCATTGACATTGACACATCTTTGATTGACTGTAACAACACTCTTCAACTGATTAAGAGTCTGACTGCTCTTGCCACACAATTCTTGACACCATGCCTTCACAACCCAATGACCCACATCCCACCAATGACCCCTCACTTGAGGACTCCTCTGATGACCAGGCCGAAATGATTCTGGCACCTGTAGACCATCAAAGAACTGCCAAACATGATACCAACTCCTCTGACAATTCTGATACCAATGACAGTGAACCAAATGAACCTCTGCTTGATCTTAACAACATCAACAAAATGAATATCAATACACTCCAGAACTTTGTCACACAATCCACCCTGCACAAACAAGCCAAGACCTTCTCATACAAGCTACCCTCCAAGCACTGTGGTTTTCTCCATGAAGTGACCCAACTCAATGATGTGCTAAAGGACACTCCAAAACTAACCACAAAGAACTGGTACACCTGGAACCCTCATTTCTGGGACATATTGGGCTCATGGTCCCTGGCCCTCAAGCATCTCGACAGCACCACCAACCTGGCTGATAAAAAGTACAACTGGAAGCTGGATGCAAAACTCTGCATGATCATCCAAAGCAATGCCAAGCTCATTGGCCAGGATAATGTGAACTACCTGTTCATGCAACCCACAAATGCCGAATCCTGGAAGATTCATGAATTATATGCCTGACTCAAGAAGGACCTCACTAAAATGGAGCATATTGCGGAATCAACCCTCCTATACAAAGCTGGTGTCAGCGGTCGCACACCCAAAACCTGATATCTGTAATAGAGTCACATCTATTACAAATCCTGTCGAGATATGTGACAACACTTGTGGTATTATGATTCTTGGTGAGATATGTAGTAGAGGTGTCTCTATCACTTTTCTTGCTCAGAAATGCAGTAATGGTTTTGCTATTGCAGGTTTCAACTGACTGCTGTGGACACTCTGTCCAGAGGTAGCTTGGCACAATCAATAACTGGTATGAACTGGTACTGACACCCAGGTCTGGTGTGAGAGATATGTTTGGTGGTGCTGACATGAGTGTCCAGTGTGTCGACTGTATGCTTGAAGTGATCCCCAGACTGCAGTGGACAACTGCCTTCAGTTCTATCTTTATCTGGAATGATGGTTTGCTATGAACCACCTTTGGATGTCAGTGAGCAGTGATACAACACACACACTACAATGGAAGCAACCTATTGAGATTGCAACTTGCTGAGTACTAATGTATACTTATGCATAAAGCTATAACTAGTAATGTATGGTGTAGAGTGGATGGTGATCCACTCACTTGCTATGATGGGGAGCATGGTTATATACCTTTCTTGCAGTGTTGCCTGCGACACTACTCCTCCTCCCCATCCCTGCTATCCTCCTCATCCCTGCTATCCTCCCCATCCATCTTGTGATGCCACTCATTGGCATTGCTTCCCATGCCTCCTGTGGATGGATGGGCCTTGTCATGGGCCTGAATGCTCAAGAAGCAGGAGGGTCACTGGTTCATATGGAAGGAGCACAGGTATCGGAGATCTAGTCGATACCAGTAGAGAGCATGGTCATAGTGCAGTCTCCATGGAGACCATGGACTCCTATGGACTCACATGCAAAGGAGCACTGAGCCATATGTGAGGAGTGCCAGGCACAGCCACAAAGAGGACCAAGCTCAAGGAGCATGCAGATGGTTACCACTCAGGGGGCTCGAGAGACAAGAGTCAAAGGAACCATCACCAGTCAAAGGAGAAGGAGCAGTGTATAGGGAACCGGCAAGCAGGTCCTGAGGAGGAGGAGCAGTGTCGAAGGAGTTGACACCACTCAGGGGGCACAAGGGTGCCAAGCAAGCAGGATAGCAAGGAGGAGGAGCAGTGTCAAAGGAGTTGACACAGCTCAAGAGGCACAGGGGTGCCAAGCAAGCAGGAGAGGCCCCCTGAACAGTACTTGATGAAGAAGGTACTCTCTGGAGAGAGAGCAGGAGCAGCATCGCTGGCGATGCTGTGAAGAGGTATATAACCATGCTTTCTCATCATCAAAGGTCGAGTGGATCCTCATCCACTCTACACACCCATCATAACTAGTTATCACTTCAGCATAAGTATATATTAGTTTCAGTCAGCATAGCAGCAATCTATCAAGGTTGCTCCTCATTGTAGTGTGTGTGTTGTATCACCACTACCTGATGTCCAAAGGCAACCCATAGCAGGTCAGCAGTCTGGATATAGATAGAACCGAAGGCAGTAGTCCACTGCAGTCCAGGGATCACTTCAAAGCATCAAGTCAACACACTGGACACTCATGTTGACACCACCAACCTTATCACCAACACCATCAACCTCATTACCATCAACACTCACCGACCTTATGACTGACACCATCAACCTCATCATCATCAACACTCACACCAGACCTTGGTGTCATCATAACCTATGTATTGATATTGATCATGCCGAGCTACCCCTGAACAGAGTGTCCACAGTGGCCAGCTGAAACCTACAATAGTATATACAATGAATGCCACCTGCTGTCATTGCACAACTTGATAGTCGCCGAACAACTAGCTTGTTGAGACCGATACCGAGACAATAGCTGTTGCACAGTTTGATAGTCACCGAGTATCTCGACAGACTGACCTGGGTTTCAGGCGCGAGACCCCTGACAGGCCTCTTGCTGCCTCATCTTCATTAGGGGCAAGTCCCACTTCATCTGAGTGGCAACTTGCACCCCCTTTCAGCACCCTCTCATCCACAACACCCACCTGTTGGCACTGACTTCATCATCATGCCAGTCCCCTGCTTCATCCAGTGGTGTCCTCACCTTGTACAGTATCTTCTCCTCATCATATCAGTGATGAGGTACCTTGCTGATCGATTCTCGTGAGATCTGTCATACTCCATGTAATATTATGATTCCTACTGAAACCTGTAGTAGCAACTTCATTCCTACAGATCCTGGTGAGTTATGCCATAGGATCATTTCTACTACCAATCTCAGTGAACTCTTCCTTAAGCCCTCGTTTAGCCTGATCCTGTGATTCCTGCACTCCTTCATATGACTTCCACTTCTTCCTGCCTCCTGCGCATCCGGCTCCTATGACAGCCGGCAGGATCCACATGTTCAATGCAGACATTCACAAGTTCTCTGCCGATTTGGACGAGCATTGGGCCAAGGCCGAAACTATGGGATTCAATCTAATGTGAGTTCTCAAGATCAAAACGCTTATTGACCAAGCCAAGTTTGTAACCATATACCATAATTGCATAATTAACCTTCAAGACAATGGCTGCAGAATGGACTATGACTCAATTTGCACAGCCCTATTCAAACGACAAGACGACATGACCACGAAGACAAGCCATCAGACCAATAGTGTCAGAGGTCGTGTGCCCAAAACCTGATATCTGTAATAGAAATGTGTCTATTACGAATCCTGTCAAGATATGTGACAATGCTTGTGGTATTATGATCCTTGTCAAGATATGTAGTAGAGACATCTCTATTACTTTTCTTGCCCAAAGATGCAGTAATGGTTTTGCTATTGCAGGTTTTGACTAGCCACTGTGGACACTCTGTCCAGAGGTAGCTCAGCATGATCAATAATGTTGAATGTATTGTAAGACACCAAGGTCTGGTGTGAGTGAGATAGTTGATGCCATTGACATGAGTGTCCAGTGTGTCAACTGAGTACTAGAGGTGATCCCTGGACCACAGCAGATGACTGCCTTTGGTTCTATCTTTATCCAGACCACTGGTTTGCTTATGAACCACCTTTGGACATCAGTGAGCAGTGATATGACACATGTGCTGCAATGGAAGCAATCTACTTGTGATTGCTACTTTGCTGACTAAAACTAATGTATACTTGTGCTTGAAGTGATAACTAGTTTGATATGGTGTAGAGTGGATGGCAATCCACTCTCTTACTAGGACAGAGAACATGGTTATATACCTTTCTTGCAATGTTGCCTGTGAGACTGCTCATCCTCCTCATCCCTCCTATGCTCTCCATCCACCTTGCAATGCCACTTGTTGGCACCACCTCCTCACTTCCTCTAGATGGATGGCCTCTGGCTGCTTCATCTCTGTCAGGGGCCAGTCCCACTTCATCTGGGTGGCGACTCACACCCATTCATCACTTCTTTGGCACCCACCTTCTTTCGCCGGTTTCATCACTGTAGGGCCCCTGCCTCATCTGATGGTGTCCCCTCCTCGTTCGGTGACCTCTTCTCGCCGTATCGGCGATGGGGTCGATGCCAGCAGGAGAGAGGGTGTCGAAAGTGGACGAAGGCCTCTCAGGAGGAGCAGGAGAGGTGTCGTGGGCAACACCAATTGAATGCATAAATACTCTCATTCTACCATAGCATATGAGTGGATCCTAATCCACTCTACTCTATACTTTACATACTCTTTACTTGACTCATAGTTACATATCATTGCAATAGCAGAGCTTTGCAATGACACCTCAAACATGTGTGTTGTATCACCATTAGGCATCAACTGTAGGTGGTGTTCCTCAACACCTGCAGTCCAGTCCCTTACTGTAGGCAGTGTTTGCTCGACATCTGCAGTCCAGTCAGTTATTGTAGGTGGTGTCCAACACCTGCAGTCCAGTAACTCCCATCCTCTGTAGGTGATAAGCATATCATGGTCCAGACAACATTAGAGAGCATTAGCAACAGTACTACAAACACTCTTACTGTAAAGGAGAGTGTACTACTCTCCCTCCATGGAATAATGGACATGCTGTGCAACCTCCAAACAGAGTGTTCAAGGCAGTCAGCCAAGACCTACCAGTACAAAGCTGTCTGGTTACAATAGTTGAAACATCCTGAGTAGATCTTACTTGATTGACCTCAGCAATACCAATCAGAAACACCCAACCTGGTTTCTGGTGCGCGACCGCTTACACCACGCTCCTCCTCCTGTCATTGCTGTCTGACTCGTTTTCTTACTCCAGCATGACACCCTCACCTTACTTTACTCGATCGCGGGCAGCCGCTACAAGCGCGCCTCCACCCGGGGTGACTGTAGTTCTTACATGTTGTTGCCAGGTTGTCATCCAGCTTCATCCCTGTGAGGTTCCAACCCCTGCAGTCAAACCACCTGCCTCCCCAGTGCCAGCCCATGTGGTCAACCCCCTTGCTTCTCCAGTGGCTCTTCCTTCGCCACTAGAGCCACTCTTCCTGGGGATGGATGATGACACTGTCATCCCCAGCCCCCTTGCTTCTCCCCCTCTGGCTCGCGTTGAGCCTGATCCTGTAGGGGGAGATTATTCTCCTGCCTCCCATGTGCCAGGTCCCCATGAGGTGGATGGGGGTCGTCCTCCTGCTGAGTTGACGACCCCAAATGTCAAGCTATGTGGGAGGCCAAACTGGCTCGCTCCCCCACCCCTCCCCCAACCGTGGATGAGGTAATTGATGCGATCCTGGTCCCTTTGCATGCTACTACCCCAGTGTATTGTCTGGAGATCCAACCCCTGACACCTCCTCCTTGTTGGGTGGATCGTCGTACACCTCCTCCTCTCCCTCCTCACCGCCACCTTCCCACTAACAGTGAGATTGCTGGATGGTCCAAGCAATTTGTGGCTGCCAACCTTTTGGTCCATGTTACAGATGGATACTTCCCTCACAACTGGGAAGTTCCCGCAGGTTTGTGTCAGGGGTCTCGCGCCTGAAACCCAGGTCGGTCTGTCGAGATACTCGGTGACTATCAAGTTGTGCAGTGACAGCAGGTGGCGTTCGTTGTATATACTATCGTAGGTTTCGGCTGACCTCTGTGGACACTCTGTTCAGGGGTAGCTCGGCACGATCAATATCAATGCTTCGGTTATGATGACACCAAGGTCTGATGTGAGTGTTGATGATGATGAGGTTGATGACATTGGTGATAAGGTTGGTGAGTGTTGATGATAATGAGGTTGATGGTGTTGGTGGTAAGGTTGGTGGCATCAACACGAGTGTCCAGTGTGTTGACTGATGCTTGAGGTGATCCCTGGACTGCAGTGGACTACTGCCTTCGGTTCTATCTATATCCAGACTGCTGACCTGCTATGGGTTGCCTTTGGACATCAGGTAGTGGTGATACAATCCACACACTACAATGAGGAGCAACCTTGATAGATTGCTGCTATGCTGACTGAAACTAATATATACTTATGCTGAAGTGTTAACTAGTTATGATGGTTGTGTGTAGAGTGGATGAGGATCCACTCGACCTTTGATGATGAGAATGCATGGTTATATACCTCTCCACAGCATTGCCAGCGATGCTGCTCCTGCTCTCTCTCCAGAGAGTACCTTCTTCATCAAGTACTGTTCAGGAGGCCTCTCCTGCTTGCTTGGCACCCCTGTGCCTCTTGAGCTGTGTCAACTCCTTTGACACTGCTCCTCCTCCTTGCTATCCTGCTTGTTTGGCACCCTTGTGCCCCCTGAGTGGTGTCGACTCCTTCGACACTGCTCCTCCTCCTCAGGACCTGCTTGCCGGTTCCCTATACACTGCTCCTTCTCCTTTGACTGGTGATGGTTCCTTTGACTCTTGTCTCTCGAGCCCCCTGAGTGGTAACCATCTGCATGCTCCTTGAGCTTGGTCCTCTTTGTGGCTGTGCCTGGCACTCCTCGCATATGGCTCAGTGCTCCTTTGCATGTGAGTCCATAGGAGTCCATGGTCTCCATGGAGACTGCACTACGACCATGCTCTCTACTGGTATCGACTAGATCTCTACCTGTGCTCCTTCCATATGAACCAGTGACCCTCCTGCTTCCTGAGCATTCAGGCCCATGACAAGCACCATCTGCACCACTTGGTCATGCTCCGCCTGACTGAGGGTTGCATGCCCTGGCCGAGTTGGTAATGTCGTCGTTGCTTCAACTTGGGTATCCTGTGAGTGCCCCCCTCCTCCTCCTCTTAATTTCTTTCGCTGATGCTGACCTCCTTCGTTTCTTCTTCCTCCAGCTGTTTTGCATTGGTGTTCACAAATCCTTTTGGTGAATGGCACCAAATTCCTCATGCATGCATCCACTGCTACCTGGCTGGGCTAGGGCATTGTGAGCAGGACATTCCTGCTCACCCAGGCATGGAGTACTCCAGGGACAGTACTCCAAGCTTGCAGCCCTGCAGCTCGCACCAGGTGGAACAAGCCCATCTGACTGTGGCAGATGGTTACAGCCCAGGTTTGGTGTGTTCAGACAAAAGGGTGACTGATCCCATCATGACCCATGGCTGGGTGACAGCAATGCAGGTCTTATGGCACCTGTGCAACCAACAGCTGGTGAGTTCCCTTCTTCAGACCCTCCAGCTCTTTGTCCAATGTCATGACAGGCTGCTTTCTGAGTAGCAGCCTCATGAGTCAGTGACTGAGGCTGGTGGTCCCCCCAACCCTATCAATGCATGGGTGGAGCCCACAGTTGATGAGCAGTGGACTCGTGCAGCCCTTGCTGCTCCTCCTGTCCCCTCTGGCTATGTCGACATGTAGTGACATGCAATTCCAATCTCCTGTTCCTTTTGATCTCATTGAGCCTGTGACCTGTCTCTCATGAGATTGCTTGTGACCCTGCTTGGGAGTCGTTTCGTCCTTGACCCTTTTGTGTGTAAAAGGGGCCGCTGCCCTCTCCTTCATGGTGGAATCTGTGATACTGCTCCTCTATTTACAGATTACACAGAGATCTGTAGTTACGCGTCCTCTCTCACAGATTATGCAGGAATCTGTAGTTATGCATCCTTTCTCACAGATTTCACCCAAATCAGTCCCAACACTCTTCCTACCTTGTGCCTATTTCCTCTCTTCTTTGCACCTCCTTCCTGAGCCTGTGTGTGCTAGTCCCGTCTCCCTCCCGACGCCTCATACTCCTGGATGAGGTCCGGGCAGTTGAGGTTCGAGAATGGTGTCATGGGACGGGATGCACAGGAATCAGAAAGATCTGTCAAGTCATATGAAGGGAGCATGGGAATCATTGTAGGACTTGTAATAGAGTCCACTGAAATCTGTAGGAGAAGCAGCTCTAAGGCAGATCTCATCTAGATTGGTACAAGCAATAAGGGTATCATGAATCACACCAGAATCTGCAATAAACTGGATCATATGACATGTCCTGCAGAGATCAATGGCAAGGGTGTTCATACAATAAAAGGCTAGAAGGGGAGGACACCTGGGGTCGCCACCGGATGAGGTAGGGGCCCTACATGACATTGAAGTCAGCACCAGCAGGTGGGCACCAATGACAGCGAGTAATGAGAGGGGGGGTGAGTTGCCACTCAGATGAAGTGGGATGGCCCCTGACAGAGATGAAGCAGCAAGTGGCCATCCATCCACAAAGGTCAAGGGATATGACATGAGCAGCAATCTAGTGTGGATGGAAAAGCAGTGGGAAAGAGGAGGAGGAGACATGGAGTCGAAGGGGCCTCACAGGACAGGAGCAGTGTTGCAGGCAACATTGCTGGGATGGTATATAACCATGCTCCTTGTCATAGCAAGTGAGTGGATCCCCATCCACTCTACACCATACATAACTAGTTATCACTTTAGCATAAGTATACATTAGTTTCAGTCAGCATAGTTGCAATCAAGTAGATTGCTTCCATTGTAGCATGTGTGTTGTATCACCACTCACTGATGTCCAAAGGTGATTCATAAGCAAACCAGTGGTCTGGATAAAGATAGAACCAAAGGCAGTCATCTGCTGTGGTCCAGGGATCACCTCTAGTACTCAGTTGACACACTGGACACTCATGTCAATGGCATCAACTATCTCACTCACACCAGACCTTGGTGTCTTACAATACATTCAACATTATTGATCATGCTGAGCTACCTCTGGACAGAGTGTCCACAGTGGTTAGTCAAAACCTGCAATAGCAAAACCATTACTGCATCTTTGGGCAAGAAAAGTAATAGAGATGTCTCTACTACATATCTTGACAAGGATCATAATACCACAAGCATTGTCACATATCTTGACAGGATTCATAATAGACATGGTTCTATTACAGATATCAGGTTTTGGGCACGCGACCTCTGACACTGGATTCATATCTGAGGAGTTTGGGATTCTTCCCTGTGCGAGGTGTTCCATGCATCTACCTTCGAGGTGCTCATGAAGAACAGGTAATTGTCATATTTTATGTTGACAACATGCTCATTACAGCTCCACTCCGATCGCAGGTCAATGCCATTAAACAATTGATTGTCAACAAATGAAAAATTGAGGACAATGGTCCTGCAAAGGAATTCCTGAAGATCAAGATCATGCAAGATAGGAACAATTGGATGATAGATTTAGATCAGCATGCCTACATTATGGGCATCATCAACAAATGGGTAGCACCCAACCAGAAAACCTGGACCCCTATGAGTATGACCCTGGCCAAGGCCCCAATGGATTCCCACATTGATGACAGCACCAAATGAAACAACCCCACCTTAGTTGGGAAGCTACTATGGATATCAAATACAGTTCACCCTGACATCTGTTATGCAGTCAACACTTTAGCAAGACACATGTCCAATCCAACTACCAAAGTGATGCAGGTGGTGCTACACATTGTCAAGTACCTTAATCAAACTAAAGATGAGGTCTTATGCATTGGAGGCAAGGAAGTTAGCGAAACTACAATTGAGACATACACTGACACAAATTGGGCATCCAACCCTAATACAGACTGGAAGAGCACCTCAGGATCAATTGTTAAGGTTTTTGGTAGCACTGTAACATGGAACTCACACATTCAGAAATGTGTTGCCAGTTCAGCAGTCAAAGCTGAGTACATTGCTGGCTCTGCAGCCACCAGAGAAGCACTTTTCCATCAACATTTACTCCATGGCCTTGGATTTGACAATAACACACCAACCATATTCACTGACAACATGGGCTGTGTTCAAGTTGCTAATGACCTGCTATGCATTCAAAACTCAAACATGTTGACACAAAATATCACCTGATTCACAATCATGTGCAGGAGGGTGACATCTCGATCAAATATGTCCAAACAAATGACAATATTGCCAATTACCTTACAAAACCTGTTCCCTGAGATCTCTTAGTATGCACATGCAACTGACTAGGAATGGCCAACATTGGATCACTCAATTGTCAGGGGTCTCGCGCCTGAAACCCAGGTTGGTCTGTCGAGATACTCAGTGACTATCAAACTGTGCGACAGCTATTGTCTCGGTATCGGTGACTATCAAGTTGTGCAGTGACAGCAGGTGGTGTTCATTGTATATACTATCGTAGGTTTCGGCTGACCTCTGTGGACACTCCGTTCAGGGGTAGCTCGGCACGATCAATATCAATGTTATGATGACACCAAGGTCTGGTGTGAGTGTTGATGATGATGAGGTTGATGGTGTTGGTGATGAGATTGGTGATGTTGATGATAATGAGGTTGATGGTGTTGGTGATAAGGTTGGTGGCGTCAACACAAGTGTCCAGTGTGTTGACTTGATGCTTTGAAGTGATCCCCAGACTGCAGTGGATTACTGCCTTCGGTTCTATCTTGATCCGGACTGCTAACCTGCTATGGGCGCCTTCGGATGTCAGGTAGTGGTGATACAACACACACACTATGATGAGGAGCAACCTTGATAGATTGCTGCTATGCTGACTGAAACTAATGTATACTTATGCTGAAGTGATAACTAGTTATATGGTGAGTAGAGTGGATGAGGATCCACTCGACCTATGATGATGAGAAAGCATGGTTATATACCTCTACTCAGCATCGCCAGCGATGCTGCTCCTGCTCTCTCTCTCCAGAGAGTACCTTCTTCATCGAGTACTGCTCAGGGGCCTCTCCTGCTTGGCACCCCTGTGCCCCTTGAGCTGTGTCGACTCCTTCGACACTGCTCCTCCTCCTCATAACCTGATGTCAACTCCTTCGACACTGTGTCATGGGCCTGGATGCTCAAGAAGCAGGAGGGTCATGGGTTCATATGGAAGGAGCACAGGTATCGAAGACCCAGTCGATACCAGTAGAGAGCATGGTCGTAGTGCAGTCTCCATGGAGACCATGGACTCCTATGGACTCACATGCAAAGGAGAACCGAGCCACATGCGAGGAGGACCAGGCACAGCCACAAGGAGGACCAAGCTCAGATGGTTACCACTCAGGGGCTCGAGAGACAAGAGTCCTAGGACACTGGCAAGCAGGTCCCGAGGAAGAGGAGCAGTGTCGAGGGAGTCGACACCAGGTCATGAGGAGGAGGAGCAGTGTCGAAGGAGTCGACACCACTCAAGAGGCACAGGGGTGCCAAGCAGGAGAGGCCCCTGAGCAGTACTCGATGAAGAGGGTACTCTCTGGAGAGAGAGCAGGAGCAGCATCGCTGGCAATGCTGTGAAGAGGTATATAACCATGCTTTCTCATCATCATAGGTCGAGTGGATCCTCATCCACTCTACTCACCATATAACTAGTTATCACTTCAGCATAAGTATACATTAGTTTCAGTCAGCATAGCAGCAATCTATCAAGGTTGCTCCTCATCATAGTGTGTGTGTTGTATCACCACTACCTGACATCCGAAGGCGCCCATAGCAGGTTAGCGGTCCGGATCAAGATAGAACCGAAGGCAGTAGTCCACTGCGGTCCGGGGATCACTTCAAGCATCAAGTCAACACACTGGACACTCGTGTTGACGCCACCAACCTTATCACCAACACCATCAACCTCATTATCATCGACATCACCAATCTTATCACCAACACCATCAACCTCATTATCATCGACATCACCAAACTCATCACCAACACCATCAACCTCATCATCATCAACACTCACACCAGACCTTGGTGTCATCATGACATTGATATTGATCGTGCTGAGCTACCCCTGAACGGAGTGTCCACAGAGGTCAGCCGAAACCTACGATAGTATATACAACGAACACCACCTGTTGTCACTGCACAACTTGATAGTCACCGATACCGAGACAATAGCTGTCGCACAGTTTGATAGTCACCGAGTATCTCGACAGACCGACCTGGGTTTCAGGCGCGAGACCCCTGACACACTGCTCCTCCTCCTCATGACCTGGTGTCGACTCCTTCGACACTGCTCCTCCTCCTTTGATCAGTGACAGTTCCTTTGGCTCTTGTCTCTCGAGCCCCTGAGTGGTAACCATCTGCATGCTCCTTGAGCTTGGTCCTCTTCGTGGCTGTGCCTGCTCCTTGAGCTTGGTCCTCCTCGTGGCTGTGCTTGGCCCTCCTTTGCATGTGAGTCCATAGGAGTCCATGGTCTCCATGGAGACTGCACTATGACCATGCTCTCTACTGATCTCGACTAGATCTTCGATACCTGTGCTCCTTCCATATGAACCTGTGACCCTCCTGCTTCTTGAGCATCCAGGCCCATGACATCAATCACTCAGCTGGCAAGGGGGACAGTTGAAGTATGTGATGCATCAGTGACTGAAGCATCCAACCACTTGGAGAGTGCAACTTCTACACCAAGCTCACATCCAATCACCAGCTTTGCTCACTTGGATTTAGCACATTATCCAGACCAACACTCAGACATCAAGACACCAGTCAATGGATAACTGGTGTACTCCTGCCATAGTCTCACTCATGTTTTCAACCTCACTCTGATGAGTATCATACATGCATATGGAGACATCAAGAGACACTGGTAGATATATAAACAGCCATGTCACCCTGTAGATAGAATACACCCTCATCGCAATTGATACCTGTGATCATCGACATTGACGCATCTTTGATTGACCGTAACGACGCTCTTCAACTAGAACAATGCGATTGCTGAGTCCAGCCCAGACGCGCACGCTTTTCTTTTGAAAATCACGTGATGCATTCTTTAAGAAGCAGTTTCCATCCGTGTAGAGAAGGGCGGCGTTTGCGGGGAAGACTGCTTGTGACAGTAAGTCCGCAAAGAAGATAGAGAGAGGATCGTCAGGATGCAGCATCATGCTTCTAGACGTGCTCCACCTTGGGGCCTCTGCTTCACGTCTTCCTTTTCGCCCTTCATCCATCCATCCATCCATCCTTCCATGGTCGTCTTGGCTTCCAGATAGCATCGACAGACCCGAAGCCTCATGAGCATGGCGTAGACACACGACATAGACAAGTGCCTTCTTTTGCACGATCCGACACGCTGACTCAACAAAGACTCGAGGAGACTTAAGCTTCGGCCTGTCCAAGCCAACCATGGCCTACGTTTCGATGCCTGGCTCATCAGAGCCTTATTCTCTCGACTATCCTGCTGACACATCCATTACCCACACGTTGCACGACAATGCCGAACTCAGCGCGGTTCCAGAGCATCCTCACAGCAAGAGCAAGGCAGCTGCCGTACCCAATGATGCTCAGCCAAGGCAACAGCAGCAGCTCTCTACTGTCACTCATCCCACTATCTCTAGACCATTCCAACATTTATGCGACAACAGCAAGGGCGATGCCACTCAGGACGGAGCACAGCCAAAGCGCAAGTCGATGGGATCCAAGGTTCTCTCCAAGTTCAAGCCAGGATCCAGCGACGACAAGGGTCATCACTCCAGCAATCCTCATTCGCAAGCTACTAGCGGGGCTCATACTCCCGCTTACACTCTCCATGAGGGCGAGAGCGAGACAACCTTGGGTGCAAATCAGCTTCAACAGGCCTTGGCAAAGGAGCAACAACGAAGGCACAGGAGCAAGCAGCAGTCCTTCAGTAGCGCAGACGGGTTCCGACAAAAACGACTTTTCCTCACAAACAAGTCAACGCAATACCATCCTGACTCCGATGCCGAGGCCGAAAGTGAGGAGAACTACCGCGAATCGGCACAAGATCCCCGCTTTACTCCGGCACAAATACAGCCGGTTGGCTACCAACGTCCTCGCAGCGGCACCATCCACCACTTCCCAGGGGGGCTCTACGATGATGAACCGACTACCGATGCCCGCCCAGCCCGCGACGCTGAGGCCCTGAATCATCTCGACCATTCGCACGGCCTTGATGACGGGCATGACGATCTTCTACTCGGCCATCAACACAAGTATGACTCTGATGACTCGGACGATACTATCGCCCACCTCATCCGTGAAGCCGATGGTTATGACAGTCTCCGCTACAACTCCAAAGGTCGAATGTCGGCTGGTCTCGACTATGACACACTGCATGCTGTCCGCGAGAAGGAAAGATCCGTCCACGACAATGAAGATGCACAGAGCGGTTACAGCGCCTACTCGGGCGGTGCTGCCAAAGCTCTTAGTCAACCTCTGTTGGAGCTCGAAGACATTGAGCTCGAGACCTTCTTGCAGAACTTCGCGCGCCATACAAAGGAAGTCACCGTCACCCGTTCCGACAAAGCGCAAAAGTACAGGATGCCAAAGTGGTCCGACTTTCGTGTCTCACCAGAGGAAATCGCTACCACCAATCCGGAAAGTAAGCGACCCTCGATGCTGGCTCGAGTCGATCGCGGCCTCCATCATCTGTCCGAGAATCTGAACCCGCAGTCCCTAGCTAAGAGCTCATTCAAGCAGCCCCACAAAGAGCGAAGCCAGACCGATCCGGCAGCAATCCAGGGATCGAAATCGAAAGAAGATGACATGACGGCCGAGTCAGCAGCCTCCGATGTCAACGATCATGGCGCCAACCTCAATTCGCCATCCAAGAAAATGACAAAGTCCAAGAAGCTCAAGAAGCACAACACCGCCAACGGTCCCGTGTCACCTGGACAGAGTGGCATGCAAGACGAAGAAGACTGGGATCTCATCGTACCTTCCTCTGCGGAACCCAGTGGCCTTGAGGCATCCTCGCCGCTCGATGAACTCCGTGTCAATGCAGCTGACGAAGGTGTGGACGGTGTCGCTTTCTGTATCGCTTACATTCTCGTGCTTGTGGAGAGGCTCGCGCCCGAAGAGATCGACCATCACCCAGACAGAGGCTATCGCGAAGGTCTGATCCGCTCGCATCTGGAACGTCTTTATACCATCGCGCCGTTCTGGGAACAGCTCGCTTTCCGCATTCGTCGGCTATATCGATGGGAAGATCCCAAGACCACTGCTGCAGCTGCCATGATCTACTTTGTGCTATGGTACACCAACATGATCCCGACAGCTTTCATCCTCATGATCATGTTCTACATCATGAGGTTCAAGTACTTTCCTCCTTCGGAGAGCTATCTGCACGAAAAGGTCAAGATGCGCATGGCGCGAGGTCAGGCTGCCAACACCCTTTCCGAACGCCTGCGACGTCGCAGTCGACTTGACATTCTCAACATCTACAAGCGATGGATTGTCACCTTTGGCGCTCCCACGCAAGAAGCTATGGGTCTCGTTGCTGACTTTCATGAGAAGGTCAAGAACCTGATCCTCTGGCGGAACACGGGGGCAACGCGACGTACTCTGATCATGTTTGGTATACTTAACCTCTTTGTCACATTTGCACCCTCGCAGTACATCTCGAAAGCTGTCTTCTTCTTCCTTGGCATCACCTTCTTCTGTCTCCTGCCGCTGCAGAGTTACTTCCCATCCCATCGCAAGGCACTTTCACCCTTTTGGTGGGCTACGTTCGGCGCCCCTACAGATGCCCAATTCGCAGTCCAGCTCTTGCGCAAACGCCACTTGGACGTCGATCGCTTCGCTGGCCAGCTTCGCACTGCAGAAGACATTCGACGCGCTGTCCGCTCACAAGGTGGCTCCAAGGTCAAACCTCGCCCTGACCGTCGCGAAGAAGGCATCGCATACGATCAGATAGAAGATCCAGCTCGAGCTAGTCTGGACTATGTCGAAATGACCAACGATGCTATGCTCAAGCCCCGCAAACTAGGAAGCTTCTTCTGCCAGTACAAAGGTCTCCCTGGTCGGCTTCACATCAACACGAAGTACCTCTACTTTACACCGCTGCATTCGCCTTCACATAAACGTGGTCGTACACCGGTCGATGCTATTGAGTCGATCGTCAAGACGAAAAGCATCCGTCTGATGGTATGGAGCTCGTTGGGCCTCAAGATCGTCAGAAACAACGGTAAGGCTCCGTTCCTGCTGGCAAACATGCAGAACAGAGATGAAGCTTTCAATTTGATTCTTGCTGTATCTACCAATGGTGAGTAAGCTAAAGCAGTGCTGACAGATGCATGGGGCTGCAAGCTGACCCTTCTTACCGTTCCATTTCTTCCAACAGTTGGTGCCAAAGCAAGCTAGAAATCCACATGTCATTCCTGAAAGAAATTGTTATTTTTGATACCCCTTTGTGTATTAAGAGTGGCGTGGCTTCGTGTAGCTTATGGTTCGGACGAGCTGGTTTTAGGTTTGTAGACAACTGGGGAGAGCAGTGTATTGACATGACTATCTACAGTAAACGAGTGCAACTATTTATGTTTGCTGGAACCAAGTGAGACACACTGGTCAAGGAGCTCCAAGCTCCTCAACCCCTATGTCAATGCAGGGATGCATTGACAAGGAGGTCCATCCCCTTGACCCCTATATTGGGATATTGGCACGACGTCGCCAATACGAGGTCAAGTTGACCTCCAACACTCCTCCTATTGGTGACCAATCTACTCAGCAAGAACACCCAAGTCTTCCTGTGACTTGTTACTCCCTCTAGCATTGAGCAGCTTAGTAAGGCCATCTGCAACCTGTAACTTGCCTGGGATCCACTTAATGATAACGAGCCCCCTTTTGACTGTATCCTTGATGTATGCTGCCCAGAGTGTGAGAGCCTTGTTTTGTTGAGGTCCATTGGAAGATGCGACCCATTGTGCAGCCTGGTTGTCAGTATGAAGCACAACTCCAACATCATTACCACTGATGAGACCAAGGCCCTTGACTATATCAATAAGCCAGTCAATGTCATGACAAGCATTGCTGAGGGCCACCACTTCTGCCTCAGCAGTTGATGTGGATATGATCCTTTGCCAATGGCTCCTCCAAGCTATGGCACCCCCAAATAACATTAGTACAAAACCTGACATGGAGTATGGGTTCTCCTTCCAGCTCCCAGTGTGATTGGCATCTGAGTAAGCAAGCAGCACCCTGCTGTTGTCGTCAATAAGGTATGTTAGCCTGCTGTTGCACATATATGATATATAGCAAAGGAGATGGCAGGCTTGGTTGAGGTGCACCATTGTTGGCAAAGAGAGATACTTGGCAAGGTTTCCAACCACAAACACAAGGTCCAGACAAGTTGATGTCATGAGGTAAATGACAGACCCAATCATCTGTTGATAAATCATTGTCTGAGCCTTGTTCAGTGTCTTGTGGCTTGCATCCTTGGGGCTGAGATTGACTGCTGATGGATCCAATGGTGTCTTCACAGGGTTGGCCCTTGTCATGCTGAAGCACTCAAGGATGGTGTCAATATAAGACATCTGACCAAGCAACACTGTGGTACAGTCTTGCAATTGCTGGATGTGAACACTGAGGCACCATTCAGCATCATCACTGCCTGTGATCTTGAACTGTGCACAGATTGTGGTGATCATATGGTCCACATCACTGTCAATGCCAACAATGATGAGATCATCAACATATACTGCAACAACAACCAAGCCCATCTTGTACATGGCCATGTCTTGCCCAAGTTGAGCAAATGCCATCACTGTTAGGCAATGATCAAGTTTAGAGTACCACTCACAGCCTGACTGTTTAAGTCCATATAGTGCCTTCTTGAGATTGCACACTGATTGTGGTGACTGCTTGAAGCAAACTCCAAAACCTGGTGGTAGGACCATGAAGATGTCCATGTCCCTGAGTTCACCATTGAGGTAGACAGCAACAAAATCAAGCTGACAAATCCTATAGCCATGCTTGATGCTGTTACACATAACTGTTTGTAGACAAGTCATGCTGACCATGGGTGAGTAGGTATTGTGGTAGTTGACTCCATGTCCTTGAGAGTCCCCACAGGTGAACAATCAAGCCTTGAACTTGCTGATATTGTTGTCAGTGCCTCACTTTGTCTTGAAGACCCATCTTGCCGATATGGGCTTGCGGCCTTGAGGTAGGTCGACGATAATCCTGTTGAAGTCATTCATCAGTAGTCAGTGATCACTTGTGTCTGTATTGCGATGATGAATCACTCCTAAGTACATGATGAGACGAGTGCTTATATATGTGTCGATGTTCTCTAGATGCATGTGTGATTCTAGGAGCTGATTGGGCAGGAGCATGGTGTCATGGGCCTGAATGCGCAGGAAGCAGGAAGGCCGTTGGTTCATATGGAAGGAGCACAGGTATCAGGGGATCAGGCCGATCGACGAGGAGAGGCCGTAGATCTCGCTGGTACAGGTAGTAAGCATGGTCGTAGTACAGTCTCCATGGAGACCTTGGGGCAAGGAGGCCTGTACAACGAACTCACATGCAAAGTGTCATGGGCCTGAATGCTTAAGAAGCAGGAGGGTCACTGGTTCATATGGAAGGGGCACAGGTATCAGAGATCTAGTCAATACAAGTGGAAAGCATGGTCATAGTGCAGTCTCCATGGAGACCATGGACTCCTACAGACTCACATGCAAAGGAGGACCAGGCCCATATGCAAGGAGGGCCAGGCACAGCCACAAAGAGGACCAAGCTCAAGGAGCATGCAGATGGTTACCACTCAGGGGCTCAAGAGACAAGAGTCAAAGGAACCATCACCAGTCAAAGGAGAAGGAGCAGTGTATAGGGAACTGGCAAGCAGGTCCTGAGGAGGAGGAGCAGTGTTGAAGGAGTTGATACAGCTCAAGAGGCACAAGGGTGCCAAGCAAGCAGGATAGCAAGGAGGAGGAGCAGTGTCGAAGGAGTCGATAGCTCAAGGAGGACAGGAGTGGTGCTAGAGGGGCCCCCTGTACAAGTACTCGATGAAGAAGGTACTCTCTGGAGAGAGAGCAGGAGCAGCATCGCTGGCAATGCTGTGAAGAGGTATATAACCATGCTTTCTCATCATCAAAGGTTGAGTGGATCCTCATCCACTCTACTCACCATACAACTAGTCAATACTTTAGAAACATAAGTACTCATTAGTTTTCAGTCAGCATAGCAGCAATCTATCAAGGTTGCTCCTCATCGTAGTGTGTGTGTTGTATCACCACTACCTGACATCCGAAGGTGCCCCATAGCAGGTTAGTGGTCTGGATCAAGATAGAACCGAAGGCAGTAGTCCACTGCAGTCCGGGGATCACCTCAAGCATCAGTCAACACACTGGACACTCATGTTGACGCCACCAACCTTATCACCAACACCATCAACCTCATCATCATCAACACTCACACCAGACCTTGGTGTCATCATAACCTATGCATTGATATTGATCATGCTGAGCTACCCCTGAATGGAGTGTCCACAGAGGTCAGCCGAAACCTACAATAGTATATACAATGAATGCCACCCACTGTCACTGCGCAACTTGATAGTTGCTGAGCGACTAGCTCGTTGAGACCGATACTGAGACAATAGCTGTCACACAGTTTGATAGTCACCGAGTATCTCGACAGACCGACCTGGGTTTCAGGCGCGAGACCCCTGACACAGGTCTTGAGGAGGAGGAGAAGGAGGAGCAGTGTCAAAAGAGTTGATACAGCTCAAGAGGCACAGGAGTGCTAAGCAAGCAGGATGGCAAGGAGGAGGAGCAGTGTCGAAGGAGTCAACACATAGCTCAAGGAGGACAGGAGTGGTACTAGAGGGACCTCCTGTATAGCACTCGACGAAGAAGGTACTCTCTGGAGAGAGAGCAGGAGCAGTGTCGCTGGCGACACCATGAAGAGGTATATAACCATACCTTCTCATCATCAGTGGTCGAGTGGATCCTCATCCACTCTACTCACCATACAACTAGTATTACTTCAGCATAAAAGTATTCATTAGTTATTGTCAGCATAGTAGCAATCTATCAAGGTTGCTCCTCATTGTAGTGCATGTGTTGTATCACCACTCACTGACATCCAAAGGTGGTTCATAGCAAACCAGTGGTCTGGATTAAGATAGAACTGAAGGCAGTAGTCCACTGCAGTCTGGGGATCACCTCAAGCAATAGTCGACACACTGGACACTTGTGTCGATGTCACCAACCTTATCACCAACACCATCAACCTTATCATCAACACCACATCAACCTCATCATCAACAAGACCACTCACACCAGACCTTGGTGTCATAACCTTCGTATCGACATTGATCTTGCTGAGCTACCCCTGAACAGAGTGTCCACAGAGGTTAGCCAAAACCTACAATAGCATACAACATTCATATCGAACACCACCAGCTGTTGCACAACTCGATAGTTGCTGAACAACACAACTTGCCAGGATCAGTATAGAGACAATAGCTGTCGCACAACTTGATAGTCACCGAACGACGAGCAGACCAGGTTTCAGGCGCGTGACCCCTGACACAGGGTTATTCTCGATTGCCAACTGCCAAATAGTCAAGGCAGTAGCAAGGGCACTGAAGGTGAGCTGGTTGATGGTGGTGACTGTTTCTTTATACATTGGGTGGTGAATAGTGCATTTCTGTAGGTTCAAGGACAAAGTGTCATCAGCAAAAGGTTTTCCCAACAGGCTGCTCTCTGTCTGGATAGACCTGATTTCCTGGATGAGCTTTTGAGCATCAGAGTTGAACATCCTAAGCTCACCTAACTGAGAAATGAGTGCAATTTGGCAAGAGGTGGTGGTGGCTTCATTGGTCAAGCCATTCTCAATCTTCTTCCAGACCTGATGGAATGTATGAGGCTCCCTGATGATGTTGAGAATCAAGTAATTGACATTGTATTCCCCAGTAGTATCAATGGTGCCACATAGTGCATTTGTTAAGGCATCATCGAAGGTGCAGTTCCACTTGGGGTGCTTCTTGTCATACACTCCCTTGAGGTGTTTCATTGCATGGGGGATGCATTGGAGGAGAGACTTGATGTGGGCATTCCAACTGTAGTAGTTGTGTGATGTAAGCTTGGGCACTGGCTCAAGAAGTTTCACCAAGGTGTGGAAGTTGAATTGCTTGCCACCACTGTTGAGGTCAGAGTTGGAATCAGTTTCTTCATTGGCATCATTGTCAATCACTTTGGTCTCTGTCTCATTGGTGGCCTTGTTATTGGTGACTTGTGGTTGGGTGGTTTTACCCTTTCTACCTCCTATGGCCTTGCTTGCACCAGCTTGAGTTTCAGTTTCTTCTACCATAGCTGTTAACAGGGGTGCAGCTTAGTCAGTAGAGCTTCAGACTCTTAATCAATTGGAGATTACAAGTCCTGTATGCTGACCTGAGCTACTAGCAAGCTCTTGTTCACAAGTATATGTCTTCTTGAATGCTTATCTTTTCTATCAATGGGATGCTATGTACATGGGCATATATATACTTGATCATCACCTCCAATACATGCTAGACTGTGGTGAGCCACTCCTCACATTACTCCTGAGTTGTTGCCTCCTGTATTACTCCTGAGTGTTGCTATGGTAATGCTTATGCAGCCCACATGCATGCCACCTATATGTGACTTTGCTTCATCGATGGCTCACTTGTGCTCTGTGGACCCCATGAATCCCGTTGGAATGCCGACGCATCTTCAACTGAAGCGCACCTTTCGTTGCTGATTTTTCGTGACAGCCGCGAAATTGACCGACCATGGAATTCGCGATCAGACCTCCACCAGTTTTCTCATTAACCTTCTCGCCATATCTTTCCCCCACACCACCTTCAAGCCAAAGCAGGGGTCTGTAGGAATGCAAGACCAGCTCAATCAGCTCGTCACTGAGCTGCTTGCACAGGCCAACAGCCTCGAATCAGATGCTCGACTTCTGGTTGGAGTCTCAGGCTTTCCAGGATCAGGCAAGTCCATACTCGCAACGAAGCTCGTCTCAGCCCTTAACGCAAGCTCATCCTTCTCGCCGATCGCTATCTGTGTCGGAATGGATGGATGGCACTACCCACGCTCTGTCCTCTCCACTTTTTCCGATCCAAAACTAGCTTTCGACCGCCGTGGATCGGAATGGACGTTCGACTCTACCCGCTTCGCCGACTTCGTCTCCTCCGTCAAGCGAAACCCCACATCCACGCTGAAAGCACCTTCGTTCGACCATGCCGAAAAGGACCCATTGGAGGACGGTGTATTGGTTCTTTCCAGCCACAAAGTTGTAGTCTTTGAAGGTTTGTACTGCAATTGTAGCGTAGGAGAATGGGGTAGAGCAGCGAAAGAGATGGATAGAAGACTAGTGTTCGAGATGGATAAAGAAGAGGCGAAAAGGCGATTGGTTGTGAGACACGTTGCGACAGGAGTAGCGAAAGATGAAGATGAAGCTATATGGAGAGGTGAGTTCCCAATCACGACCTGCCTTGACTTCGCGAAGGGAGATCAAGTTGCTGACGTTTTCCTTACTTCCTGTTGTGTCCGTGCGGTAGCGGACAACAATGACCTTCCGAACGGCGACTGGCTCATGTCTCACCTTCTCGAGCCTTATGCTGTTGTGAGGAGCATAGACGATCCTACATGGCGATAGCAATCAAACATTACTAGCAACAGTCCAGATAGAGACGCAGTCTATTGTGCGAATGGTACAGTACTGTACATATACAGGACTGACGCGGTCCTACATGGCAACCTTGCGCAGGGCAACGCTCTTAATGATCCTCCGGTCCTCGATCGGCTCCAGCACTTCTTCCACCACGACCCATTTGTAGCCTGCTTCTACAAGCTTGTTCCACCTCTCAACCAAAGCCTCGACTTCGCCTGGTTGTATACGGCCTTCGTGGGAGGGTGACTCGTAGTCGAGAATCGCCTCGGGATGCGCTTCAGCAGCAATGAAGCGCTCAGTAGGGGAGAGTGTGACAAAGTGGCTTAGCAGCACGATGCCACTTGTGCGGACGAGGGATGAGAGGCGTGGTAGGAGCGAGCGGGGGTGGAATCTGATGCTTAGGATCAGATCGAACCCTCGCTCTCTCACATCCTCACTCTCTTGCGATTGCGCGGTGCTGACAGGAAGGAGAGCTTCGAGCCCGAGCGCTACATGCCGCTGCCACAACTCCGCATCATCTTTCGGCGAGAGTACAGACTTTCCCTTTCCGCTGCCGACCAAAGGATCAAGATAGCCCGCATCGCTGCATTTTGCCCAAAGCATACTTTCGCATCTTGGCTTTCTCTCCTCCGAAGTCAAGCAAAGATCCTCCATCAGCAACTGTGCGCGTGAGAGGGCAGCCTTCCAATTGTCGACGCCTACTCCTATCCAAGAGCAGGGCGAAGTTCGGGATCGAGAGCCGTGCAGGATCCAAGCTAGGTCTCGGGCTGCTCCACAACCCAAGTCGAGCACTCGCAGTGTGTGTGCTGTGCTGCGAGACGATTCGAGGTTGAGCACGGTTCGTTGGACTGCTGGTGAAGGCCGGAAAAGCAAATTTGGGATGTCGTCACTGTGGGTTGCTGTGATTCGGTCTTGATGCGAGCCTGATGTTCGGACGAGACCGCATTGCTGAGCACTGGCAAAGAAGGCTTCTCGATCTACTTTGGTGCTTTGGAATGAGGAGGTTGCCGTCGCCTCTAATAGATAGATTAGCCTCGCAGCAGGAGTCGAAGCAAATGCTTCTGCCACTTGATGCCGCTGATCTTGGTCAGCTATAACGAGAAAAGGAACATTTCGTGGGGGCAAGTAGCTGTATCTGGACTTGAGCTCTGCTATCGGGTAGATATGATACGAGTTGGCTAGATGTGCTTGGTGGAATGCTGAGTCGGATCGCACATCGAGCACGAGACGAGGCTCTTCGAGTGAGAAATATGGCCAAAGCGGGTTGACAAGGCCGGCGCTAGAAGCGATCATGTACTTCTGCTCAGCAACATGGTCGAGAGCAGACATCCCCACGACCTTCTTGTCAGCAGTATCGGCAATGATCGTGTGCTGCGAACAAGCGTCAGCTACCTGGACCCTGAGTAAAAGTAGAAGTGGGCCGTGCCCTCTCACTTGTGCGGCCAATTGGCTGCTGTGGAGTTGCGAATGAATTTTTTTCGGTCTTGATACATACGCTTTGCTTTTATGAGACTAATACATCTCTCTTAACCATCGTTGGTATCACAGCGATGCAGGCGGGAAAAATCGTTCAAAGACGTTCGGGCAATGGTACGCCCATCTTACAACCTGTAACTTCATCAGAACAGCCCTCTCCCCAAGGCTCTGGTTCGACCCACGGCGTTCTTGCGGCTGCGGTAGGAGCATCCGAAACTCTTCCAGCACAATCGCTGGTATCCTCTGTCGCATCGCTGCAACCACCTACACCCACTGTCAAAGCTTCGGACTCAGGCTCTGGTGCTAGAGCTGCAACTCGATCCAAGACTATCGTGCTCACCGATGCTGGCCGTGCTCCCTGGTACAACTCAGTCGGAGAACCCGTGCCAGCCTACGTCGTCGGTATCGCTGGTGGCTCTGCTAGCGGAAAAACTTCGGTAGCTAGAGAAATCCTCAGAAGGCTTCCCAACGTTCCTTGGGTCGCTATCGTCAGTCAAGATGCCTACTACAAATCCCTCTCCGCTGAACAATCTAAACTCGCTTTCCAGGAACAATACGATTTCGACCACCCGGATGCTTTCGATTACGATATCCTCAAACAGTGCATCAAGGATCTGCGTCAGAGCAAAGCAGTAGAGATTCCAGTATACAGTTTCGTGCAGCACCAGAGGACCTCAGAGACCAACTATTTATACGGACCAGCAGTATTGATTGTGGAAGGCATCTTTGTTTTGCATGATCCCCAGATTAGAGATTTGCTAGACCTCAAGGTGTTTGTTCAGGCGGATTCGGATCTGATGTTGGCAAGAAGGATTAGGAGGGATATTGTTGAGAGGGGGAGGTCGGTCAACTCGGTGCTGGATCAGTACCTGAGGTTCGTTAAACCTGCATTCGACACTTTCGTATCGGCGACGGCGAGACATGCCGATATGATCGTGCCTGGTTCGCATAACCAAGTTGCTATTGAGGTCATCAGTCAGCATATGGAGAAGCAGTTGAGGAACAGGTCGAGGAAGTTGCGAGCCGAGTTCTACAAGACACCTGCTACCCAGCTTCCTGCGCGTGGAGCCGCAGGCAACAAGAACAGCGATGCAGTACCTATGAGCCCCTACGATGGGCTAGGCTCTGCAAACGAAAGGCGATCCAGTCTCACACCCATCAAGCCTCACCTGAATCGCAGCGATTCGTATGCTTCGAATGCTACGCATACCGAACGAGGAGCTTCCAGCACCTCTGCTACTGCCGACGACTCCAGCCTACCATCAAACGTCATCATGCTCGCTCAGACCCCTCAACTACAAGGCCTGCTCACCATCCTCCACGATCGATCCACACCCACTTCTGAATTCACTTTCGCATGCAAACGTGTCGGCACCCTGATTGTCGAACTTGCTACCACTCTCCTCCCCTATCGCGAAAAGGAAATCACCATCCACGGTGGCCGCAAACACATCGGTCACGAACTCAACATATCCTCTCTCTGCTCCGTCTCCATCCTTCGCTCTGGAGCCGTACTCGAACCTTCCCTCCGCCGTGCATTCCCAGCCATGTCACTCGGCAGCCTCCTCATTCAATCCAACGAAGAGGACGGCGAACCGCACCTCTACGACGTTTCACTACCCTCGTTCATTCGTCGTCGAGAAACAGCGGGAAAGTCGTGGGTCTTTTTGCTGGACGCTCAGATCGGGACGGGAGCAGCGGCGTTCATGGCCATCCGTGTCCTGTTGGATCACTCGGTGCCTGAAGATCAGATTATCTTTCTGACCCTGCTGGCTAGCTCGCAAGGTGGAATTCATGCCCTAAACCGTGCTTTCCCCAGAGTCAGGATTGTAGTCGCTGGTGTCGATCCAGGATTGCAGAAGTTGCGTATTCCTTGGTCCACCGTTTCCTCTTCCGCCACCGGCATCGCGACGAAGCAAGACAGAACGGAGACAAGAGGACACGCGCAAAACGCACCTGTAGACGAAGACGATCTTTCACCAGGTTTCAACAAAAGAGAGAACTTGCATCTATTGGCTTCTCCTCCGCTCTTGAGCATTGACGGGAGGTTTGGAAGCCAGAATGAAGCGGAGAAGAGGCAGCCGCAGAGGCAACCACATATGGCGAAAGGGAGCAGGGTGGTGTTTGCCATCACGCCGGGTTGCGGGTCCATTGGAGACAGGTTCTGGGGGACTGGGTCGCGATAAAGTGCCCCCCTCCAAGTCATCTGTTTCAATTTTTTCATTCTCACTGCATCGCAAATCGCAATCGGAAACCATGTAAACGGAAAAGCTGTTTGACCGCTTGGGATTGTGTCATTGCAACCGCAAGCATGATTGACTTGTTCTGCGGGTCAGGCCTGGTCTTCATCAATAAGCTCGCCAACAATACCATATTTGCCTGTAAAGTGAGCTTCCCACTCTTTCATGTTTTTGCTATCCAACCCCGAATCAAACGCAAAAGCAAGGTCAGCTACTACACCAAATTCCACACTGCCACACCGAGGATGCGCAACTTACAATTCGCTCGGGGTCAAATCCTCCAACTTGTCAATCGGCTGATCTAAAGGTGTTAACATCTCCATATCGAAACTCTGTTTTGCCATTCCTCTACTCGCATCTCTTCCTGCAAAGTTACCATAAGGTCCACCTGGACCGTAAAAGGTCTTGCCCTTTGTCACGTCGAACACTTTCCTATTGATCGCTAGCAAGATCCGCGATCCATCAGAGTCGGAAGAGTTACCGGTTCCGTCGAAGACCGCAAGTGTGCGGGGGATGTATTTGGTCCATTCGACCGTGTCTGGATGTTGGGACGGGAGGTAGGTGTATCTATTGGAGGGGGCGGAGAGATGCGAGCGTGCTTCGGCGGGGGTCGGGGTCCAGCGTGATGATGTTGGAGATGAGGGTCGGATGAGTGGGATGAGGATGTAGAGTAGAGCGAGGAGAAGGAGGAGATTGAGTGGGTTGGTGTAGATGGATTCTGCCAAGCGTTGAAGTTTGGTGATCAGGAGGGAGGTGGTGGGTGGATCAGGTTGGCCGAAGAGGCGGTGTTTGAGCTGGTCCATGTTGGATAGACCGATGTTGGTAGAGGGTGCTGGAGGCAAAGGATAGCTGATGGAGGTGATATGGGACGTTGGTGGACAACAGATTGAGGTGTTGCGAAGCTCGAAGAATGGAATGCGCCGCCAAAATGAAAGCCGAGAGCCGAACATCTTGACCTCCACCAGAGGGATTTTGCAGTGCCGCACCGACACACTTCATACCATCCTCAATCACCTCTCACAGTATCTTTGAAACGCACGCTCTGCTCTGGTAGCCATCGATGGCATCGAGGGCTGCCCCGAACTCTCTTCTCGGAGACGTGGTGCAGCCTGAATCTCTCAGCCTCTTTTCCTCCACCTCCTCGAACCCATTCGCACTTTGGGCGCTGCACCAAGATCCTGACCTAGAAGAAGACTCTGGTATACGCCTGCTCATCGACTCGACCGACGTTACAGCACTACATGATGCTGGCATTCCGGTTGATAGCTTCAAATTGCGATCCGATGAGCCCATCAGAGGATCTTGCTCGGAGCCAGTACTTCACATCCAGTCCCCCTCCATTCGAGGCACTTTCATTCGATCTCCTCCAAACAAGCACACGCAACTGGGCATCAAGCTACCCTATCTCACGTTTCAATTCAGACCCATTGGCAGCTTCCGACCTTTTCTTTTCGAGGTCGGCATCATAGACGAAAGGCACCAGCAGGCAAGGATACGCGTCAGCAGCTTCCAGGTTGAGCCAAAGCTGTATTTCAAGCCCGCCCAAGATGATCGGACGCTGAATGCAAATGGACAGAATGGAGTGAAGAAATGGGAGCAGATCCTGCATCTCCCTCTCACAATGGCTGCTCAGCCAACGCAAGAACAGACTTCGTTGACCTCGTGGCAGGTGCTCACTCTTCCTCTGGATCAATTTGTCAAGTACTGCTCTGATACTTGCTTGCTAGGACATGATGGGAATGAACAGGGGAAAAATTCAAAAATGCAAAGGTTGGGGAGGTTTGAGGCTGTGTCACACGTCAAGGTTCATGCCAATGTGCGGTTGAGGAGGGCCTGGTGCTCGAAGCAATTGCCTGATCATGATCTTGCCGAATTTCAGGTCTTTTCGTAGTCATATTGGCCTCGTCTGAAGCAGACCGGAGCTGTCCATCCTATCCTGTGGCCCGCTTCCAGTCTGTAGTGATCCAGAAGCGTTCCTTGACGCCGTTCAACAGGCGGTGATGAGAAGGAGCGTGACACGAGTTCTGTTTTCCCTGTCAATTTCGCGACCTTCTTTTTGATGTTGTATTTCTTTTCGTGTTTCTTTTTCGCAAAAACAAAAACAAAAACAAAAAATAAAATAAAAATAAAAATAAAAATAATAAAAATAATAAAAATAATAAAAACGCCGAAATGTGGAGGTTTTGGGTTTAGGGCGCTCAAGCGCTCAGGGGTCTCGGCCTGCATGACAGATCCTGCTTCCTCAACCCTGCCACCATCTCTTTTTCCCCTCAAATCGACTGCCGAGAGATTGCACTCTGACACAATGTCAGACCTACCAGAAACGGCACAGGCGACATCAACAGCAGAGAAGATCACCACCGCCGTCGCACCTCCCTCCTCCAACCTCAATACAACCTCACTCACCAAACTCACCGACCTCCCTCCACCGCGGTTCACCCTAACCGAAAAAGCCCTCGACGAAGCATTCAACGATATCTGGGCGAACAACGCAAACGCAATCTCTCACTGCTATTCCAACACCGATGCGCTCAAAGTCGATTTCACGCGCACGGGCAAACGTAGTTTCTTGGGGATGATCAACGATGCCACCAACTCGGTCTATCGTATGGTTCAAGGTGCGGTCACTGACTTCTTCCGTCAGACTGTTCTAGACTTTACATATGGCTCGATCGGTCTAGGTGGATTGGAGAGGTATTATGATGACCTCAATAGTAGGGATCCTTCGGAATCGATAAGGTTGGCGAGGGTTAGAGCATCTGCCATCGAAAGCTGTCGACGAGAAGTTGTGTCCGAGACGGAGCCGCTTATTGGTGGGTGGACACTTTGCTCTCCTCTGCAGGCGAATACGGTGGCTGCGTTGAAGCTGGAGGAGAAGGTAGCGCTGTTGACGAACAAAGCGATGTATGTTTGCAGCTACGATTTCGGGAGTGAGAAGCTCAACGAGTTCACCAAAGTCTTGGTGGGAGATATCGTGGGTATTCAGCAAGGATTGTATGTTACTTCCCCACACGAGAGTAGTCATCCGGAAGACAACTGGGGCTTTGTAGTGACGTATCTCAACTCGATCTCGAGGAGCAACACTACAGCGTCGATCAAGAACATCACTACAACGAATGCAGTAGCGAGCAATGCAGAGGAAGCGGGGAAGAAGATCTTTGCTTTCAGAGCGATTTCGGATGAAGTTGGCGAGTCTGCTATCGGACGAGGTGGAGGGTCGACGATGCAGTCAAGACACCTGCATCATACAGTCAAAGGCAATCAGGGTGGAAAGGGTGCTTCGAGTGCTGGTAACGATGATGACGCGGAAGGGGAGGAGGAAGGTTGTGTTTCATCCAAGCACAAGGTTAGGAGGATTGTAGAGCTGCTCCGCGAGTGTTGCGTCGACGCAGGAGCGTTCGATCCCGATAACAAGGACGAAGAGGAACCTTTCATTACCGACAAGACGATTCAGAGCCTGGATGAGGCGAAAGCGATGATGCCGCTATTCGGTCCGCTCATTGAAGGTTTGAAGCGTCGACTATGGCTTTAGATCGTCGCTGCCTTTCTACTCCTTTTTTACTCAGACCATCTTGTTATTGTTCAATCGTATACCCTTGGATCTGCCTTCACCTTTGCAATGGTCTAGAATCACACTTTCACATCCGCAGAAATCCGTCCGTCACCGCATACTGAAGTTAGGGTATCTAGTGAAAACAGAACAAAACGAGAATCGAAGGAAACACAAGAGGCCGTCGTCTCAGGCCGCAGCGGAAACACTAGCAGTGTCAGGAGCAGCACCAACCCTGATCCCCAATCTTGCCATCTGCCCAGTCAACACATGCCTAGCAAACGCAGACTGAACCACATTCGTTCTATCCAAACAATCCAAACACGAAACCCGAAACGCACCCGTTTGCCTACTCAACACCTCCACCTTCCCCTCCCTTTCCCCTCCTACACTATGATGATAATACTTGATCTGCCCCAACGTTTCCTCCATTTGACCTATGAGCTTGGCCACGTTCTCAAACCGCATTCCAGAACATTCTTTGTGAAAGTCAAAATCGACATAATGCAACTTGCTTCTATCCCACTGCTTTCCCTCCGTACTCGCAGCTTCGGTTTTGAGGTTCTCAACGGCGGTCTTGTAGGCTTTTGAAATGTGGCCTTCTTTACCACCTTGTTCGGCAAGGTTGACGCAGGTGATGGATCCGTAGCGTTCGACTTGGACGGAGAAATGCTTGCGACAGGCTTCGGTGTTTTCTGCTTCGGTACGCTCGAGTACGGGTGGTGGCTTGAGCGAGAATGGGCTCTGAGACCAATAGAGAGGGATCGAACCACGGATCTGGACGAAAGAGAGAACATCTCCGATCATCTCAGACTTGGGTTTGGTGGAGCTGCGGAGGACGTAGAGAATTTGTTCGGTCTCAACAAAGTTGGCGACCTGGCCGGACTCGTTGATTCCTCGACGCTGATAGCGTAGTCCTGCGCGCTCCTTGGATCGGCGGGAGATGACCATCATTTGACAGCGCAGAAATGCATCTGCGCTATCTTTCGGAGCTTCTTCCTGATTGGCCTGGCCAATGGGCTGGATTGGCAAAGTGACAGTCTGCAGATACCCTTGCATGACAGGCAAGATATAAGCATGGAGTCCAGCATGAATGAGATCCTTCGACATATGCTCGTTATGCCAGAATCTGCGATCGGCTCTTTTCCACAGCGGCAAGTTTGGGTACGGCTCAGCGAGCAAAGGGAAAGCAGCTATCTCCTCAGCATCCTCACTGAGAACCTTCGTGGTGGGTAGCGGCATGGATCTGGAAGTGGGGCTCATGTCTGGCTTGGGATTGTTCTCCAGCGCCCGTCTCTTGTTCTGCAGCGAAGTCGTAAGATCAAAGTCGTAGCTGAACCAAAACTCGCCTCGAGCCCAGTACTTGGCTGTTTCCCTGACCGCCTTGTCCTCCAACTCGGCTTGCTTAGCAGCGTGCCACTGTTCATCGGGAGTCGCCGACGCTACTGTTGCAGGAAGCTCTTCCACAGCAGCTTTATCTTGGATCTCTTCAGGCGACTGAGGGAGTGGGTTAGCAGCGGGAAGCTCCACGACATCGGTCGATGCATCTGCGGACCGAGACTGCGTGGCTGGGTCTTCAGAGATGGTCTCAATGCGACCATCGGATACTGCACGAGCAGCGCGTGTGAGCCAAGGCCTCGACTTGGGCATGCGTAAAGTATCAGATCGTTGAGTGTTGGATAGAGATGAAAAGAAGGGCTCTTTGGGGATGGCAGCCGGAGTCTCAACGTCGTCGTAGTCTGACTCGGATGAATCACTATCGCTTGCTGAGCTACTATCTCCAGCAGCATCTTCATCCGTCGAAAAGTCACTGGGCTGAGCAGCAGCGGGAGTTTGTGAAGCTGCACTGCCTTGTTTTGCTGCTTGAGCATGGATAGCCTGGGATGCTTCTTCTCGTAGCAATGGGATGGGTAGGACACCAGTACAGCAATAGATCGGGCGGGTATGGTGGAAGTAGTGACCGATGAGGTTTGAGCTAGTGATGACGAATAGGTAGCTGCTGCTGAAGAAGCGTGAAAGGCCGATGATACCAGAGCACTCGATGGATGCATCGTCTGACGATGCACCGTCTAGGATTGCCTTGCAGGCGGCAGGCTGGAGAGGAGTGATCTTGGCATCTTTGCTCCAGTCGATAAGGAAGCCGACATCGGGCGAGGTGATTGGCGGAAGAGCTCCTGTGGCAGTGAGTGAAGCGGTCGAAGCTGCCAGCGATGAGGCATTGTAAGCGCCAATCGTAGCGACCTTGAAGCCATCGCCTGAGCCAAAGGGACGAAAAGCGGGTGTGGATGGAACTGCTGAGGTGCTCGCTTTGACGTGGTGACTTGTGTGGCCATGGTGATAATGTCGGTGCTGATGTAAGTGTGTGGAGTTACGAGGATAAACCAGCAGGCCCTGTTCTGTCGTCAGAATGCCAATGCGACTCTCCGGAAGAGGATATGGAAACGGCGGAACAGTCCAAGCAGCCATGGCAGAGCTAGATCCGTGCGATGGCGGAAGCGGACCAGAAGACATATTGGGCGACGATGCAGGTGAAGCTGTTCTGCTTTTGGATGAGGATGGTGAGGAGCCGGCTGTATCGTTCGGCGCTTTTACCTTTGCCGACTTGGAGCTGCTCGACGAGGAAAAGATGGCTTTCAACATGATGGTCGAGGAGAAGGAGGAGGAGATAGGAGGCTAGGGGTCGTTGACTTCTGAATGCATGCAGGACGCTAATCATTTTGTAGTGCTTGATGCATGACGATTATATTTGGCGAATACAAAAGTGCATCGTGTGGGTGTTCCAGGTTGAATTTAAGACTAAAGGTGGAGGCGAAACGACCAGAAATGCGGCATTAGGGTGTTGAAAAGTGAAGACGTTTTGGTCCCGATACTGGCGATCGGGGAGAGTCAGAGTACGATGTCACTACTATTTTAGGGCAGAAACATACAGCTTGCACATAAACTGTCCCATGAATTTACATGTCACCATACATCACTCTAATGCTCAATAGCCATAAGTTGTATTGCCACACTGTCTGATATCATCTGAAAGCCCTGCTTCTTCTCTCCAAGACTGTGTAAATGATATTGACATTGACTAAGAAAATTGTACTATGAAGAAAAGCTGAATTTTTTTTTATTGTGGGACAGTTTATGGAGCATGCTCCCAAATAGTGACACCACTCCATTCCTGACCTTGTGGGCTTTTGACTACAATGAAACTTGCAATGTAACTTGGTGGGCACCTTCATACACATCAAAAGTAGTGATGTGGAAAGTTTCAGCTCAATCAGATGACTGTGAACAATCCAGCAGTGCTTCCAGTCTGACACCATCATATCTATACCATCATGCCAAAAACCACCCCAGGGAGGTGCCAATTGGCACTCTTTCACATCCAAAATGGGGAATCTACCTGTTCAGTTGCTGACCAACTTGGTATGAGCAAGTCTACTGTGAATTGCATCAGCAAAAGCACCTCCACTGATGTTCCAAAGTCAAAGGGGGGCCAGCTGAGAAAACTCCAGCCTCATCATGTTTGCTTCCTGGACCACTATTTTGAGCTCAATTCAACCTCCACAGTCAGGAAAGTGTCATGGGCCTGAATGCTCAAGAAGCAGGAGGGTCACTGGTTCATATGGAAGGAGCACAGGTATCAGAGATCTAGTCGATACCAGTAGAGAGCATGGTCGTAGTGCAGTCTCCATGGAGACCATGGACTCCTATGGACTCACATGCAAAGGAGCACGGAGCCCATATGCGAGGAGGGCCAGGCACAGCCACGAAGAGGACCAAGCTCAAGGAGCATGCAGATGGTTACCACTCAGGGGCTCGAGAGACAAGAGTCAAAGGAACTGTCACCGGTCAAAGGAGAAGGAGCTCACAGCATCGCCAGCGATGCTGCTCCTGCTCTCTCTCCAGAGAGTACCTTCTTCATCGAGTACTGCTCAGGGGCCTCTCCTGCTTGGCATCCCTGTGCCTCTTGAGCTGTGTCGACTCCTTCGACACTGCTCCTCCTCCTCAGGACCTGGTGTCGGTTCCTTTGACTCTTGTCTCTCGAGCCCCTGAGTGGTAACCATCTGCATGCTCCTTGAGCTTGGTCCTCTTCGTGGCTGTGCCTGCTCCTTGAGCTTGGTCCTCCTTGTGGCTGTGCCTGGCCCTCCTCGCATATGGGCTCAGTGCTCCTTTGCATGTGAATCCATAGGAGTCCATGGTCTCCATGGAGACTGCACTACGACCATGCTCTCTACTGGTATCGACTAGATCTCCGATACCTGTGCTCCTTCCATATGAACCAGTGACCCTCCTGCTTCTTGAGCATTCAGGCCCATGACACAGGCCACTAGTGATCCATCAGTTGTTGAAGCATACTTTGATGTCTTGGAGAAGACTATTGCCAAGTAAAGGATCCTACCTGAAAACATCTTCAACATGGATGAGACTGGGTTTCTCATTGGACAAAGTCAATGCCAATACATCATTGTACCCAGGGAGAATGGGAAGAATCAGCACTTCAGGTCACAGCCAGGCAATTGGGAGACTATCACAGTGATTGAGTGCATTGGTGCATGAGGGATAAAGCCACCACCTATGGTTATCTTTCAGGGCAAGAACCACATGCAGGGCTGGTACCACAATCACACTGCAGCTAAGGACTGGGTCTTTGCAACAAGCCAGAATGGCTGGACTGACAATGAGCTTGCACTACACTGGCTCAAGGACTGCTTTGACAAGCACACCAAGCAAAGGGCTCAAGGAAAGTATCAGCTGCTTATCCTTGATGGTCATGGCTCCCACATCACAGCTGAGTTCATTCAGCAAGCATGGGACTCCTGCATTGTCTGTCTCTGCCTTCCTCCCCATGCAACACACCTCCTACAGCCACTTGACATCATGATATTTGGACCTTTGCAGCAAGCCTTCACCAAGGAGGTTGACAAGTTTGCTGGAGCAAATCTTTCAATCAGTAAGAAGGATTTCATCGACATGTACAGCAAATCACAACAGGTCATAACAAGCACCTTAGCATCACAAGCCTTCAGAGATGTTGGGATCAACTCAAAGCTCCACCCAGAGAAGGTTCTATGGCACATGCCCAGCTACCATCGAGAATCAACACCTCCATCTTCAGCTCCTGCAGTTGAGGAGACTCCAACAACTCCTTCTACTCCAGAGGAAGCAAAGAAGATGTTAGCACAGATGTATGCCATCATGGATCAGGATCAAGAAGAACAGCAGGCACTTCTGGCAAGCAATCACTGACAAGGATGCATTTGGATGAAGAAGGTAGGTAAGTTCATGGACCTTCTCTTTGGCCAGCATGCAATTGATCAAGCTTGCATTCAAGAGCTCACAGCAGCCCACTCTAAGAAGCAACATGCACTCCCAGGTGATAGGAATCAGTTGTTGCAGGCCAGGGTACTACACCAAAGTGACTTACCAAGGCTACTTGCAGCATGAGAAGAGCAGGCTCAGAAGGATTCAGGAACAAGGGCTCAAAAGGGCAAGAAGCAAGCAAAAGGCAAAGAGTGAGCAAGCAATCAAGAGAACCTGCCAGTCCAGCTGACACCAACCTTGTCATCTGAAAGAAGCTTCTGGCCTCCACAATCAATGTTGCCTTTTCCAGGTTATGAGTCTATGTCAATGGTACCCCCACCTCTGCCTTTTGCTAGTTCAAGTATCTTACCTGTCAAGCCCCCACTGCCCAGGTGGCAGCCAATGCCACCCTTCCTTCCACCCATGCCACCCTTCATGTGATCCTATGTTGCATTGCAATTCAAGTGTTGTTGTTGTGCTTTGATATAGTAAAGGTCCACATCTATGGTGGACTGGCCTGCTTGTTGTGTGTGTGTGTGTTGAACCAAAATTGACTGGAGCTGCTGCCTCAAAATTTCGAAATTGAGAGGGGGACTTGGCTGTTTCAGCAATTTTGAGTCCAGAAACTCCCAAGTCCCCTGGCCACTTCCAATCCGAGACCTATGTGAATTTGACATGTACATGAACTACGTTATACAAATTATCGGCATATGCCAAAGGTGGGAGCATTCCACTTAATGACGATGTGTGTCAACGAGCGGGACTAAGTTGTATCCGATCTCTGTTCAGATCGGCTCTGCCCGATCTCTTTCATGTTCGCTTACGTCAACTCGCATCATCATATTAGATCGTTTCCTTCAGCAGGCATCACTCACAACTTGATCCTTAGACCGCAATCTCATTGCATCCATAGCCAGGCCTGCTGTCCATAGAAGAACAGCACAGCCAACCAGTGGCAGTAGGCTCACGGCATTCAACAAACGCAGCAATGGCAGACTGTTGAGCAAGTGGACTTGTTTTATTCCTGGCAAGGGTCAAGGTGAGAAGGTGACCTAGCGAGCCGTTCCATGCCTGTCCAAGCAGAGCAAGAACGTGCGAAACACACACCGTTGGAATGCAAAGAGATCAGGGAATATCCTTGTGTGAAGTTCCGGATGTGTTTGGTTGTCCAGAATCCAGCACAATATGCAACTCCTTCTAGCGTCTTAGACGAGAAGACCGAAGGAGAGCGCAACGGCACCGAGCACAGAGCCCAGGATCGAGAGGATTGTAGCACCGGCAAAGTTGCGGCCAGCAGAACCCGAACCCGAGCTCTGGCCAGTGGCGGAAGCAAGAGAGCCAGCAGCAGCCTTGGTGGAGGTGAGAAGGTGAGTGCCCGTGGAGCCAACCTCGTTGGGAAGCGCACCAGAGCTGTTCGAGTAGGTCTCGATGTAAGCATCGCCAGCAGGCTTCTTGAGACACTCGACGATGGGCATGAGGTTCTGTCTAGGCCTCATCTGCTGAGCAGCGGGAAGAACAATGTTGACGGCAATGTCGACAGCCTGCTGGTAAAGGTCGTGTGCGAGAACAATGTAACCGGTGGAGAGGGAAGAGGCGTTCTTGATGATCTGTTCGAAACCGTAGACGACCTCGGCAGGCGAGACAACACCAGCAGCAATGCGCCAGTCGTTGGTGTCGTAAGGCTGACCACCGGGAGGGGTGGTCCAGATGATAGGGGTGAGACCCATCTGAAGCGAGATGGCGCGAACGCGGTCGTCAATGTCACCGTAAGGAGGACGCATAGTGTTGGGAGTCACGCCAATCACTGAGCGAATGACCTCCTTGGTCCAGCCAAGCTCGGCAACAATCTCTTCGTTGGTGAGGGTGGTAAGAGCGCGGTGAGACCAGGTGTGAACCGAGATCTGGTGACCCTGCTCAAATTCGGTCTGCACCATCTGGGGACGCGAAATGACACGCGATCCAACGACGAAGAAAGTGGACTTGAGGTTGTTCTGGTCCAGGTACTGGAGGAGGGTAGGAGTGTAGGGCGAAGGGCCGTCATCGTAAGAGAGACCCCAGGTGTTGGGATCAGGGCAGGTGGTGATGTCGGTGGAACGGGTGCACTGACCGCAAGACCACCAGCAGTTACCGTCAGGGCCGGCCTGGCCAAGGTTGGCGGGGTTACCGCTGCAAGAAGCTGAGTCAACGGTGGTGGTGACGTTGGGGACCTGAGACCAGTCGATCTGAGAAATCCAGCTCTGAACCTGAGCCGAGTTGGTAGGTGGTACGGCATCGAGAGCAGGGAAGTTGGAAGGAAGGATCGAATTGATGTCGGGAAGACCAGGAGCGCCGGTCACCTGGGGGTTCTTAGCACCAGCTGCGTAAGTGGTGAAGAGTGAGGTAGTGGATGTGGTGACACCAGGTCCCGAAGAGACGCCAGCAAGGAGCGACGAAATCGAAGCAGGGAGGCTTCCAGTGAAGGTGGAAGTAGGAGCAGCAGCAGCAGCAGCACCACCACCACCACCACCACTAGCATTGGCAGCGGAGGAGGCTCGAGTGGCAGCCGAGCCAGATGCAGAAGCTTGACGCTTCTCAAAGTCGGGCTTGGCCGCAACGACGGCAGCAAGCGCCAATGGGAGAGCCGCAAAGGAGGAGAACTTGACCATGATGGGACGAGACCGCCTATAAGAAGAGGAGGAGGAGGAGGAGACGGTGATAGAAGGGGATCCAGTCCGGGTCGATTCGAGTCGAGTCGAATTGGATCGGAATGGGATGAGATGATGGAGCAGCGAACCGAGGATCTCGTGCAAAGTTGATGGATGGTGAAGGTCGGGAGGAAAGATGACTCTAGAGGACGTCGACACCAGCACACACACAGACACACACCGAACTGGACAAAGCGGAATGCGAATTGCACAGATTGGAATCGGATGTCAGCTGAGGTTCTGCACCTTGGACTGTGTCACTGCCGAGTCCTGAAAGGAAACCTAGGGATCGGGCAAAGAAAGGTAACCAACGAAACATGGTTGTCGTTGCTGTTTTTGCTCGCTCGCATGATGCCGCTTTCTAGGAGGTTACTTACCCCAGCAGCTGTATTGGCGTCGCTCGTGCATCTAAGGAGCATTCGGAATGACCAACTCTTGATCATCTTGCAGCAAAGTTGACTCTGAGCTGTCGCCCTGCACCTTTGCCCTGCACCTTTGCCGCTTCTCTTCGGCATTCGTTCCCCCGGGGAATGCTTTCTTTTTTTGGCTTTCATGATCTGCTTGAACACACCGAACCTCGTCAAATGACATGCCACCGGCGATCAACGTTGCAGCTTCGGCAAACTTGCAGAGCATCACGAGCTTTTGTTGCTGCCCAGATGAACGATGCAAACCACGATGAGAGTCTTGCTGCGATGCGAGCAGATCATACCCTGGTCTTGTTCAATCGAAATCGGATCATGATTGGTTCCCGATCATCGTGATATCTCCTGGCTCGGAATTCGGAGATACTGATTGCCTTGCTGCAAGCCAAATTTTCCCCTCGATTTTTCCTCAGCTGTCGAGTTTCTCAAGGGTCCTCCTTTAGGATGCTCTTCTGAGCTTCTTTCTCACTGTCACTGCCACCATTGATCTCGTCACCATAAGCCTAAGTCCGCAAAGATGGGAGGAAAAAAGGTAAAATAGACGCAGATCATTCCAAATGCCAAGTTCCGCTTGCAGTCTGCTCACAATCGTCCCCTTTTTTTTGCTTGCACTCACCGTAGATCTCGGAACGTTCCATCAAGAAAAAGTCGAGTCCCACCCACCCCTTCTCGAGAAGAGCTACCCAGCTTGCGAGAGTAGCGCACCGCAAAGATAAGCTCACTCAGGCCAAGGCTGTCCGAAATCGCTCCTCAAATGCCAAGGTCGACCGTCTCTCCACTCTCATTCTCATGCTTCCGGACGACATTGATGCTTTGCCAGATCTTGCCACTGTGCACTCCTTCATCACCGGAAACTTCCTCACACGACACAATGACCAGCTTGACCAGCTCAAAGCCGATCGGAGGCCAGGTAGGCCGCCTCACAAGCGTGAGCTCGAGCTGAAACAGATCATCGCCCTGGAGCTCCAAGAATACGAACAAGGTTTCGAGGTCCCAGATCTCACAAGCAAAACCAACGTCAAGCTCCTTCGAGATTGGCAAGGTGATCCGCAAGCCTTTCCTCTCTTCCGCATGGTCCGCATCAGCGGAAAATACCCGTAAGTCCCTGCGCTGGCCCCCTACCGCACTTATGCTTCATCGATACTGACCTCGTTGCAACGCCGTTCCCATAAACAGTGAGCAATGCAATCTAATCCACCCCGGCAACCATAAGCTTCTTCAGCTTGAGGAAAAGGAGCCAGGCGCGTCGGCCTCTGCTGAGTCCTCATTCGAGATGGACATCACCCAGAATGGCAACTCCGTGGACTCACCTGCCTTCCAACGCGCTGACGAGTTCGCTCAAATGGGCTGATTCCGCTTTACACGTCGTCCGCCATTATCAGCAAACTGCACATTCTTTTCTTTCGTTCTCCAACGTTTACCCGGCCGCAACCAACCGACATCTGTAAAACTAGCTTCTTCGAATACCATACATTTGCATCCTGACATTCTTTGTTGCGTTATCCATTCTCAAGGCTTCTACTCTCGCAGGTTTCGCCTTCGCTTCTGACTTGCGCAAAGCACAGGCAATTCATCAACAGTCGAAAAGGTACAGTCCTGACATGTGTCTATTGTCCTCCACCTTGAGCTGCGAGAGTGACAACCCAAGAGTCGTGATTCTATATACAAAAGGGGATGGCTAAGGCGGATATTGCGCCACGCCGACGATCAATTAAGTAGAGGTCTTCTGAAGAGAGTAAGCCCCTTCGCCGGAGAATCTCTTTTCAAAGATCTTCTCAAGCAGCGCAGAAGGCCACATGGTCACCCAAATACCAACCGCCAGAAGGAGCGGCGCGGCATCCAGTACGAATAGATAGACTGTGACACGCTCAAAAACAGTTTCAAGGCAGAAAGTGTCAGTCACTTGACCACTCAACAAGGCAAAACTCGATTCATCATCACCATGCAAGAATACTTACTCTCTTGCGACACCAGGTAGCCGCTGTAGCCTTGCGAGAACTCGATGATACGATAGAAGGACCTGATCTGTTGGTCGGCAGCGATTCACTCAAATTGAGAAAAAGGTCAGTTCAAGTTGTCTTGATTCGGATTCTGGACGAAGGATGAATGACCTACTTACGATGACAAAGATGGATGAGAAGTACAGTCCGCCAACAAGAGCGAACACCGGCTTGTCCAAGCCCATAATTTTTCGGTCTCCCATTTGTCCGACATTGTTGCGCGCACCTTCCCGCATCACCAGAATGGTGGCATAGGTCAGAAGAAGTGTAAAGAGAATGTACGAAACACCCTGAAGGATCACACCGACTAGGAAAAGCTTGTCGCCGATCTCAGTCAAGCCGGGGTTCTCAGCTCCACCGCTAGCCTGCATGCCACCAGCGGAGACTTGGACCAAAAACGTAGCCACATCGCTCCAAACGAAGACTCGACCCACGATGCGTGGCGGGATGAAAGAATAGCGAGACTTTTCCCTTTTAGACCCTCCAGCCTTGTGCAGCATCGTGATCTTCTCGGCAGCAGTCAGTGGCTGACTCTCCATCGCTTGCAGATCCATTCCGGAGCTACCGAACTCCTTATCTACCGCCAAGATCATGCGTCCATACAAGAGATAGTTGAAGGCGAGGAAAGCGGCTGGCGAGATGACCACAAACATGCTCTGGATGATGTACAAGCCAAGGCTGACGTTGTAAGGGTCGATGGATGGACGCACAAAGTAACCGATTGCAGAGAAGAAGCATCCGAACGGAAGGCACAGAGCCCATTGGTCTTTGTGCCGGAAGATGTAGTAGAAGAGAACAGCTGCATATACGGCGTAAAGGCCACCGACAAAGTAGTTGCCGCCAGGACTGGGGATGTACTTGAGAATGCCGTCTGGCGTGCCAGACGGTGAGACAGCCGCGATGAACCTGATGCCCATAACCGTTGCAGTGGCATCAGTCAAGGTCGCTTGAGCGACAGCACCCACGGCCGTGATGATCAGGGTGAAGGCGAGTCTATCTAGCATTCTGAACGAGCTTGCGGACGAGTATGGAGGTGAGGAGATTGTGTGGTAAGTGGATAATGAGCGTCAGAGGAAGGCAAGGAATCTCGACGAAACTTTATACTTTCGGTTTTCTTTCGGAAGGTGGTCCTCGGCATGCCGATGCAGCGCTCAGCTGTCAGCGACCATGTGCTTTCGGAGAACAACACAGTATCGCAGAACAACACAGTGTCAAACGCCAAGCAACGATAGAGGATAGCTGCATAGGAAGATACCCAAACTTTGACGTGGGCAACTTGTCCGGCGGACTTGCTTCGTGGCACAGGAGCTCCCTTGCTTCAGTGTCCGGACTCCTGCCAACTTCTGACTGCCAAATCCATAGCAGAGATCGATACCGGGCTGTGTATGAAGTCCGACGGACTTATTTTTCTCTGCCAGGATAAACGGTAAAATTTGCCTCGTGTTCATACAAATTTGACAGGTCCGGCGGAGTTCGACCGCAAACACACAGCCAACGAGCTTCATCTCCTGTCCAACGTCATCCTGCCATATTGACGTCCGAACAACCTTCAGCTCCATCTTGTCGACTCGATCCTGTTGTCTGAACACCACACTCATCTGCTGCTACTACGACCACCAGCTCATTTCAGTCAACCTCAACCTGCGGGTGCATCTTCGCATCAACGAAGGAATCAACCAAGCCACGATGGGGCCCAAAAAGCGTCCGCTGGCTCGAAGAAGCTGCCTCAAATGTCGCGAAAAGAAGGCACGCTGCGAGCTGCCAGACGTCTACGTAGATAGCTCCAAGACACCTCTGCCGACAGACAAACAGTGCCATCGCTGCAATGTCCTTGGCATCGAATGCATCGTTTGGGACGGCGACCGCAAACGAAAGCCAAAGCTAGATTATCGCTCGACCGCTTCCCCCAGCAGCTCTGTTGAGCGCGGTCGAGCGACATCTTCCAACGAGTCTGCTGCAAAAGACAGCGGCGTAGCTCATCATCAAACATCAAACACATTGCGGGCTGCGAGATCAGCCGATGGAGTCGGCCCCTCTGCTTTTGCTGTCGGCCCCTCCCAGAATGCAGACGGTGAACAGCTAGCAGCCTCTGACCTGAATCATGCTCAGAGCCTGCTCATCAACAGACAAAGAGGCTGGAAGACCTTATCTACCACCTTACACACTCTCATAGAGCGCTTGCAGCGCAAACAAAGGTATGACAACTATCTCAAGATGCGAATCGACACGCCTCCTTCAACACCAGACATAGTGACCTTCCTCCAACCCGACAAGATGGTGCTGATGGATCTGCAATTGCAGGACTACCTCGTCGGACATCCTTATTTGCCCTCACTGACCAGTCTGCACCGTCAGCAGTCTCTCAGCGCGAATCGACCACGAGCCCTGCTGCTAGCCACATTGACATTACTTGCTCTGAAAGGGCTCGAAGATGAACTGTCGTCGCCTGACGCTCGGAACCTCTCCAACTACGTCGATCGGCTCGGTACACAAATGCTACTATCATCGCCACGCGATATCCATCTCGTCATGGCCTTTGAGCTTTTGCTTTCTCACGAACCCGGCCTTGTTGGCACTGCTGCTTCCCAATTCGAGCTCGATGGCAGAGGTTTCGGTCTGGCTTCCGAGAATCTTCTCACTTGCTCGCTCAGGATAGCCAGGGAGCTCAAATTGGACGATTCCATCACAAGTACACAACAGTCGTCATCAAAGGGGCTTACACATCTCAGTCTATGGTGTTGCCTGCGCTCTTGGGAGGCACTCTACGCCTTCTTAGGTCAAAGACTCACGATTATCGATGATCTGGATGTTCAATTTGCTGCCAATGCACATAAGCTGCTGTACAACGTCGATGAGGAAGGGCAGAAGCTGCCATCTCCACCGCGGCTCCAGGATCCGAACGGCCCGACCACCAAATCCTACAACGAGATGCGAGAATTTTGCAGCAGTTTAGAGAAGAAACATGGCCGAGATGGCATTCTACGTTCTGCTGGTCGTACCGTGATCTGTAAGCGCGTGGAAACCGCTTGTTGCTTCTTGAGCGGCTTGCGTCAGCTTCAAGAGACAATCTCGGATGCTCAACTGTCGCAGGAAGAGAAGCACCAGCGATATACTGACCTTCACTGGGAAACTACTGGCAGGATTCTTAGTGTTCGAGATCGTACGGACGAAGCCTTGGGTGAGTCGCAGCTACGTCCTACCGAAAGAATACAGAGACCGCTAAATACTGACAAGAAATCGTGGTTCAATCCTTGATAACAGGAGTCTATGCCGGCCAACGCCTGGTGCGTTTGTGGGAACAGTTCGTGCACATCGAATGTGCCTTCTTCTCCGCTCTGATCGGCAGCCACCATACTTCGTGCATCTTTTCGGGCAAGTTGGAGGGCTCGATCGATGCCACCGAGTTGATGCGCTCAGTCCGATTTCGATTGAGTGGTGCTCAGCACATCTCTGAGGTTGGAGCCTTCGGCATGGAGATGAGTCGTGCCTTACTTTCTGGCGTGGCGCAGCTGGATCGTCAACCTGTGCTGCACAGATCCAACTCTCAAGCCCAAATTTCACCCAGGTATCTGCAACGCTTGCCGACGTTGCTTCTGTGTGCCATGACGGTGCACGGAGCCAGGAGATGTCTAGAGAGCATTGCGTTTGTATTGGTCGCTTGGGCACGTACGTCTAGTGACGCTTCACTGAACATCACCGTGATGGAAGCGTCCGCTCAGAGCATCAGACGGCTGTTGCCTGAAAGCTCCAAGTCGAACGCCGACACAGTTGCGCAGATCTCTGCCGACTACATTGACGAGATGATTGAAATGGCCCAACTGTGGCAGGTGTTCTATCGTGTCTATCGTCCCGTCTCCTCGCTTCGGAACGATCAGACGTCGAAGGGGGTCCCAAACCGAGGGACCTCGACGCAGGCCGAAGAATCCTTTGAAAGCCACGCCGCTGCTGATGCGGACGGTCGATCCGTCCGCGCAGAAACGTCCGCAATGGACTTTCTTGCATCGGCGGCGGAAGCAGTGCAGGGTTCGGGTGCTCTCAATACGGATCCAACGCGGGCAGTCAACCAGCAAGTACGCCATACGACAACGACTGAATCAGCCAGAGTGCCAGAAGAAGCTTCAAGAAATCATCCTTCCGCCAACAATGAGTCGATGAGCGAGGAAGCATTGTTCTGGAATTTACCGGGTCTAGAACCTTCACACGCCGCTTCGACGGCTTCTGTCACTCCCACACCCGGCCATTCGGATGTGATGGATGCGAGCATGTTCGATGCCTGCATTCCCTTTGATCTCGAAGCCTTTCTCAAAGATGTAGACCAGCTTTTTTGAATGATCGCAGTGCAATCAGTGCCTCGCACAGGAGCATGCTGTTCAAACTGTAATGTTGAGACAGTACTATTGCCCTGAGAAGTCTGGCATTCTTCTAAACAAGTTTAATGATTGCTTAATAAAGCTTGAATGCGTCAAGGCACGTCAAGAAAGGGTTGAATGGAGTAGTTGGTTAACTTAGGAGATTCTGATCAGGCGAGTTCAGCTCGGCGATTCGATTCGACTTCTCTTGCCCTGGGTTCGAATCCCAGTTCGACCTTCCTCCTAGGAATGCTTTTTTTGCTATTTTTTTGGCCACCACGAACGCGGCAATCTGAGGGAACCGCCCTCACCAAATTTGGACTAGGATTGATCAGAAAATGGATGAGTAATGATGATTTAGAGTTTTCGAGATGATTGTGTTCTGACACCCATCAAGAAGTGCCATCTGCAACTCCTCCTTGGCCCTATTACCCTGTCTCACAGCCCAATACAATTGCATCGCCTACCCTAAGCGCAGGCAAACATACCAAGTCTGGAATCCCAGCATCATCTACTCGCCTCGCACCAGCCCCTTTGACCCTTCAGCATAATACCAGACCAGAATGATCCTTTTTTAATGGAATTCAGCCTTTCGTGGTAACTAACAACTTCTGAGTGACATTGGGGAGCCCCTGCACCGAGCAACGACAAAACCAACACCATTATGAGCCCTTTAATTGTGCCAAAGACTTGTCTGCTGGAGTCCAGCCACCACCTGATCACGACAAGCCCTCTCTTGGTCTGTGAGTTTACGAACTTTGCTGCGGACCACGTCGCATTAGTCTGCAAGACCATTACTGACGCTTATGAAAAATGCGCAAGTGCTTGTTTCCAGTGAAATCAACCGGAAACCTGTGATGTGGTGGATTCCACATTTTGTGCGCACAATGCACCCCATATCTCATTTCGGGTCTTCTGCGCAGACCCTATGACACAATTTGGGGTTGGGCTCGTAGAATTGGCCGGCTGTTGCATTTTTGTGGGCAGTTGTTGCATCTTCGAGGCTTTGGCTGGTACTACAGGTAGACATTGGCAGAGGTACAAGTTGGTTTGGCTGTTGGGATGGGAGCGTGTGTGGGGGAAGGTTGAGGTATGATCAAGGTAGCAGGGAACGGTGGCATCGAGAGTCTGGGTCGAGGCGGTGTTGCTGGGGTGAGGGTGCCGCTGGTAGCCACCAGATGAGGAGGGGTGTGGCAGTGTTCAGATGGATGCCGGCAGTGTCTCTGATGGACTGTGGCTCAAACCAGGTGGGGTTGGACCCCACGGTGGGCTTGGATTCCATGGTAGGCTTGAGGTGGATAAGGGGTGTACATTGTGGGGACAGCCTCTTCGCTGGCCCGTCATGATTATAGACTGGTGTAGAAATGGTCGAAAGGTCTTTGGATTGGTCAAGGGGGTGTGTGTTGGTGCTGGTTTTGCCCCTGCAAGAGACGGGGGCTCCCCAATGTCGCTCTAAAGTCGTGTGTAGCCAAAAAGGGGGTCAGAATCATTTGGGGTTCAATCATGTTAGGCAGTTCTTGGATGAGGAATTCAAAATGGGCAGTGTGTGGCAAAAAGGGGGTGTTGGAGCCCCAGATCTGTTGTGTTGGCCTGCGCTAAGTGTTGTTGGAGTGGTTATATTAGGCCATGAGGGTGTCACAGGACCGGATGCGCAGAAGCAGAAAGATTAGAAGTCATATGAGGAGGAGCGCAGGAATTGCAGGATCGGGCAAAAGAGGGTTTACAGCAGAGTTCAGCGAGATCGGTAGTAGAAGTGGCTCTATGATGTAAGCAGTCGTGTGCCAGAGACTAGTTTTGGGTGTTATTTGATTGGTATAGATGGGATTGATTGAGTAAGATCTACTCAGTATGTTCCAACTAAATGTAACCAGACAACTTCATACTGGTAGGTCTTGACTGACCACCTTGAACACTCTGTTCAGAGGTTGCACAGCATGTTCATTGATTGTTGGTGAGTGAGTGATACACTCTCTTTACAGTACAAGTGTTCACAGTACTGTTGTTAATGCTCTTGGACATCATCTGGACCACAATATGCTTATCACCTACAGGGGATGGAAGTTACTGGACTGCAGGTATGAGACACCACCTACAATAACTGACTGGACCACAGGTGTTGAGCAACACTGCCTACAGTAAGGGACTGGACTTCAAGTGTTGAAGAACACTGCCTACAGTTGAGAACTGGACCACAAGTGTTTGAAGAACACCACCTACAGTTGATGCCTAACAGTGATACAACACACACATTTGGGGGTTGTTGCAAGAGCACTGCTATTGCAATGATACAAAAGTAAGAGTCAAGTAAAGAGTAAAGTATAAAGTAAGTAGAGTGGATGAGGATCCACTCATATGCTTATGGTAGAATGAGAGTATTTATGCAATTGATTGGTGTCACCTGCAACACTTATCCCACTCCTCCTGAGGGGCCTTCATCCCCTTTTGACACTGTCCCTCCTGCTGGTGTCAATCCCCATTGATGATGCACCTCTGCCATTTGCACAGCATAATGGTTGTGCAGCACTGCCCCTTTGCCTTCATACTCTCTTTCTGCCTGATGATGTGTGATGACCCCTTTGACACAGTTCCTCTTCTTTGTTTAGCCAATCTCCATTCTTCTTGACACAGCTCCTTCTCCCTTCACCAGCAACCACCTCCTTGACCTTATCCTGTGAATCCCTTTAGCCACTGGTTGGACCTCATGACCAAACCCCTTGGTCATGTGGTCACCCCTGTGCTTGGGCCTGTGTGGCTATATGCACATGCCCCTTGAGCATTAACCATCTGTGTGATGCTGAGCTTGGTCCCCATTCCTACATGTGGTTATTGTCAGGGGTCTCGCGCCTGAAACCCAGGTCGGTCTGTCGAGATACTCGGTGACTATTAAACTGTGTGACAGCTATTGTCTCGGTATCGGTGACTATCAAGTTGTGCAGTGACAGCAGGTGGCATTCGTTGTATATACTATCGTAGGTTTCGGCTGACCTCTGTGGACACTCCGTTCAGGGGTAGCTCGGCACGATCAATATCAATGTTATGATGACACCAAGGTCTGGTGTGGGTGTTGATGATGATGAGGTTGATGGTGTTGGTGATGAGATTGGTGATGTCGATGATAATGAGGTTGATGGTGTTGATGATAAGATTGGTGATGTCAATGATAATGAGGTTGATGGTGTTGATGATAAGATTGGTGATGTCAATGATAATGAGGTTGATGGTGTTGGTGATAAGGTTGGTGGCGTCAACACGAGTGTCCAGTGTGTTGACTTGATGCTTTGAAGTGATCCCCGGACCGCAGTGGACTACTGCCTTCGGTTCTATCTATATCCGGACCGCTAACCTGCTATGGGCGCCTTCGGACGTCAGGTAGTGGTGATACAACACACACACTACGATGAGGAGCAACCTTGATAGATTGCTGCTATGCTGACTGTAACTAATGAGTACTTGTGTTTCTAAAGTATTGACTAGTTGTATGGTGAGTAGAGTGGATGAGGATCCACTCGACCTATTGATGAGAAAGCATGGTTATATACCTCTTCTCAGCATCGCCAGCGATGCTGCTCCTGCTCTCTCTCCAGAGAGTACCTTCTTCATCGAGTACTGCTCAGGGGCCTCTCCTGCTTGGCACCCCTGTGCCTCTTGAGCTGTGTCGACTCCTTCGACACTGCTCCTCCTCCTCATGACCTGGTGTCGACTCCTTCGACACTGCTCCTCCTCCTTTGATCAGTGACAGTTCCTTTGGCTCTTGTCTCTCGAGCCCCTGAGTGGTAACCATCTGCATGCTCCTTGAGCTTGGTCCTCTTCGTGGCTGTGCCTGCTCCTTGAGCTTGGTCCTCCTCGTGGCTGTGCCTGCTCCTTGAGCTTGGTCCTCCTCGTGGCTGTGCTTGGCCCTCCTTTGCATGTGAGTCCATAGGAGTCCATGGTCTCCATGGAGACTGCACTACGACCATGCTCTCTACTGGTGTCGACTAGGTCTTCGATACCTGTGCTCCTTCCATATGAACCCATGACCCTCCTGCTTCTTGAGCATCCAGGCCCATGACAGTTATCTCCATATGCTTCTCCTTCTAATGCCAGTATCCTCCTTCCTGAATCTCCTGATGCTTGCTTGTGTTGGCTGACTTGCTAAGACATGCTGATCAGGTTGATCCTGATCAATCCTTGTGAGATTAACCTGGATCCCCAAGTTTGGTTGGTCTTGTAATCATATGCACTTCCAACCCGATTAGCTTCATCAATTCCCAATGATTTGCTGCCAATCAATTTGGCACACCCTTCATATGTTGATCCGCTGACCCTGTGACATTACCATAATTGCCGCCGATCAATTTGGCACACCCCTTCATATGCTGACCTGCTGACCCTGTGACATATGACAGATCTCGTCCGAATCAGCACAAGCGAGAGGTTACTACAAATCTCGCTGGAATCTGTGACATCCAGGGTCATAGAATAGATCTCAAGGGAATTGGAGAGAAGATGCTGATCTCACAGATCACACAACACAACGGGGGCGGAAGGCATTGGGTTCGCCACCCTGATGAAGCAGGGGGTCAGCCTGATGATGAAGCCAGAGACAGGAGGATGGGGGAGATGAAAGGGGGTGCAAACTACAACTTAGATGAAGTGGGAGGAGCCCCTGTTGACAATGAAACAAACAAGGACTGTCCATCCACAGGAAGTGAGGGACAAGGTGCTGTTGAGCAGCATCACAGATGGAAAGGATGGGAAGGACAAGGAGGAGGAGCAGCATTGAGGAGGCCCCAGAGCAGGAGCAGTGTCACAGGTGACATTGTGAGGATGGTTATATAACCATGCTCCTTGTCATAACTGGTGAGTGGATCTCCATCCACTCTACACCATACATTACTAGTAATAGCTTTCACATAAGTATACATTAGTATTCTGTTGACAGTTGCAATTGCAGAGCATTGCATCTACCTAGTGTGTGTGTTGTATCACTGCTCATTGACATCATCCAAAGGTGGTTCATTCTGTGGTCCAGTGTCAGGGGTCTCGCGCCAGAAACCCAGGTCGGTCTGTCAAGATACTCGGTGACTATCAAACTGTGCAACAGCTATTGTCTCAGTATCAGTCTTGACAAGATAGTTGTTCAGTGACTATTAAGTTGCGCAATGACAGTGGGTGGCATTCATTGTATATACTATCGTAGGTTTCGGCTGACCTCTGTGGACACTCTGTTCAGGGGTAGCTTGGCACGATCAATATCAATGCATAGGTTATGATGACACCAAGGTCTGGTGTGAGTGTTGATGATGATGAGGTTGATGATGTTGGTGATAAGGTTGGTGAATGTCGATGATAATGAGGTTGATGATGTTGGTGATAAGGTTGGTGGCATCAACATGAGTGTCCAGTGTGTTGACTGATGCTTGAGGTGATCCCCAGACCACAGTGGACTACTGCCTTCAGTTCTATCTTGATCCAGACCACTAACCTGCTATGGGGCACCTTTGGACATCAGGTAGTGGTGATACAACACACACACTATGATGAGGAGCAACCTTGATAGATTGCTGCTATGCTGACTGAAACTAATATATACTTATGCTGAAGTGATAACTAGTTATGATGGTTGTGTAGAGTGGATGAGGATCCACTCGACCTTTGCTGATGAGAAGGTATGGTTATATACCTCTTCACAGCATCGCCAGCAATGCTGCTCCTGCTCTCTCTCCAGAGAGTACCTTCTTCATCGAGTACTGTTCAGGGGGCCTCTCCTGCTTGCTTGGCACCCCTGTGTCTCTTGAGCTGTGTCGACTCCTTCGACACTGCTCCTCCTCCTTGTTATCCTGCTGCTTGTTTGGCACCCCTGTGCCTCCTGAGTGGTGTCGACCCCTTCAACACTGCTCCTCCTCCTCAGGACCTGCTTGCCAGTTCCCTATACACTGCTCCTTCTCCTTTGACCAGTGACAGTTCCTTTGACTCTTGTCTCTCGAGCCCCTGAGTGGTAACCATCTGCATGCTCCTTGAGCTTGGTCCTCTTCGTGGCTGTGCCTGGCCCTCCTCGCATATGGGCTTGGTTTTCCTTTGCATGTGAGTCTGTAGGAGTCCATGGTCTCCATGGAGACTGCACTACGACCATGCTCTCTAATGGTATTGACTAGATCTTCGATACCTGTGCTCCTTCCATATGAACCAGTGACCCTCCTGCTCCTTGAGCATTCAGGCCCATGACAGCAGCCTGATGACAGCTGCTGCCATCTTCGACAACTGACAGGCTGTTAGGGTATGCACTAACAGCAGTTATGGTGTCCCAGAGCAGGCCGTCAATGATCCAATCATGATATCTGACAGCTGTGAGGTTCTTGGCAGGATCCCATTGATTAGCTGACCCTGGCCGCTTCTTTCTTGGAGCCAATGGGAGCACAACCAATGGGGTTTTAAGGTTGTATGCAATGCCGGCCCATACCTGGATGCTGAAACGGCCAGATGTGCATCCGGGCCGGTAGCCAACCTCGACAGCTGCCTTGTCCATGAACAGCACACCCCTCCAATCAGTGGAGCTGTTAGCCTTGGCCCATTCTAGACATTTATGCTGGTTTTTGGCTGTCAGAAACAGCTTTCAGAGTGCAATCCAGTGGTTAATACTGGCCCGGTATGCTGCTTTCCAGAGCTGTGTAATTGGAATGCTGCCAAGTGATGCTGACAGCTGTCACCATGATAGAAACAGGTTTTTGAGTACCTCACACTGAAGGTATTGGTCCAAGGTAGCTGTCCAGGAGCATGGACAGCCAGATTGTGCTTTTGTTTTGAAGGTACCATGCTCCTTAAAGTTATGGATGGTCTTGTGAACTGCTGTCTTGGAAATGCCACTTAGCTCCATGATTTGTCAAATTGGCAGCCCAGTATCATGCATTGCAATGATTGCAGCATGCTTGCTTGGAGAGAGCTCATTGCCACAGACCATGTTGGCATTTGAAGTGTTCTTGATAAGTATGATGGTAGTGCTATTGCTCAATGACAATGACAACCCAAATGCAGGGTAACTGGCTAAATTGGGAAATTACCCAATTGTCCCCAAACTTATGCACAGGGAGTGTACAATTGCAATGCCCAGGGATGAACTGCTCAAGTGATGTGAGGCTGAATGGGCAGCAATCACTCCAGAGACATGTAGGAACCTAATAGAGAGTATGCCACACCACATAGAGGTGGTTCTGAAGGCAAAAGGAGGGAATACAAAGTACTAAGGTGTTGTAGAGGAGAGCTCCATAAACTGTCCAACAATAAAAAATTTCTCAGCTCTTTTTTGATGCACAATTTTCATGTGTAATGTCAATATCAATTACACAGTCTTGGAGAGAAGAAGCAGAGCTTTCAGATGATATCAGACAGTGTGGCAATCAGACATATGGCTATTGAGCATTGGAGTGATGTGTGGTGACATCTAAAATTGTGGGACAGTTTATGCACAAGCTGTATATACATGTGGGTGGCACATGCCAAATGTGGGAGTTGCTATAGTTAATGAACCAGCCTGACAATGAGCAGGACTTGGTTGTACCCAATCCCTAGTGAGATTGGTTATCCTCAATCTCTGATCAAATCTGCCACCTCATTGGATTGGCCCTGCCTGATCTCCGATCTGGTCGGCTTTGCGTCGCCCTTCAGCGTCGTCATTGGATCGTCGCCCTTCAGCGTCGTCATTGGATCGTCGCCCTTCAGCGTCGTCATTGGATCGTCAATTTCAGCATTATATTGCAACCGCATTGAAACAGATATAGTTGAAGATAAGCCGGAATAACAAATATGCAGGAAAGCCGAGATGCCGACAGACCGATGTTCTGCATGCATGTTAATTGTGTGGCGACCAATCAGGAGACATCCACAAGAGAGAACACCAAAGCATGAGGAAGACAACGCCGAGACAGATCGTGATACACACAGTTTGGAGGGTAATGATAGACAATCTCATGGATCAGACAAAAGTATATATATACATGATCCTGTAGCTATAGTACATGAAAATCTTAAGCATTGCATCTACGATACACCTGTGCGAGAGGAGCTAAATCGTAGCCCAGTCGATGCGGTGTCTTGCATAGCTTCTACTGATATTGTACAAAAGGGCACAAGGGGGAGATAATGAAAAATGCCTCTAGGCCAAGATCAAACTTCTCGACCAACAGATGCCAACAAACTTTGGGTCCTCAGAGAGGTAACTTCCTGGTCGCCGAGGCAAGCAAGCAAGAGAGTCGTAAGCCAAAGTCACCGATAAATGCCAGAAGAGTCGCAGACACGAGGTCAGAGGCAGGTTGGAGTTGCCCGCGTGTGGTGCGCACGGTGCACCAAGAGCACAAAAAGGACCCACCGTTGTGATCACCCGCCGTTGTGATCAGGCCCTCCAGAGCTGTTGCTGAGAGATATTGATGATTGTGCTAAAGGGTCATAACGGAAAGGGATGCTGGTTTTGCCTGGCATTGCTATGCTGGGCTCCCCAGCGTTGCTAAAGTAGCGCAGCTTGCGAGAGTCGCAGTGTCATTGAGTCGAGTTCGAGCGAAGGTGGTGTTTGCTGTCCTTGGAGTCAGCAGAGGTGTCGATGCTGTCGGGCCTTGGATGCGCTGTGGTCTGCTGAGTTATCAGCAATGCTTGCGAGAGTCGCAATGTCATGGAGTCGAGTTCGCGCCGTTTGCGGATGGATGGAAGGATGCGGAGAGTGCGAAGGTTGTGTTTGCTGGCCTTGGCGCCTGCAGAGGTGTCGATGCTGTCGGATCTTGGTGCGTTGGGGTGCGCTGAAGTCGGCTGAGTGTCCTTGTTGAGTCTGGTGAAGAGTTGTGATGTCGAAAGGTCGAGGTGATCAGGAGCGACGCCTGATTAGTACCAGTGACACCATCTCGAAAACCTTAAAATCACCATAGCTCGGCCATTTCTTAAAAAGTCTTGTTCGAAAAAGTTGGAGGGCCCTCGATCTTCCGCGTTTGTGGAGGCCCACAAAAGGGCAAAAAGTTTCGAAAATTCGTACCAAAAAACAGGTCGTACTGGGATTCGAACCCAGGGCAAGAGAAGTCGAATCGTATTGTGGCACTTGAGGCACAGAACAATCAGAATCTCCTAAGTTAACCAACTACTCCATACAACCTTGGATGCCGCAGTCGGGGAAACGCAGAACTAAGAACGAGTTTGATTTGTGGATATTAAGCCATATTCTGGCCAAGTATTTGGCGCCTGTCGTTGCGACCCAAAACTTGCCTTGTTGCGACTGCTACTGCAAGCGACATCTGACTTGGGTTCTGATCATCTAGTACGACAAATCAGACTGGCCCGCGACGGTAGAGATAAGAGCAGAGATACTAAAAAGAACGACAACTTGAATGGCAAGAAGGCAAAAAATATCCATCCTGAAAAGGACTTCTTTTTATATAGCAGGCCTTATGGCCTTATTTTATTATGAGCAAAAAAGAAGGAAACAGTAACTACAAGGGAACCAAAAAAAAAACCCTCTCAGGTGGAGCACAAGCATCTAGCATTAGGGGGTTTCAGTTTTTTTTGCCCTTGAAAACTAGAGCCTTCCAATAGTGAAAAAAGCTCAGAAAGTTGATGCCCCCAAATGTAAGCTGTGTTTTTAGAGGGTTAATTTTTGAAGCCAACAAAGGGAGGGTAGTGTCAGCCAGAAAATGAAGCAGTTCCAGAATCCAAACCACCTTGTAGCTCCACCATCTTTGACACTCTTGTCACACAATCAAAGTAGATACAGTCATTCATATTGCCATTGCTATGTCTGTGAAACCTGTTGGACATCCACTGTATGCTGTGAGCACTCCGCCTGCTGCCTCTGCCTTTGTCTTCAT